TACCTGCATGTAAGTGAGCGTGAATCGGAGTGCGCATACATGGAGCATGGCAAAAGGCAGGCAGCATTGGCCCCCACGGCAGATAAAATGATGCATGCATGTAGAGCTGTTTGACTTGAGCATGGCTAACGAGATAATCCCCGATGTTTCTGCGCAAATGTAGGAGGGGTGACCGAGCTGTAGCTATCGAACCAGTGGGCTGGGGAATTGCGACAAAATAGGCAGCTCGAGCGCGTCATTGGCGATAAGCGTAGCCGTTGCTGTGACGTTTCTGGGCGGCAAGCGCCTGGAGAAGAGTTTTGAGTGGAAGAAGGGGATTGACTTTGGACCTTGGTGCTTGGCGGGGTGGAGTGAGGCGAGGCGACGACTAACAGCAGCGGGGAGCCAACTTGTGGCGTCAAGGATGCTGGACTAGAAGTTTGTCCCTTGTCCCTTGTCGTTTACGGTGTCGTTGGTAGCTTATGAGTTGAATGAGGTAGATGCAAAAGCCCGAGACAATTCGTGTTCGCGAGCTTGGAGCAACATCGTTTTGAGTGGCAGTCGGCGTTTGTACCAGGCAAAGTGCGACAGCCACTCGCGAGCCTGAGAAGGACTGGACTCGGAGCTGGATTCTGAACTAGGTCTCAATCATCTACCAGTTAAAACTCAGGATTAGCAGGGTCGAAGGGTGATGTAATCTACTAGATGCATGGTGGGCAAAGACGGTGCCTGCGTGCTTACTGGCGTGCGCATTGCCGATGTGGTGCTTGCTCAGGGACGACTAACACGAAGGGAACGCACATGACTGCGCACACCATCTTTTCGAATACGGCTAGATTGCTCGAGGTGCAGCATAGCTAGAACGGTTTTTTAGATGAAGATATAGAGGCAACGGGATGTGGGCTGATTGATGCAAGCCTCGTGAGGAGTAGAGCAGACAGAAGAGATGACCAAGATTGACGGGCCGGCAACTGGCAGCTGGCAGCTGGCAGTTGGTAGCTTGCAATTAGCAGCTGGCAATTGGCAGCTTGGCTCGGTACCTACCTTGCTACCCCATGCTTCGCCTTATGCACCTCGTCGGCAGCCGGCGGCTGGTCACAGGCGCATGCAAGTCTGTTACATCTCTCCATCAGATAGGTAGCAAGATAGGTAAGTTGCCTGTATAGGTTGTGGCTATTTTCGTTTGTTTTGTGAGATTCCCTCTAATCCGTGTTTTACACCTAATTTCAATCTCCCGTTTCTTTCCCGTTTACTACGAACAGTAGCGCAGCCCCAGGCCATCGTGTTAAGCGAGCCAGTGGTCCACTAACTACCTAGGCCTGAGGCACCCACGGAATCCACCATAATTAATGGAACGTTTGCTGTGTTGTTTCTATGGCTTCACCCGCAGCTCTCCTGCCTTGCCAAATCGCTCATCTTTTGCCGTTGTTGCATCGCAGCTTGCTATTGCCTAAATTCCCAAAACGACCGAACCGTTTCAATATATCCACTAGATATCAATACTTCTGCAAACTTTGACATAGCTTGTCGTGCTGCAGCGACCGGCACCGCCCAACCCTTACCTCGCAAGCAACGACCTCATCGCGCCACCGTCACACAACAGCCAAATTTCTGGCCCCCGCAAGGCGTCAATTGCATCGTTTACTTCGATTCCGTGCTCGTAAATCCTTTGTCGACTTTGTCTTGCATCTTTGTGCAGAAACGGGGGCCACCGCGGCCCTGTCGTGGCCTGCAGTATAGTCGGGCCAATCACTGGCCTAGCAACCTCGTTCCCGCGCAACTTCACTTGGACAGATTCGCCGGACGTCCGGATTACCGACATGAATATCCGTCTTGCCCGACCTCCGCTCCGGAAAAGCCTCCTGAACCACCATTATTGGGCGGTCGAGGCAGCTCATCACTCGCCCCATTAAGCTCACAATCGTCACGTTGACGCGCTTATGCGACCCAACATGCGACCATGATGCATGGCGACCGGCACTGCATAACTTGCCGCGCAACCAAGAGTTTTGTTGGCACCACATTTCCGTTTACCATACTCCGCATCATACTACCGGCGGCAACGGCGGCGGCGCCTAGTGAGCCAGCCGTGCTTCATCCGAGCTGCTCAGCTCGTCATTTCACTACGAGACTGTTTTGCCGCCGCTCGTGTAATCTACGGCCCAACACGGCCGCCCTTGCACATTCCTGCAAAGTCAAGTGACTGCCCGACCTGAATCGTGTATTCCTCGTTCTCGCATGCTTGGCACTGTACACAAGCGACTTCTCATAGCGACTTTCCATGGGGCGAAGTTGCATTCTATTGATGGTATCAGGTTATCTCCGCCCTCGGTATTGCACACAAATTTATTCCTATGGCCTTCGGTACTCTCTCGACCCTCAAGAGAACATTGACAAATATTCAAATTGGATCCTTCAGAGCAGAACAGCTGATGCACTCTGCTAACTCATCAACCTTATATGAGCCCTGCATATGTAAGCTCTTATATTGCCGCTGTATGAGCCGGCGTCAGGGTCGTATTTCCCCGCTTGATTCATCTGCGACGTTGCTTTGGTGTCGAATAATGGACAGAGCTACATCCATGACCGGGCCAAACGCGAGCAACTAGCCAAACTGGGGTTGGTAGCGTTGCGCATTGTGATGAACCACGTCTACGAGTCTACTAACCAATCATGCTTCTGCGTAAGCGCCCAAATTGCTGGCTTCGGCAATCTCCCCACACCGGCCCTGTAGGGCTCAGCTTCTTTACTGGGGTACAGTATGGACTACCCAGACCAATTGAAGCCAACGCTGCTCTTGTTTGCTGGCAGTTGAAAAATCGAGACCTGCATCGGTCAATTGAAGATATAGTCGCTGGTAACTGCGCGAGCGAAAAACAAGTCGGCTGCCACCCCGCGGACGGCCGAATGCTGGCACATACATGTTGTCGGTCTGGGACGTACACACAACTATCAAGAACGATGTGAGCCGCGTTGGGAGAAGGTAACATGGGGGGAATAACGGTGTGGATGCGCGCCATCTGCATCTCTGCAAGCTCAATCACCAACATTGCTATGATTGTGGACCGATGAAGGCCGCTGCTTAGTTTTTCTCCCACTGAAAGTCGCATATGCTAGCCTGAATGCAGAGGACATAACTGACTCGTTGTATGCAATGCCTAATCTCAGGTGCGATGGGCCGGCTCGCGATGCCTTGCTATTCATCACAGGCTTGACAAGTACAACACTGATCCGTCCGGCTCGATAGAGCTCATGCCAAGACCGACGGCTGAACGTACCTTCTGCATGTGGAAACATACGAGATATGGCCCCAAAAAGAGCGTGATATTGAGACACGGCTGTTGTACTGATACCAGCGACTCGATGTTGTCGACGTTGGCCCATGATGGGGCCAGGGGCAGCTCGTTGTGGCTTCTGGTCCTTTTTAGATGGATAGTCAATAGGTCATTCTAGGGACTACGCAGTCACGCGCACTTGCTCATCCGAAGCTGCGTTCCAGAGGCTGCGTTCCAGAAGCTTGGCAAGTTTGACTGGCAACATGGCACGATGACGTTGAAGAAGCGCAACATATAGTCGAAGTACATGGTGCAAATCGTGAGTTGTGGGTTTGAAGAGTTGTGCATTAAACAAGGTTGCTCTAACAAAGTTTTAGTTGATATGTACATCAAATGACCGGCTTGCTCGAACTCCATGCAGCCTACGGCTCAACAATGCGCCCGCACCAATAGTAAATGGCCGGAAAATATTGAAAGAGCTGTCCAGCCATGCCAGCCCTCGCCATTGTTCCAAACGTGGGGTAACCTACGCCAATTGGACAACTCCCCACGATACTGGTTGCACCATCAGCCGCCGCGGCCGGCTCGTATCACTGGCGACTGGACTTGTAGCAGCAAGACGCAAGCGAAGCTTGAACCAAGATCATGGAAAATCGACCCGCACGCAGCACGATACGGTTTAGCTCAGCACAGCACATGCTGGTCGCGCTCCGGTAAACTCTACGCTTGTAACCGATGTGCCTATATGTGCTTCTATTATGACGTTTTTTGACCACAAGTGGAGTAGAGTTTGTGGAGAGGCGAATCGGTACTCGGGCACCAAGGGCGTTGCATCAAGCAGGCATGAAGCGTTTCCACCCGAAATCTCAAAAACGCCCATCTGCAGCGCCCAGGCGCTATTTTTTTCCGTTTGGTTCCGGCGCGGTGCAAGATGCTATTGGACGAGCGGCTTACACGTCACGAACAGATGGGAAAAATTGCAAAGGGCAAGCGGGGAGAAAATTGGGCGCGCACTGCCTAGACCAATGGCTGTCGTTGCAACACACGTGGATAATCGGCAGTTTGCTCCTTTGTTTTTGGCATGTGTCGGCACAGGGCGCTGCTTGAGCCGTCGCCGCCCGCGATTGGCGCAAGATGGCGAGCTTGTGAACCGTGAGAATGGCTACGCCATGCAACAGCCACGAGTGAGAAATGACTGTTTTACCGTAACACGGAGCGTGTGACAGTTTTCACAAGAGTGAGGGGGTGTCTTTGGTTTCTGAAAACCCCAGGATTAGCGTCGCGCTGTGTGTTACCAGGGCGTACTTTTTGGTGAGCATGTCGACCCTGTCACTGTCTACACGGGTGGCACGGCCCTTGCTAATCCCATGTCGTAGCTGACGCCACCGAGAGCAACCAGACTAATCTGACTAGTTATGGATTACTCCATGGTTTCAGAGATATGTGGGTGTGGAAGAGAACCTTGTGTGACTGACGAAGGAGTATAAAAGGACGTGCATGGCCCCGATTTTGTTCTACGGCCATTCCATCTTTTGCAAACCCAAGCCTTGACAAAAACTCGTCGAGATTTCCAAGTTTTTTAACTTGATTTGTGATAGCAGCTTCCCTCATTTCCATCCATTTACGCGGATACATCTACGGTGTTCTGCCACGATATCAACGCCGCAGTTCCAGTCTCTGTCTTGCACACTCACACACCGCTATACCATCAAACTTTCAACTCTCTTTTCACACACGCACAAAAACATGTCTTCTTCTTCCAACCAGAACCAATTCCTCATCCTCTCGCCTGAGATCCGCCCTGCGAAGGTCCAGCCCGCTGCCGCCGCCGCCGCCGCGCCGCGATTCCTCTCCCTCGCCCCGGACGTGTCGGCCTCGCACCCGCGCGCCCAACGCACCCGCGCCGACAGCGACGTCTCGTCCTCGGCCGCCAGCGCTGACAGCCCGACGCTTGCGGCCGTTGACGCGGCCGTGCCCGTATCCAACACGCGGGTGCTCAAGCTCAGCCCTGTGCACTGGGGCGCCCACGTCGAGGACCACCAGGGCGACTACCACGACCTGGTCCGGTCTGCGTAGATGGGTGAGGGAGGGGAAAACATGGCACGGTTTGGCAAATGTCAAACACCTGGGGCTGCTGGGGAGGGGATAAAACTCTATTACAAGCTTAAAAACTGGCTTCAAATCCGGTTTGCATATCCATGAAATGTGTCTGAGACAACATCTCATGTGGCGGAAACACACGACGCGCGTGCGGGCAGCAAGGGTGTCGAGAGCCGGAGGCGAAAGTGGAAATAAGTTGAATCTGCATATGAAGCACGTTTTGGATCTTTGCTTTTTATTTTGCTTTTGCTACCTCTTTTGTTCTTGGCATGTTTTATGACATTCTTTTCCCAGACGACAGCAACTTGAAATTGCATCACACCAGAGCGAGAGAGATGACCTGGCACAACTTAATCCAGAGACAGAATGATGACACAACTTTGAATGAAACTGGAAACAAAGCTTGACTAAAATAAACTCGTCGATGAAACTTATGTGCATACCAAATGACTCGTATCCATCCGATGGAAATTCTCCTCAACATTCATGCCCCCCCTCTTTCTAGAGACTGCAACATCATCCACACCGCAGCGGCGTGCAGGGTCGTAACCGAATCCACGGGGGCGGGTTTGCAAAAGATACTGGACCTTGACACAACCATCCCTGCCGTGCTTATCTCTGTGTTCAGTTTTCTGGCACAGATCGTTTGCCGAGATGCCTCACACCTTGTAACGCGTTTCTTGGCGTCCTCCTATTCCTACATCGACGATATGGGCGGTGTGGAAACGTGCAAGGGCGACTTGTCACGTCGTGCTGCAAGAGGGGACAGAGGGGACGGGGTTGGTCTGCACAAAAAAAAAAAAAAAAAAAAAAAATCAAAAACAAAAACAGGGAAGAAGCTCGCCGATTGTCATTGGGATACCGCCGACTATCCCGGAATTTGTGCCCTGACCACCCTCCTGAAGCTAGATCGCCAAGTGATGGATGGCAGATTCCGCCCACTGGAGTGGTAGCGTCTGGGACCTTCCGGCTTTAGTCAGATTTTGTTGCCAAGTCCCCTGAATTGTGCAAATGGCATGACCCGGTAATGAGATGGCGTGCAATGCTAAAAATACAGCTCGTGGCAAAGGGACATTTGCGTTCTGGGCTATCCGAGTCCAGGAAAAAAAGGGTGTCACTATGTCACATCGAGCGTAATAAATGTGCGTCCGCTTACCTGGCTTGAGCGCAGATCTGACGAGATTAGTGTCATCGAATAGGTACTACCCCTGTTACAGATAGCGTAAGCTTCTTTTTGCCTCGTCCGAGTTTGCTTCTGCCGACTCAAAGCTTTGCGCAAAGTTGTTTGGTTGTCAAGGTGGTTGGGGAGCTCTATTCAATTTACCATGAAAGAGTGTATAACCCCACACAGTCATTCTAGGTCTTTCCGGAAGGATAAACCGAAATGAGCAACTGAGCACAACCACACTTGGCAGGCCGGGATTCGTATGGTCTTGTTTCACTGATAAGCCATCCGTACAACCACTGGACCACCAGACCAATTGGCTGCCTCCTGGACAAGCCCGCGAAACGAGGCCGAATGACGTAGATGAATATTGCAACACTTGCCCAGCTGCATCTTCAGGCCCGGCTAGGACGAGGCTCGGCTTCCGACCTATGAGTCGCCGTGTTGACTCCTTCGGGATCCAGAACCTCTCGAACAATGGCTTGCCAGTCAACTCGGGCAACAGCAGGGCATTCTGTCCCCCGCGTGACCATATACAAGCCCTTATCATGGTACTTGCACCAAGCGGGCGGGTGTCCTCTTGTCAAGAAGAGTCGCGATGACTCGAGATCGGGATCTGCCAACACCTGAAGGAAGCCCCTCAGCGGTGGCTTTGTAAACATGACTGCATCTCTGGATGAGAACGACGTCGAGGCATGGAAATTCCTCACTGCAGTGTTGCCGCTCTTGAGGTTGAAATCAGGCAACCGATACAACAGTGTGATGCTCAAGGAGGCAAGATGTCCGGTGAGGATCATGTCAGAAAGCACCGGGGTGACAACCTGGTCGATCCAGCCGCGGTGACGTCCCACCTCGAGTACAAAGTTGCGTATTCTCCGCCGCGCCGAGGACGTCACAAAAAGTTGCAGCTTGCCCATCCCTCGCCTCTCCTCTGCAGCCAGAGAGCCCGGCACATCAATCGAATAATCCTCAAACAACCCAGGCTGCGTGCGCGCCCCGCGCCCCGGTGCATCGCTGTGAGAGTACGTCTGCAGCATCTTGGCCTGGAGCGCGCCGTGCTTGCCGGGCACAATGGATAGCTTAAACGTGTTGAGGTTGTACAGCATCGGACAAGCAATGGCGTGCAGGTGCGGATGCACGAGGAGAAGCGACCTCGCCACCTCTAGCTGGTCACCAAGCTCGCCGTGATCTGGGCAGGGACAGAGCTCAATGGCCGAGTCGAACTTGACCAGCGGCGTCAAGATGAGCGCGAGAACATCGACGGGCAGGTCGAGCAGGTTCGTGATGCGAGCGCCGGCCATGACTGACCGTGGTGTGGCCCGGGCAGGCCGAGAGCTTATGTAAGAAGATGAGGTTTGGTCGGCATTTTATCTAGCAAGATACGAGACTGCTGGAAATAGAAGCTTTTGTGTCCTGACCACACAGCGCATTGGGCAAACGCGTCGTATTGTCGCATGTGGTTGATGAAGAAGCAGATGAAGAAGCAGAGTACGGTACAGTCGCGGCGGGGTTTAGAGCCACTGGCGCACTGTCCAGTCTCTTCCCCCAAAATCCTAGTGCTGTGCAAATCATCACGTAGCGGCATCTTTCAGAATTGAAATTGAACAAGTTAAAAATCGTATTTTGGCCATTCTACCGAGTCTAATCATAATTCACAAGTCACATTTCGGTCTAGTGCTCGTTGTCAGGCCCGCTCGCTCAAGCACTTTGGGCTTTCGGTTCTTGCAAACGCAGCAGAGACAATCTGTCCTTGCTTGCTTCCTATGCTCCCGGGTCAAAACTTTCTTCGCCCACCCTCTGTTGAACTTTTTTCGTTATATAAAATCGACATTTTGGTAACCGACATCAAGACGTGGCATAAGAACCATCCCAAGATTTTCCTTGAACACCTGGTCCAATTCAGCGCTTCATACAAAAAACAGCCCTGCTTCTCCCGTCATTCATTAAACCATAATCGGTAGCTTATCAAAATGTGCTACCAACAGGCTGAGCTGGGTAAAAACATTTATCGGGAGGTCATGGCCTTGGTGACAAGGCGCTTGAGGGTGAGCTCCTGCTTCTTGAGTTCGTCAGCAGTCGAGTCGTTGAGCTCGAGAGCAGCCATGGCATCGCTGATGGCACCCTCAATCTTCTCCTTCTGGCCACGCTTCATCTTGAGAGACAAAGTCTGGTCAGAGACAATCTCCTCGACACGGCCAATGTAGGACTCGAGCTGCTGCTTGGCCTCGAAGCGCTTGCTGAAAGCCTCGTCGTTGCTCTTGAAAGCCTCGGCATCGCTGACCATCTTCTCAATCTCGGCGGTGGAAAGCTTGCCGACAGAGTTGCTGATGGTAATGTTGGCGCTGCGGCCAGAGGTCTTCTCAGTAGCAGTGACCTTGAGGATACCGTTGACGTCGACCTCGAAGACACACTCGAGGGCGGCCTCACCGGCGCGCATGGGAGGAATAGGAGCGAGGGTGAATTCTCCCAGAGAGGTGTTGTCCTCGCAGTTGACACGCTCACCCTACATAATCCGTTAGCCGGAGCAATTCAAATACAACGCAGAAATTAAAGGGGCTTACCTGGTAGACGGGGAACTGAACAGTCTGTTGGTTGTCGGCAACAGTGGTGAAGGTTCTGTAAAAAGCATGTTAGCATTTTGGTTCTTGCATGTACAAATGAGATGAAGGTTCCTTACCTCTTCTTCAAGCACGGGCAGGTGGAACCACGAGGCACGACGGGAGCGAAGATGTTGCCCTCCATGGCGACACCGAGAGACAGAGGGACGACATCGAGAAGCAGAAGGTCGGAAGCTTCGCTGTCCTGAGCCTTGCCGGTCAAGATGGCGGCCTGGACGGCAGCGCCGTAAGCGACGGCCTCGTCGGGGTTGATGCTCTTCTCGAGCTTCTTGCCACCGAAGAACTCAGAAAGGAGCTTCTGAATCTTGGGAATACGGGTGGAGCCACCGACAAGGACGATCTCGTCGACCTTGGACTTGTCCATACCAGCGTCCTTGAGGACCTGGCCGACGGGCTCAATGGTGCCAGCGAAAGCCTTGGCGTTGAGCTCCTCGAAACGGGCACGGGTGATGGTGGTGGTGAAGTCGGCACCGTCGAAGAGAGAGTCAATCTCGATGGTGGCTTGGGCACCAGAAGACAGAGTACGCTTGGCACGCTCACAAGCAGTGCGGAGACGGCGGAGAGCACGGGGGTCGTTGCTCAGATCCTTCTTGGACTTGCGCTGGAAGTCCTTCTTGCAGTGCTCAAGAAGGTTGGTGTCGAAATCCTGACCACCAAGATGGGTGTCACCAGCGGTAGCCTTGACGGTGAAGACACCACCCTGGATGTTCAGGAGAGAAACATCGAAAGTACCACCACCGAGATCGTAGATGAGAACGTTGCGCTCCTTGTCAGACTTGCCAGCACCGAGACCATAGGCAATGGCGGCGGCGGTAGGCTCGTTGATGATACGGAGGACGTTAAGGCCAGCAATGGCACCGGCGTCCTTGGTAGCCTGACGCTGGTTGTCGTTGAAGTAGGCGGGGACAGTGATGACAGCCTTCTCAACCTTCTTGCCAAGCTTGGTCTCGGCAATCTCCTTCATCTGTAGCGGGCGTTAGCTAATTGCGTGCGCAGAAGTCGAGGTTAGTAGGCAAACGGACCTTGAGGAGAACCATGGAGGAGATCTCCTGGGCGGAGAAAGACTTCTTCTCGCCGAGGTAGTCGACCTCGATCTTGGGCTGACCATCATCGTCAAGCACCTTGAAGGGCCAAGACTCGATGTCCTTCTTGACGGTAGGGTCATCGAAGCGGCGACCAATCAGACGCCTAGGAGAGAGATATCAGCAAACTGCATAGTTGGGGATATAAGCCGAGGCGTCAGGAACTCACTTGGCATCGAAGACGGTGTTGCGGGGGTTCATGGCAGCATTGTTCTTGGCGGCCTCACCGATCAGACGCTCCTTGTCGGTGAAGGAGACGAAAGAAGGGGTGGTGAAGGAACCCTGCTCGTTGGCAATGATTTCGACATTGCTACCCTCGTAGATGGCAACGCAGGAGTAGGTGGTACCTGTGAGAGGAAGCGAAATTAGTATTGAAATGCTGCGATTACGTATTCGCCAATGCTCGTCTCTTCTATTTTGCCGTGCTGGCAGCGTGTGGGAAAAAAATAAAACACTGCTCAGGCGGCGCAGATTTTTTGCGCCTCCAATTGGCAGCCACAACGCACAAAAACAGAGTAGCAGTAGCAATTTTGCAAGGGAGAGAGAGGAGGGGGGTGAGAGTATGCGTACCCAGATCGATACCAACGGCACCGTCGTAAACTTCGTCCGCCATTTTGATTAAGGTGTTTGATATGCCCGTCTGTGATGTCTTGAGAGGGATGGAGGATGCAAAAGGAAGAGGAGCCTAGAGAAGAGGGACGTGGGGTTACGGTGAAAGAAATTCAGCAGCCCACCACCAAAATTTTTGTGCTGGCCCGAGAATAATTTTTGGGGCTCTTTTTTTTTCTTGCCGCCGTACGGCAAAGGCGAGGAAAAAGAGCGGGACTTTTTGAGATAGTTGGCCAGTTGGCCAGCAACAAAGACAAGCTAGTCCAGTTTTAGGATAGTGCATTCGCCTGAGTTTTCTGCAGTGCACATGTATCTTATCGATTAGTCTTTTCCAGCTTATCAGTGCTTGAGATTGGCAAATGAGTGCTGCGTCTTGCCTCTTGGAAGCAATGTTGGTTACAATTGCGTGCCATCTCATCAAGGCAGATAGATACCTGCGTAAATTCTCTATGCCTTGTTCGCCTTGAGACCCAGCGTCTTGGCCTCGTCAGCAACCGTCGCTGCAATGGTAGACTTGAGGTCTGCGCCCTGTGCCTTCCATCCGAGGTACTTTTCAGCACGCTGCGGGATCCCTTTGGAGTTTCTGCCAAAGCTGCGTGCAGTAGCACCCACGATACTCTCAGCCTCCTTCAAAGTGACAGTCTTGGTCGTGGCCCCAGACTGGTATCCCTGCTCGGCAGCTTCGTCCAGAATCCACTGCGACACGTCCGACCATCGATGCACTCCATTGGACGCAAAAAAGTACCCGTGCAGGCCAAAGATTTCAGGGTTCTTGCTCTTCTTTGGATCCTGCGTGGCGTCCAGGAGCCTTCCAAACAAGTTGGCCAGATCGTCAATGTGTACATTGTCCCACTCAGTCTCGCCTTTGCCGACCACCGGTGCGTAGCCTTCCTTGAGCGTGGTCCTGACCAGCTCAGGCACCTGGATGCTCCGCGTGTTGACTGGTCCGGAGCCCTTGCCATAAATTGTAGGTGGACAGATGATTGCAATCTTGACGGCATCGGAGATGGTCTCTTGGACTAGAATGTCAACGTTTCGATGATGGGCGTAGTCCGGCAGAGTCACTAGACGCTCCACATCGTCAATGTCGCGATAGGTCTGTTCTGGCAGTGGTGGCTCGCCTTCGCGGCCGTGCTTCTGGTCGTACCAGGTCAGAATCGAGGTACCACAGAGATGAATCCAGTAACCAGGCTTCTCTGGTGTGTGGCCGCGTTCTAGGCCCATGGCAATGGCCGTTGCCCCTGGAACATTGTCTGAAGAATCGGCAGTGTCTGTTGCCATCAGAAATGAACAGTCCACGAATATTGTGAAACGTACGGATTACAACATCAGTCTCAGCAACCGCGTGCAGTAAAGTCTCAGAGTCCTCCAGCGAGCCATAGACGAAGTCAACCTTGGGGTACTTGTCCTTGATTGGCTTGGCACGCTCTTCATTCCGCACGTAGATGCTATAAGCATAATCGGGACGAGCTTTGTAGATATAATCTAGAACAGTGCCACCAATGTAGCCTGTCGAGTGCCAAACGTCAGAATATAACCTGCCTGCAGCATTGAAAGCATGGAGCGTCATAGCCCCGCCATACCTGTGGCTCCAGTTCTAGAGGCATTGTTAATCGGCTGCGGGGTGGATGTGGGCACATGATTTATGCTCTCTTACAAAAAGACTTTAAGGGTCATGATGAAATGACTGCAGCTAACACAGATGGGAATTGATTCTGGAATAGATGATGAATGCTTGCAAAGTGATGATATTTGGATGGCAGGTAAGATCTTGGAGTTGAAAGTCGTCATCGTGAAGTGGAGGGAGGGAGCTAAACAGCTAACTTACTTCGAACTACCGTACAGTGGGGAGACAAAAGCCCCGAAAATTCTACACTAAATATAATATAAAGACTACTAGATAAAGACTAATAACCCTGTTTTGATAAATTTTTACGTATGTTTCTCGAAGAAGAAAAGCATGCTAAAATTTAAAATGATTGTAAATACATTCGGTCCTGTGACCTCGCAGTTTCTCAACCGTCTCAGAAATGCGACGAGGGGACAAGAACGCAAGCTAGATCTCGCCGGCTCTGTTCTCAAAAGACAATCTGTATCAATAATTACAATTACGTATAAAACCATACCTACCTTAGCCCGTCAAAAAATATGTGACGGGCTTGACCAAAGTACAAACCCAATTTTTCAAATCAATCCAAGAAACTGAATCTCGGCCTTTGCAAAGTAATGTCAAAATACAAGTCCTTCGATGATCCAAGGGGCAAAGCAAGTGGGCTTGCAACCCAAGCTCCGTACTCCAAGCGCTCTTGTCAATCTCGTGATCCAAGCCCATTTCTTAGGAAGCTTCGCCGATTGTGATGCCATGGAACTTGCCAAACTGAATCCATTTGTTCTTCAGAAACGGCCAGCCCAGCACGAAGTCGGGATAAAATTTGTCTTCATTCTGCACAATGGCACCAAGGCACCATTCCTTTTTACGTTTCGGGTCTGTTCTCGTTTTCTGGAGGACAAGACTCTCACCCGAGATATTATATTTCCTAAAGCCCCAATATTTTTTCTCCCCATCCAAGAGCTCATTGCCGATCCGGGTTGTGGTGTTTGTGAATTCTATCGCAAAGTCGGGCAGCTTCTTTTTGCAAGGAACCTCCCAACCGCGGTGGCCGGTTGGCAGCTTGATCTCCCGCGTGGGGGCGCCAATAGTGCGGTAGTAATCCTCTGCTATAGGCTGAGGTGCCAAGATGTAAGAAGTGGTAGAATCCATGCCGGCCTGGAAGATCTTCTTTCGTATTTTTCCAGAGCCAAAGGCGTACCCAGTCATGTTAAGCACGTGATAAGAGTTCTGGTTCCCATCCGGAATTTTGTCGTTATTGTAGTAAACGGTTCGAAAGAGATCACCAGTATGTCGGGAGTCGTCATGCATGTTCCAATCCATATGGCCTACACTTGTTAGCTCTTGAATCATCTTTGAAAAAAATTTGTACATACCTCCAGACTCCTTGAAGGCGATGGAGAATCGCCAAGAGTGCCCGAGGTTCTCCTGCATATTAGTTACTATACTCTCGGGAAGGTGTGCGCCGCGGTCGCTTTTGTAGCCCAAACCAAGGACACCGACAAAGCTATTTTCGGATACAAAGCGCGGATGGATCTCCTTGGCGACACCGAAGTCCTGGTGCCAGTATCCGAAGGCCTGGGAGCCCTCGCCGATGGACATGCGGTCGCGGTAGACTGTGCCCTGAACGGCATGCTTTTCCGGGTACCACAGATCAAAGTTCTTGAAGCCCTTCTTGCGCTTCACGTGCTCGCTGCTGTTGCCGGGAACCCAAACCTTTCTGTCCGCGACAGGCCATCCGCCCCTCGTAACGGGATCCGGACCCAAGACCCAGGTGGTGGCCATGCCAATGTGGACGTCGAGCTCCAGAAACTCAGGTGGATCGCCGATTTGTACAGGGACGGTGAACCGATGGCCAAAGGGGGATTTGTGGAACCTGAGAGCAAAGGTTCCATTCTGCTTGAAGAAGTTGGGAACCGCATTGATCAGGTCGGAGCGCTTGTCAATGCCCATACCAACATCATCGGCAAACTCTTCACCGCAGCCGGGAGAGGCAGGGTTGACGGCAAAGACAGAGCTGATAGTCGTAAATATACCGATGAGCGCGGTACTACGCATCTTGAAGTGGTAATCGAGAGGATGACCTGGTTCATACTTAGTATATCTTTCTGTGTGTGAAGGCGAGCAGAAACATACAACGTTCAGCACTGAGGGGATGTTTGTGTGAAGACCAAGCTGTGCCAAAATATGGGGACCTAAGCAGCTTTTAAATATGGTCTGTTCAGTCCAAATATGTCGTGTGTCATTTGTTTATTAGTCGCTTACGCGTGCTGGCGTAGGTTTACTGCAAAGTTTGTGAAGACAAATGGGGTTTCTTTTTTGGCGACGCCAGCAATGGCGGTGCAAATTGTCGCTCCAGTATGAAACCTTGTCTAAAAACTGTAGGATATATAGTCATTTGTTGCCGGATTTCGTTTACCAAGTTTGAGCACCCGTCCCACGGAAGCCGTCTGATTATCGAAATTCAAGAGTCATCGTCACAGCCCCGAAAGATTCCAGGTAAAACACATTCGCAGCGGCAGCGATGGAGCGATTCATGGTGATCAAATCTAGTTGAATTAGTTGTAGAGGACTTGGAAAATTGATGGTTGTGATCAAGGTACATACGAGAATTGTTGGGTCTATTCACACGGCGAGATGGCTAACAATGTAGGCGAAGCCACTGTTGAACCTTGTCTACCAAAGAAAGACACTTACATTTTGCAGCTGCCTCTATCCAGCCAATCAATTGGTAATTTGCCTGACATCCCTTATTTATGGCCAAAACTGGCCTCAGAAAGTTGTTGGGGAGGCGCGCCTGTGGGCTTCCTCGCTAAATCAGCCACACTTCTTTTTTCATGACAGAGATGCACCGAATCTTTTGCTTGTCGGCCAGCGGCTCTGGCTTTGGCGGCGCCCATTAACTGAACTTGTTTACGGATGTGGTGGCCGAGGTCGGCGGCGAGGTCGGTGGCGTTGTTGGCGGTGGCTGCTGCTGCTTGTCCGATAAAGCTCTGCTACAGTAACTTGCGATTCGTTTTACGTGTTGCGCTCGCGCATTCACCTCGATACCACAGGACCGTCAGCAAATTCTGGCGCGAGGCGGTAAAGTAAGAGGCTCGGACGTGGAAGCGGTCCTCGCAAGCAGTAACTGCAGTTCCGATCCGGCGATAACTAGGTATTTAGGTTGGTAAGAACTACACGTGCCCGCCCGCACCCACTTTGCCTGTTTGCCAGTGTACCCCGCCCTCTCCTTCTCAAACAGTACCTAGGATGGTAGAGAACAGGCAATGGTACCTACCTATAACTGCCTGCTCGCCCTCTCTCGAAGCTGTGACCAACTTACTTTTCTTTTTCATCCCCCGCTCTTCCATCATCGCAAAATCTGCCCATCTGCCCATCCGCCAAAGACTGCCATCCATTCTATCCAAACGCAACGTCTCATCATGCCCGACGGCTACACTTACAAGAGCTCCGGCACTAACAGCCAGGTAATACTGCCGTCGATGAGGCGCTAAGGACATGGCGACAGCTAACTTGGTGCTAATTTCTATTTAGGGCAACCACTACTGCTCTCGCGATTACGGCTCAAGCGCCGCTAATTCCAACTCGTACCACTACTCCAATAGGTGAGGCCTGGCCCCGCCCCCAAACATGCGCATACATCTCGAGTACTATCCGACACTAACGCCATCGCAATAGCGACGGTTCCTACTATTACTCCAACCCTAATGGGAGCACGTACCACAATGATGGTCAGGGAAACGCCACTTACACAAGCCCTTCTGGCTCAAGCTCCACGTCTGGCAGCAAGAAGTAACTACTCAATGAATGCCCGACACGCTCATAGTTCGGCAGTCGCTTGATCCGCCTACCTTGTTTTAGCATGGCTCAAGCCTCGATACTGCACAAGTTGCTAGTGCTCAACATGATTATCTCATTTTCGTGGTTCAGGACAGTAACGCAACAATACCATCTGTTTTCTCAAATGCCACCTTCACTCTACATACTGGAGCTCAACATAATCGTCGCTGACCTCATCGCCGACCGTAACCTCGGCACCATATACCGCGGTACCAATGCCTCCAGTGACACCATAAGCGCCAAAGATGGCAGCACGAATACCAAATTTTCCCTCCCTACCCCACGCCCAGTCCGACACCGTCATGTTTCTTGTAAAAGGCGCAGCAGGCATAGTCCCGTCTAGACGCGCTCGCGTTAACCTAGAAAAAGCAATCAAGGCCAAGACTCGTTCACGTACCCTGCAGATAAATGGACGATATCGGTGAGCCAATCACGATCTTGGGGTCCTGAGGCCTTGTTCCAAGACCAAAAGTGATGCTGGTCTGGTAGGTAGTCGACTGGTCAATGTTGTTGACGAGCTTCACCGGAATTGTCTTGCCCACGGCAATCGTCTGCGGAACCTGAATGGAGACAATGGAAGCAGTGGCGCTCGAGGCCAGGGCAGAGGCAGCAACGGTGAAAGAGAACTTCATGTCGTCGGTATACACAGTTGAATTTACAGGAAATATCTTCTTCTACTACAATGAAACAATGAGACCAAGTGAGGAATTTCTGTCACCGGGCTGTGGCCCTCTTTTTATAATAGATGCAGATGCACGCTGGGTTGGATTGCATGAGGTTGCCGGCTGGGCCCGTCAGCAAATGAACTCGTTTACACCTACCGCGGCGATTCAACAAATGCGGGTAAAGGTATATTTGAATCTGGGAACAATAAACCAAACACCTATGAAATGATGCATTGCTCCAATATTGGTGCTGTATTTGGAAGGTCCCTTTCAATACAGTGGCCCTTAGCATCGGGAATCACCTCGTTTGGCAACGCCGGCAATCGGGAGCCACATTAACCACAATAAATAGTGGTTCAGCCTCAGCTGGGCGACTAATCGAGGAAACAATTGATACAAAGTGTTATTCCACGTTACATAAATCCCCGCTAAACAATCAGATCGTGTCCGGAATCGCCTGCCTGGTGTCAGATGCTACACAACATACTACAAATCTCTCTCGCCGTCCATAATCAAATTCTCAAACAAATTCAAGCACAGTCTACCGTCCAACGGAAAAGTAAACTGATAAAACAATTACCAAACACATGTAAGCGGCGAGCTCCGCAAAAAGCACTCGCTTCAAAACTGTTCTCTGCCCGAGGGTGAAGTGCGCCATCTCGCCGTGCGTGCACCAACTTATGGTCGAGTTGAAAGCACCGTAAAGGGCAATGACGCCAACGACGGGAAAAACCACACTAATCAAAACGACACAGAGAAATACAGACGCCAGCTTCTTTCCGCAGTCTCGTGCGTAGCGTCTTCGAAACAGAATATCCGCCCTGGCAGATTCCATCAGGCGCGTTTCGGATGCCGTAAAGAGGGACTGTTCCAGCTGCAGAGGCCCATCTCTGGCTCGCCGTTCTCTGGTCGACGCTGAGAAACCGCGCAGTCGAAGAAGTCTGGGGGCGACTTGCCGGAATTCTTCGTCTGCCGACTGCCAGTACGAGGCACGCGGGTCGGGAGTCTGGAGAATCTGCGACCGCCGCTTGCCACCAAGAAGCAGCAACGACGAGACACGTTCACTAGATTCATTCCACAGACCTTGAACATGTTAGTCTCTTCAATTATTCACGTTAGAAACTCTTACATACCGTGACTGCGTGGAGAGTCCCAGCGGGAGTAGGCAGGACTCAGCTTGTCGATTTGATCTCGGCTGCTACCAATCTGGCCGTGCGAGAGAAGGTCGGAGCGCGGTGTGCGGGGGCTGTTGGCCGATGAGATGGTGCTTCGCGTCTCAGAATGTGGTTTCGTTACAAAGGAGCTTGCAGGATCGGTATGGTCCTCTTCACCGCGCTCAATGCGAACCTTCTGGAGTTTCGCTGCCTCGGGTAGGCTAATGAGCGGAAATGGGAGACGCGGGATACCGACCCTGCCGTTATTCAAGTCCAAAGGAGGCACCTCTGCAAACAACACCCTCTGAGGGTCTTTAGAAGACTCAAAGCCCTGCCAGTGGTTTCCGCTGCCAAAGTACTCGGAAGACGCAGTCGAGTTCAAGCTGTCGAAGCTGCCATTAAACTGCTTCATCTCGAATGTCTGAGCGTCTCGCTCTCGAGATACAGTGAGGCCATCGAGGGAGCTCGAAACGCGGCGCACTGCTGCTTGCAATCGTGATTTTGCTGGCGTGCGTGCGCCGTACTTCTGGGTGGCCCGGTACCCAGATCCCGATGTGAATGACACTGGTGGTTGATGGGCTGTCCCGCGATAGTCGTAACTGGCAGTGTCGGACACGTCTGCAACACTGCTACCAGTCTCCGCGTTTGATTGGAACTGGTGATTCTTTTGGCGGGGGAAGAGGTGATCACTTGTCACCGTTTCCCAGTCGCTTTCATGAGCGTTGGGAGAATCTTCCGGAAGAGGTAGGACAGGCTGTACAGGGCAAGATTCGACTGTTGAGCTGCGGTGAGTCGGAGACGATGTGGCCAGTTGAACAGGTATCTTGACAAAGTTGTCGACTTTCTAAGCCGATGCAACTGCGTCTGCATTGTAGAATGACCGAATATGATGCTCTCGAATGTCCCCGAGGTTCCCAGTAGAAGTACCAGTGAAGCTGACACGGCGCCGAGACGACGGCCGAGTCTCTAGCGCGCAAAGAGCTCGACTTACATCTCGCTCGGCTGAAGGGCTAAGAAACAACGAGCGACATGTGCTGGTCTCTGACCCTTGCGCACCAAGAGTGGACGTCTTTGAATGACATGCCAATTCCCTGCGCCAATCTCGGTCTAGCAATGTCGTAGCTGGCCACGCACGCTCTTGATATTGAGAGATCGGTGAAAAGTTTTCGTGGCCAATGTCAGAAGCATGAAAGCTGCTGTGACTTGCGTTGCTGTACATGCTCAACGTTGACACAAATGAATCGTCCCGACTTAACTGGGGCTGTATAGAGTATGGCTCTAGTAGGAGCCCCGAAGAGCCAGAGCTAGGCGTTGTGTTTCGTTTTTGCGAGACCGAAGGCAAGGCGCGATCTTGGCTAGCCGTATTCATTGGTGAAAAGATCAAAGTGTTTGTAATTTGGCTGTTGGGACGACGTTGCGAGGCTGTCGACGTGGGTGTCGTGTTAGAATGTCTTCTCGGTGGACGAATAATTGATCAAGTAGTAAAAGTTCGTGTCCCAGCCAGAGCCGGAACTGTAAGTATTTATGCTGAACAAAGTAATACTCTGTGTATCACATCCATGAGTGGTCGGACAAGACAGGGGCCGCGTCGGACCGAATGCACCCCCTATGAATGTTTCAATTTGTCGTATCGCAAGACAACTGGAGGCCAATGAAGGAAGTAAAATGTTGACAACGCCTTGAGAGGTGATGGAGCGTAGCTTGACAAGGTGTCACCGTACTACGAGCTGATTGTTTTTGGCATATGTTGTTGAGGCGTGAGACGATGGGAGCGAGACGCGAGACGCGACTGAAGAATAAACGCGAAAAGGGTTGTTCCCATCGACGAGCTGGCGGCTGGCAAGATTGCATCACTGTGGAGGGCCTTGATCCAAATCAGGCCGTACCTAGGTAGGTAGCGATAAGCGAAGCCCAACGGGGCTGGCAGCTGGCAGCTGGCAACATGACAAAACACAAACCGACATAGCCTTGTGAACCTGTCCAGGCGAGCCTACCTATGCACACGCAGGTGCTGGTGGTACGAAAAGACTGATGAAATGGCATACGAGGCTGTGGCTTGCACAAGATGGTCTGACGATGCTCCAGAAATGATGAAATCGCCAAGTTGGGTCGGCCAGCCCATCTCTGTACAACGCCGACTCGGCTTTCTTTTTCTTGCAAACAGTCGTCACACGCCATTGGGATTGGCCGTATCCGACGCTGTTGATCACTGCGGGCAGGGATCTGCACCTACATAGAATGCAGAAGTCGACTAGATCGACTCAATCAACCTAAACCATATTGGAGATCAGGCGAGGCCGCATAGTGAGGCTGCGACGAGGTCATGGTGGCGTCGTTGGGGCGGCTGACGCTGGGCAGATACTCTTTGCCTGATGATTGGGCTTCAAGTATAGTGCACCAGTACGAAGTACAGTTTGCAAGTATTCGATGATGCCTGGATTCGATGGTGTGTGGCCCCGACCATGCGTTGTCGCCCTATTTTGGCCGAACTAGCAAGCTGCGTCTGCTTATCTGCCAGCGTCGTTTAGGACCAACTCATGCGCGATTCGGCATGACAGCACCGTCTCGGGCCGGAAGCCTATTATTGACTTTTTAATCCGGGGGCTTCTGCTAATAACAAGGCTGTCATGAGCTGGGCCAACTAGCTGGCGGCACGGGCGGCATGGCTGGGAAAAGCCCATCAGCTCGTTCCATGTAAAGTGCATGAGTGCCAACTAACTTCCCTACCTGCTAATCGAGAACCTACTGCGGGTCACACCCTCCACCAAGCAGAGACAGCAGCCGCAACTGCGCTCCTCGGTCACCTTATCCTTCACTTTGCCTACTTCTTAGCCGCAACGAAACCCAATTCGACTCACTGCCTTTACGCTGAACGCGGACAACATGCGCCATGGACCGCAACCGCAGGCCATCCGGCTGGGATGAGCTGCCAGACGAGATCTTGCTGCAGATCATCGCCTGTATGTTCCCCGCTTCAGCCTCGCCCACGCGCCCTCCATTGAAAGGCAATCCGAGATGCTAATGTACGAAATGTGCAATAGACCTTGAACCGTATCATATCACGCGTTTGCGGCTAGTGTCGCACAGGTTGCAGGAGCTTTGCTTGGATGACGAGCTATGGAAGCGGAACTGCTTCGACGAGTCGCCCTGGTACCTAAGGCTCCAGAATAGGCGCGGCGCTACTCCCCCGTTCTTCCGTCTCGCTTCTCATGGTCACGAAGTGCAAAATGCGGCTCGGGCCACACAAAAAGATGTGACCTCAACCAAAGGCCCACATCTCGTCGTGCCACCGACTAAACCGCCGGCAGACGACAGCAAACATCGCAAATGGCGAAAGATACAAGACATGGCGAACTGGGATCCGTCGTTCCCAACCGAGCAAGTATCGTGGTACGATGAATACATTCAACGCTGTGGACCCGCCTGTATATCGTGGCTACAAACGCCGCGTATACGAGATTGTGGAGTGGAAGCTATAATCGAATCGCGTGGCGTCGCCCTGTACAACCCGCACGACGGCAACGATGGTGACGGAACAATGCTGGCTGTTTCACCCCTCGATGATGGATCTGTCTGTCTTTGGGATATCAAAGGGACTCGAGGGAAACAGGGCAGCATAATTGGGCGTAGTAAGCCTGACATCCTTTTTATTGACGGGCCCAGCGGCCAGAATAAGCGGCGGTCGAAGCGAATTGACACTGGAGTGACTGAATGTGTCAGCGTCAATCACCAGAACAACAGGGCGTTCTTTGCTGTCCAAAGTCGTAAGTGGTCTGGTTGTTTGCCTAGCATAAGTACATTACTGACTGTACGCTAGATCTTATTGAAGTCGACTTAAATCGCCTTGAAGCTGTGAGCCGACAATCGTTTGAATGGTCTATTACGACCATGTCAGCCATTAATCAGGGCCTGCCTCTAACTGTTGGAACGTCTCTTGGCATTCATCTGCACGATTTCCGAACACGAGCCAATATACCCAGTGACAGATCTGAGCGAGTGGAATGGGACGAGTCGGATGTCTACAGATCGATTTTTGATCCCAAGCCTCTGCCACCCTACGCATCGCTGTCCCAACCTACCCCCATCAGTATCCTGCATCTCCCAAAATTTGGATCTCACGACCAGATGTCGGACGACATTTATGTATCAGGACGGTTCACCAACATATTACACTATGATCGGCGTATGTTCCCGGCCATAGTAGGATCAATCTATTCTGGTGGTCTGATAAAAAGCTTGGCTGCCGTGCCATATCCATATTCAACGGTGGACTACGAGGTTCGACGGCACGGCGAGTTCCCGGTGGAGCAGATCTCACGAATCAAAAGGACTGGTAGCGGTGTGACCATGGTTGCTGGTGGCGCGTATAAGCTCAAAGGCTCCCTCGAAATGTACGGGCTCAGCTCTGCTGTCCATTCAAATGACCGCGCAACATTGCAAAATGCTGCAATGAAGAATCGACAAACAGCAGCTTCGGCGACAATTCTCTCGCTGACGACGCATGGGACCAAGATTGCATTTTCAGACGGAACCGGGTTGATCAAGTGGTTTGAGAGGGATGGCTTTACAGAATGTCGGCGACACAAAATCGGGTCATGCGATGCAAAAGCAAGTAACCTTTTGGCCAGCAATGGACGTGGTGAAATTGCGCGCAAGATTCTGTCGACAAAGTCGTTTGTGGGCCAAGATCGACCGAATAATGACAATATTCTATTTTGGACGGGCGAGCGGCTTGGTTTGCTGAGTTTCACGACAGCACCGTTATACCAATCCGATGACTTTGAGCCGCAGGATGAAGAGATGGCAGCGGAGGAAGAAAAGCGACAGCAGTATGCTGACAAGATGCGTGAGGCGCTTGAGAGGCAGACTGACGAGATGCGACTGATGAACCGGTTTGGACACGGCCCAGCATAATCATGGCGATGGACGCCTAATCTGATACCGGGCACACACGGCGCGAGCACAGCTCGCCACGTACATAATGACGAAAATAATTGAGATGCCGCATGAATACGAGTAAAATGAGATATGCTCATGGGCTCCCGGCTCTAGAAGTATTTCGCTCATAAATTTTGCTGGGACGCCACTGGTGCCCAAGGACCATTAGGCTCTGCTTGGGCTCGTCGATGCCCGGTCGCATCACGGCAACCCATCGTCTCGGAAGATGATGCTGCAAGTAGTCACGATGGTGGCAGCCAAGAAGAAAAACAAGCAGCGGCACAGGAGCAGGGAAGAGGATGTCGTCTGTCTATGAGGCAGGGCTCCGATTCGGTGCATCGAAAAAGCGAAAGAACAAATGGCATCAGAGGAGCGGCGGGCGCGGACCGCTTCCGAAGGTCCCCTAGCTTAGCTGTAGCTGGAGCACGACGCTGAGCTGCGACCATGGGCGCCCAACCTGCGAGGCTTTCCTGCTAACTACATCGCTTAACTATTATTATAGACGGGGCAGTGCTGGGCCAAAGATTTTTCTTCTCCTGCCCTCTTGTTGTCTCGAAGTCGAATCCAACTATACGAGCAATCTGTTACATTACAAATAGACCGACCTTTGCCCTCCCCTCCCCGCATCGCCGGATCTAGGTAGGTAGTGTGACAGACGGTCGGCTGCCCTTCATCACCCATCTACCCATCTACCCATCTACTTGGCTGGCACCTGCTCAAACGTCACACCACACCGCTCGCCGATCCAGCGGGCGTTTTACACTCTTTCACTATTCCCGCCGGCTCGCCACTTCCAAATTCACTCTTCGTCTTCCTTTTCATCTTTAACATCTCATTGCGATTTGTTCCGAGTCTTTGGCCCTCGACACTGGAGCCTGCTCCATGGCCTTTTGGGTTCTCGGTACTGGCGCCGGTGGTCCGCCTGACAACAGCCACCCATGGCATCCCCATCACCAAGGCAATCACTGCTACGACGACTACAGAAGCAAGGCTTTTCAGCCGCCGGCCACCCAAGATCATGTATACCACCACCAGAATGCAAACAGGCATAGCTATGACGTCCACCAACCGGACCATACCGGCGGTCACAGCACAAAGCAAGCTGCACCCTCTATCCAGATCAAGAACCTCGCTTTCTTAGTCATTCGCGAGCAACATCCCGACAGCCCGCCCTCGGAGGCATGCAAAATACATTCGGTACCTAACAACAATGAGAGCAGCTTCATTCAAGCTCCCCTCCCACAGCGTCCGGCACCCCTGGAGCGTACCGAGTCCGGGCTTCCCATCGCAGATACGGCCACTCATGAAGACGACGATGAAGAAGGTGAGCAAAGCGGGTGCTTTCTCGACGACCTGGCCGCTGCCCAGCTCGTGCGCGACCACGTCGCCAGTTTCCAACGGCGGTGCCCAGACTCACAATCCGGGCGCATTCTTCGCGCGCTGATCAACCCCAAGAATGAACGCCGGCGAACCCCGTCTCGGAGTCGGAGCAGACACCGCCGGCAGCAGGATATGCCGCACCGCCACGATGATAGCCCGAGAACCGCTGGGACCTCGTCTTCTGCGTTTCCTCTCGACAACGACGCCCTTCGTAGCGTCTTTTCCGCCGCCAACGAGCTTTTTTTCGCAAATCGCCTTGCGCGCCGCGTCGCCTGGGACTGGAGCCACCCGGGCAGCGCGCAGTATCAGAGCGCCGTCGTCGGCACCACGGCGCTGCGTCGCTGCGCCCACCTCGGCGGCTGGGAGACGCTGATTGTGCTGTCGTCGCCTGTGCTGCGCGACACGCGCTACAACCGCCGGCTACTACTGTCGACCTTTTTGCACGAGATGATACACAGCTTCTTGTTTGTGACATGCGGTCGGAAAGCTGGCCGGCAGGGTGGCCACACGGAAGGCTTCCTCCAGATTGCCCAGGTCATTGATGCGTGGGTGGGTAAGGACTACCTGCGACTGAGCGACATGCAGGCGGATCTGCAGTATTTCGAGGACGGCAGTCCGGTGCCCGCGACACCTTGCATGGGGTACAGGCAAATGATTCATGATCACGGCGGCGGGGGTGGGCAGGAGCCGAGGCAGAGGGCTGCGGTCCCCGCGTGGCAGCTGGACAATGAGAGAAATGTGTGGCCGCATCCAAGCGGCGGAGACGCTGCAGGGCATGGCATGTACCTGAATGAGCCTGTGCTGCCGCCGCCGCAGCAGTTTCGGCATCCGGATGACGGCGCCTGGCAGTGGTACGAGCGGGAGGGCTTCGAGACCCGCGACGGTCCGGTTGTCGGTATGCACTATTAGATTTCCATCATTCGCATTTGTACGGATTACATTGGAAGGCAGCGAGCATTGCTATGGCGTTTTCTTTTACTTTTTAATTGGGGTTTTAATGAAGATGCATGGAACAACTGGATGTACACGATGACATGATGCATGAGTTGTCTTTGCAGAGTTTTGTTGAATTGTCAACTATTGGATGGCCAAGAAATATAGCTTGAATCATACGTTTTACCATCTCTGACGTTCCCAGTTGCCAGTCATGCCAGTTCAAAAACACACCCGTGAAAATGCAACAAACGCCTGATGATGCGGGTAGAACAATGCAAAACAGAGCAAGTCATCGATACCACCATTTCTTTGCAATATGAGGACAAGAGCCACGTATCCAATCTCGGCTCCTGTCTGTAGTAAGACGAGGCAGGCGACCTGAATGCTACTAACGTCTAGCAATGGATCGGTAGTTTGTGCCGGCGTTTTCATGGCCCTTGATTAGTGGCTGCCTCTCATCGCTGTCGTCGTCGTCGTCGTCATCATCGTCATCATCGCTGCCCACCACGGCCGACTCGTTGGGCAGCAGCACCGCACTCCCTCTGCCGCCGCCACTGCTACTCTCTGACTCCTCTCCCTCCTCGGCCGTCGCAGTAGTACGTCCGGCCGTGGGTCCAGCCCCCTCGACGATGAGGAACCCTGGCACGGCGCCAATCAGGGCGACGAGACCGAGGAAAAAGTAGGCGGCGACGACGTAGCCGCGGTCAACGCCTTGGGTAAAGACCCAGCCGGCCGATGCGGGCCCGAGGGCGCGGCAGAGGGCGCTGAACATGGTGGCGAAGCCGTTGAGGGAGGATAGGATGCGAAGGGAGGTGCACGAGTTGGTGAGGAGGATGGTGGTGGAGGGGAAGGCGACGATGATGCAAAACGCCTTGAGGACCATGACGCCGACGATGGCGAGGAAGCGCGCGCGAGGGGTGGGGAAGAGGGAGGCGTAGGGCGTGATGAAGTAGACGATGGGGAGGGCAATGGCTGGTGAGACAAGTCGGTCAGTATTGTACGAGGTGTGCGTTTTCTTCTTCTTATTTTCAAGCGAGAGGCAGTGGAAAGACATACAGCAGGCGCGAAAGGCGCGCAGGACGCCGTAACGAGCGACGAGAGCCGGATAGAGAATAAACTGCACGGCGGCGCTGGTAACGCCGTAGATAATGAAGATTGTGCCAATGGTGCCCGGGTCGAGGCCGAAGCCGCCGTTAAAGTACAAGGGCGGCCGGTAGTTGTCGGGCGTGCGCGGCTCGACAGGCGTGCTGAGGAAGACGGTAATGTTTTGGTCATAGGCGACCGAGTGGAACGCGAGAAAGGAGTAGGAGAGCAGCGTGACGACGGTCTGGTAGGTGAAGATCTCACGAAGCGTCGCGGACGGGCCCCGGGCCTTGCCGCCGCGTGCCAAGGGCCTCGAGGGGACGAGCGGCGCCGTGGCTTCACCGTCGACAAATGACGAGGTACGGCCGCGGGGCTTGATGATACGTCTCCGCGAAAAGGCGCGTTTGAAGCGCTGACCGACCAACAGGCCCCAGTCTGTGTGGTCACGCTTCGTCTCGAGCGTTTCCTGCGCGAATGTGTAAGCGGATATGCGCGTTCGCCGCATCGAGGATGGTCAACGTACCTTGAGAAAGAATGTGGCGCTACAGACGGAGATGAGGAAGAAGACGGTGGCAAGCAAGTTGGGGAGCGCATAGGGAAAGGTGGTGAAGAAGGGGATGCCGCCGAAAAGACCCGGGTACTGCTCGGCGGGCTTGGCGAAGAAGCCACCAAAGGCAGGGCCGACGACGGAGCCGAGCGACCAGACGAGCGGCATGATGGAAAAGGCGCGGGGCTGAAGTTCTCGCTCCGGTACCATCTCGGCCACCATGGTTCGGATGATGCCGACTATCAAAAATTCATGTCAGTGAGAAATGAGAGTCCTTTTCCGACTGTTTGAAAGTACATGTGTAGAGTAACGCACCGTTTCCGTTGCCACCGCCTTGAATGGCGCGAACGGTAATGGCCATGGGCAGGCTGGTCGACAGGCCCCAGATAATGAAGCACGTCATGGTGCTGAGCAGGCCGGCGATGAGGACGGGCTTGCGGCCGTAGCGGTCAGCGGCGCGGCCCCAAGGCACGGCGGTGACGCTCTGGGCGAGGGAGAAGGCGGCCGCTGTGAGGCCGGCCCAGGTGGCAATGTCGTTTTCGGCGACGCCAAAGTCGCGAATCATGTCCGGGAGGTAGGGGTTCACAGAAGTATAGGCGATGGGCTCTGCGAAGCGGGCGACGGCTGGTGAGAGAGGAGGGTAGAGGAGGACATCAGCAAGCTTTTCATGGTGTGGCGAGGCATGAGGTGCGGCAACGAGTTTGACGACGAATCAAAAGTAAATGGATAGCTTATCACGGGGCCGAAATGCGAGAGAAGTAGCATGATGTAGCGGCCAAATTGTATGTATACTTCAATAATGGTGTTTTTGTGTGCATACGGTGATGGGGGCAGCAACGACAGAGCAGTTGCATCCGTTTGGGAGTGTTTGCGTACCGAGAATAGCGAGCTGCTGCACAGGCAGCTTAGGCCCAGCAGAGTCGACATCTTTGGCCATGACTGCTTGCAGGTAATGTTACTCAATATAAGACGGATGGCTCAGAGTGGTAAGTCGTCTGAATGCGTCTAGTGGGATCGATGATGCACGGCTCTGCGAAGGACGCAGGTGGCGAGGGGGACGGGTTGCAGCCCAGCGGCAGTAGGTAGGTGGAGGTGCTTATAAGTGGTATGTTATATACAGCGAAGTGAGTACGCCATGATATTTACTCCGATTACCTATGTAGAGAGGTAGCAATTATCAGGTAAAAGAAAAAGGAGCCAAGGGGATAGCAAACAAGCCAGTGTTTGGGGGACAAACGTGAGGATTTTGGAGATGAAGATGTGAGAAGCGTGCATAACGGCTTTATGTAGGTAGGCAGAGAAGTAAGGTAGGTAACTAGATTCTGGGGAAGGAAGGCTAGAAAAGGTCAGCTGCAGGCGCTGGAAACCCCCGCTATTTAGGTATTATGCATCTAAATTCACATGAATTTAGCACTCAGTACCCAGTAAGTAGCGGATAGCTAGCTCCCTACCTGCTGCCCCCGACACTGTGGCTTGCTGGTGCCGCCGATGACGGGATTTCGTCATGGCGAGGCGATTCATGAGGCTGTTTGTTTATCTTTGACAATTTGAACAGAGATATGGACCAACTTGGAATGGCGTCTGCCATTCAAATCACAAAAAGGCTGATGACCTGATGCACCCACACACGATACAAGCGCGGCTCAGAATGTCATGCAGATTCGGTCTCTTGAATCAGGTTATACAGATCAACAAGGTGGTTCCCAAAACCTTTAGATACAGAATTCAACCATCTCGGGCGCTAAGCCGTCTTCGCCGTCTAACACGATTATGTATCCAGACGGTACGGCCGCAGTCTGACCTTGTGTACGGCATAGACAGACGGTGAAGATTGTGAAATTGAAGATTCGTTTGAATATTTGAGCAAAATGCACGTCGCAAATTCTCCAGCTGCATCCTATCGCGACCAACCCGGCAGGCCGGCAAGCCACTGGCATGGCTCCCGGCCCCGAGTCTCGGAGCGCCATGCCGCTGCGGGGAAACACCTCCAGACCTTGGCCTTGTACCTCGGTCATACAAAATTGCTGCCGTCGATACCTGCCCGGCCCCTACGCGGGAGGCGTACCCTGGCATGCCGGTCGCTACCCATTACGACATGGATGGTTGCAACCGTGCAAGATTGCTTGCCTCTGGCGTGCTATGCAATTACTTTTAAATTCACTATACCTATCAAGACTCTTTGAATCTTTTCTCATGTTTCCACGTTTCTGCAAGCTCTGCATCGCCGTCTATTGAACGACGCGCTCGGTTCGACTATGACGGAACCGTAAGTACACCATTTCTTTCTTTCTTTCTTTTCTTCTATCTATACGGATGGATATAGCTCTCGTTTGTGCCCCGCTGCTTTTAAAGCCGCCCGTCTGCCCTCTGTTCGTCGCCGTGTTGAAGGGTGCAGCATCCGAGACAGCCCTGAGCCACGCGGCTTTGGCTGCAACACCAAGGTCAACTTGCGAGACAAATCCTGCCCCCAACAAACACATATCCAGGGAGCAAACGCACAACCTCCCAACGGGCCTAATCGCATTCTCTTCTTCTTCTTTCTTTCCATTTACTTGTCAAAATCTGGCATTGACTTGCTCAAGGTTCAAATTCCCCTCTTGGTCCGCGGCACCACCACCGCCGGAGAAAATGGCCGCCCACGCCCACCACCACTACCATGCTCACGCCGAGTCGACGCCGCTCATCCACGCCTCGCGCAACGCCGCCCTTGCTGACCAGCGCCGCCGCCGCGAGAACCGGACCTGCCGCCGCTTCTTCCTCATCGCCGTTTCCTGCATCGCCCTCTGGGGCCTCTTCTCCTTCTTCTTCCACGCCCTGTTCGTCTGGCCCTACCACTACCACCGCCCCCACGACGGCCGCCACTCGGCCAGCGACCGCGACGGCGGCGGCGTCCTGACCTATGACCAGCTCAAGGCCATCCTTCTCGACACGCCCAACTCTGAAAAGGCCCGCGAATGGAGCAAGTACTACACCGCTGGCGCCCACCTTGCCGGCAAGAACTTTTCCCAGGTGCGTCGCAACTGGTGTAGTAAACACTTTACCGGACGGACGGATAGGTGGCTAACACAAGACATGGTCAGGCCGACTGGACCCGGCAAAAGTGGGAGTCTTGGGGCGTCTCCTCTAGCATTGCCGCCTACGATGTCTACATCAACTACCCCGTCGACCACAGCCTGTCACTGCTCAAAAAGGCCAAGGGCCATTCCGGCGCCTGGGACGTTGCCTTTAAAGCCTCCCTCACCGAGGATATCCTCGACGAGGACCCCACCAGCGGTTCGCCCGACCGCATCCCGACCTTTCACGGCTACTCGGCCAGCGGCAACGTGACGGGCCAGTTCGTCTACGTCAACTACGGCACGTACGCCGACTACGAGGACCTGGTCCGCGCGGGCGTCGATCTGCGCGGCAAGATTGCCGTGGCCAAGTACGGCGGCATCTTCCGCGGCCTCAAGATCAAGCGCGCGCAGGAGCTCGGCGTCATCGGCGTCCTCATCTACAGCGACCCGGGAGACGACGGCGAGCTCACCGAGGAAAACGGCTACAAAGCCTATCCGCACGGCCCCGCGCGTCAGCCCAGCAGCGTCCAGCGCGGCAGCGTCGAGTTCCTCAGCACCCGCCCGGGCGACCCGACCACCCCCGGCTACCCCTCCAAACCCGGCGCCCCGCGCGCGCCCCCCAACGACGTCATCCCAGAGATCCCCTCTATTCCAATCTCCTACGTCGACGCCCTGCCCATCCTCAGGGCTCTCAACGGCCACGGACCCAATGCGAGCGACTTTGGCAATCCCTGGACGCGTAACCTCGGCCTCGTCCACAAGGGCGTCAAATACAACGTCGGCCCGTCCCCCGCCCACCTCGCCCTCAATCTCTACAACGAGCAAGAGTACGTCACCACCCCGCAGTGGGACGTTATCGGCATCGTCAACGGCACTGTCCCCAACGAGGTCATCATCATCGGCAACCACCGCGACGCCTGGATCGTCGGCGGCGCCGGCGACCCCAACAGCGGCTCCGCCATCCTCAACGAAGTCGTGCGCAGCGTTGGCGTCGCCCTCGAGGCCGGCTGGCAGCCGCACCGCACCATTGTCTTTGCCTCGTGGGACGGCGAGGAGTACGGCCTCATCGGCAGCACCGAGTGGGTGGAGGAGTACCTCCCCTGGATCGACGACGCCAACGTAGCCTACATCAACGTCGACGTCGGCGCCGCGGGCCCCGTCTTCCAGGCGTCGGCTGCGCCGCTGCTCAACCAGGTTCTACGCGACGCCACCCGTCTCGTGCCCTCGGCCAACCAGACGGTCCCCGGCCAGACTATTGGCGACGTCTGGGACGGCCGCATCAGCACCATGGGCAGCGGCAGCGACTTTACCGCCTTCCAGGACTACGCCGGCGTGCCCTGCATCGACATGGGCTTCAAGGGCGGCCCGCGCGACCCCGTCTACCACTACCACTCCAACTACGACAGCTTTGCATGGATGGAAAGTTTTGGCGACCCGGGCTTCCGCTACCACCGCAGCATGGCCCAGCTCCTCGGCCTCCTCGTGGCCGAGCTCGTCGATAACCTTGTCATTCCCTTTCAGGCCGCCGAGTACGCCGACGCCCTCGGCACCTACCTCGATCAGGTCGAGAACAAGCTGCGCCACTACGACTACCGCGACGGCGACGACAACAACCACCATGCCGCAATTGACTTTGCGAGCATGGACGACGAGACGCTATTTCTTGAACGCGGCCGCGTCGGCAGCTTCCAAGCCAAAGACGACGTGGTGACGGTCAACGCCGACGCCTTTTGGACTAGTCTGAGAGATATGCGCCTGTCGCTGGCGCGCTTCCGCATCGTCGCCGGCGAGCTGGACGAGCAGGCCGAGCACGCGCGCGAGGCTCTGGACCGGGGCCTGCCGTGGTGGAACATTGTCGGCAAGATTCGCCTCGGCGTCACCATTCTCCTCGTCAACCACAAGTACAAGGAGCTCGAGCGCTACTTTTTGTTCGAGGGAGGCTTGGACGGCCGTAGCTGGTTCAAGCATGTCGTGTTTGCGCCGGGTCTGTGGACCGGCTACGCTGGTGGTGAGTTTTTTTCTTGTTCTTTCTGTTAGATGGGACTACGTTGTGACATTTTGCTAATTGGTTAAACAATAGCCGTTTACCCCGGATTGATGGAGAGCATCGATGCCAAGGACTACAGCAACGGCCTCAAGTGGTCTGGCATCATCAACAAGTGCATTCGCAGAGCGACCAAGAGCCTACAGTAGGCGTAATGACGGCGTTAATTTAGTGCACATCTGATGAATTGAAAAATATTCGCATCTCGATTGGGAGTTACCTTGCACGCGCTGAGAGCGCCCGCCAGCAATTTGGAAACAAGCAAGTAAATTATAATGTCGTGCGATTGGATAACGTATTGCATCCTATACACTTTGAGGAGCTCATAACAAACGCCAATACGCCAGAACCTCACACATTACCCTCGTTTCGACCAGTCTTCTCCATCATCATGTGTAGTACGGGCTGTGCGGCTGTTGTGGAGGGGGAGGATAAGCCACCGCCTGCTGCGTCGGCATCGGCGAGACAGACTTGTGATACGAGGTGCCCGTGTGCGAAGGCATCACTGGCGCCGGCGCATAGTAGCTCGTTTGCTGCTGCTGCACGTACCCCTGGCCAGCGTAGACGCCCTGCTGCTGCGGCGGCGCGCCGTACATGGCCTGCGGGTTATACACCGTGTTCTGCTGGGTAAACGGTATGTCGGCACCGCTCTGCGGGACGGTCTGGTAAGTGGTGTTCTGCGGGGGCGTCATCAGGACGCTGGCGCCGACCACGTGGCGGACCGGCCGGCTGTGGAGGCCGGCGCGGTGGTGTCTATGGATGACGACGGCATTGACGACGAGGCAAATGAAGAAGAGGAGGCTGCGTTTTTTGCATGTCCCTAGTTAGTTTGTGCGCTTTCTACAGCTTTGTTGAATGTGCCACGCCCAGATAAAAAAGACTCACAACTCGACCGCGCCGAGTCCCGCGGCCGCAGCGCCAATGGCGGCATTGGCCGTCGTCGTGTACCTATCCCCGTCGTACCAGCTGTCATAGTAGCGTCGACCGAGGAGGTATTTGAAGTTGTAGGAGCCGCCGCGCAGGCCGCGGCCGCCAAACAGCCCCGCGGCGAGGATGGCGCAGGCCGCAAAGCCGCCGAGCCAGAGCAGGTACTGGTAAATGTCGAGGACGAGGACGGCCCAGTAGTTGAAGGCGCGGGGGGCGCATGAGTGTGCGCTGATGAGCCAGATGCTGGTAATGATTGTGCAGACGGCCTTTTTTTGCCCCTGGTCAGTACTACTTGTATGGTTCTTTTTTTTTTTTTTTTTTTTTTTTTTTCTACAAAACGTGTATGTAAGAGAGAGAGAAAAGGGATCTTGCCGTAAAGATTTGCACGTAGAAACCGGCGCCAATGACGCTGGTGGTAACGAGGTAGCTGCAGAGACCGAGGGTGACGACGGCGATGATGAGCTGCAGGATGCGAATGGTGATCCAGCCCTTGGGATAGTTGGGCATGTGCTCCTTGCCCGGCGCGCGTACTTCGGAACCCATCGTTTGCTAGTAGCTAGTGGGAGTATCAAGGTCGTCGAGTCGTGAATGGAGTATGCCAGTTGGTCGTCGCGGCTTCGGTCACACTTTTGAAGCAACTCAAGTCACTTACACGAGTTAAAAGAGTCAAGAGATGAATATAGCCCCAACTACAAAATTGTGAAAAGAGGCGGTAAACCTCCTTGATAAGCAGTTGCAGATCCCGAGTGCGCCCAGCTCAGGGAGCCACCCGTTTATGTTGAGTTTTGCTCTTCATGTCAAGACTTGGTGCCTCACATGCAGGCACGCGGCCACTGGCCGAGTCTGCCTCGTTGTTTTCTTGACCCTGAAAGTCCACCGCATTTTGGTTCAGCTCCGCGAGCCGACGAGATTAGCTTCTCCATCTGACTGGGGTAGCTTTTTACTGCACTTGGTCGGGGGCGTCGATAGAGATTGGCTGATGGGACATGACGTTTCCACTGCGGCTGAAGCTGGACTTTTTTTTTTTTTTGGTGTTGGTTAAATCTCTGCGTCCATTGCCGTAATTAAATAAATAATGTCTGTCACGATTGCTTCTCTTGGAGCAAAGAACTGTGTGAGAAGAGGGTAATGCACAACATTACCCTGTTTGCTCTTCCGCTTGGGAAACTCGTAGTCGCTTCACAGACTCTTGTATTCCTTCTCGCGCGTTTTGTCTGCCAAGATGATGATAGTCTTGTTGAACTGGTGAGCTGGCTGGCAGGGCTCTTCCGGGCTGACTTTTGGGCCAGTTATCGTGTGGGCCGCTGGCCGATCATCAGCCCTACCTCTTGGCACGTCAACTGGGCTCGCATGTCGCAGAAAGCTTCCTCTCCCTCCTTAGTCATCTCCAAAAAAATTACCGTGCATCAATCATGTCGTTTTGCAGGATGAGGGGCCTTTTTGATTCAACCAAACTCGATAATGCCCCCCTCCAGATCAATGTACGACATGGCCTTGTGTGGCTTCGCGCTCCATCGCATGGGTTGCCCGAAACCAGTTGCTAGCTAAAACGATCGACGTCCAGTAGCACAACGAAGCTCTCTCCAGCCCGAAAGCGGTCCTCAGAAATGCACAACACACCTTCTACCTGTGCCAAACGTGCCCTTGCTGGGTCAACGATGCTTTCGAAAAGGGCAAGGAAGGTCCAAGCCAGTGGCTGATGAGCTGATGGACGGGGGCTTGGAGGCGTCAGCGTTTGTCGCGGTCAAACAACAACAACAGCAACAACACAACGGCTTCGCAGCGGCTTTGCGAGATACGACAAGGCTCAGCCAGAATTATATCCTAAAGATATCTTGCAATCAAACAGTGTCCCTCCGATGGCGTCTCATCAGCCACAAGAAAACCCAGGGCGTCTGATACCACTACCCGAAGAGCTACTTGTTAATGTGATTTCGCATCTTACCAACCGCGAAAAAAAGTGCTTGCGCACCGTCAATAGCATATTTAAGCGGCTCTCTCCCTTGCGTTTTGACCGTGTCTTCCTCTCGGCCAACTCGCGTAACATTGACGTCTTCCGCGCTATCGCCGACGACGACGAGCTGCGACATGGTGTTACAGAAATTGTGTGGGATGATGGGCGGCTCAAGGACTGCAGATACTCTCCTGACAATGATCTTGATGACGAGTTTAATGAGAGAGCAACTGAAGCCATTGTTGCAGGGCCTGATTGCCCGTATTGGTACAAAATGGTTCGCCTGTTCAGTCTGGCGCATGCCATGGGGTTGAGTACTAATCGCATGGCACTGCCTGAGCTGCCGAATAATATCATCAGCCTCACTGACTCTTGGAAGTACTACAAGATGCTTCTACAGGACCAAAAGGCGGTCCTGAATTCCAACGCCGATGTGCAGGCGCTCAAGCATGGCCTGATGCGCTTCCCATCGCTAAAGCGCATCACCCTCGTACCATCCGCCCATGGTCCATTCGTCGGCCGGCCTTTGTACGAGACGCCCATGCTGCGTGATTTTCCGCCCAACTTTGGCTACCTCCTGCCGCGGAACTGGCCCGGCATGAAATCCCCACAGTCTCTGGACAAGGTCTACTCGTGGTATAACTACAACCCCAAACCCACGAGCGAGTATGGACAGAGCGATGATCAACAGCGCGAGTATGAAAATCAGTGGCGAGGCTTCCGCGTGCTGTTGAGGACGCTAGCTGAGAATCCGCATCACATCACCGAGTTCGTCATGGACATGCATCATCACCGAACAGGCATCAACTGCTCCATCTTCGGTTGGCCAAAGAAGCCAAGCCAATTAGAGCACGATCTAGTCAAGCTCCTGTCTACGCCAGGCTTCCGACGTCTTGATCTAGCTCTCTTGACCGGCGACAAGGAGCGCTACGAGTGGCCCGTGTTTCACACGGCATTCTTGCGGCGGGCGCTGGAGAGGGCGGAACAGCTCGAGCACATCAGTCTGTCGTGCACACTGGATATTCAACCCAACGGACATGCGGCGCCGCTCAGTCTGCACAGGCAGGAAGATGCGGTGCCATTGCAGGCCATTTTCCCTTTGGAATTATGGCCGAAGCTGCAACACTTTGCCCTCAACCGGCTTCCTGTGCGGAAAGAAGGCCTCGTCTCTTTTCTCGCAGCTATGCCAGACTCGCTTCGTTCCGTCACGCTCAGCCATCTCGGTTTTGTAGACGAAACCAGCTCCTGGCAGAATCTGCTGGGCGACATGCGCGACATGCTCGACTAGAAGACGCGCGCTGTTGAAGAGAGGCCCAGCGTGAGCATTATTGTGAAGAATCCACAAGTCACCGATCAGTGGAAATTTGTCTACCTCAACATGGCTGCCGACGAGTTTCTGTATAGCAGCTCAGAGGTCAGCGCGAACCCATTTGGGGAATTCGACGACTCTAATGACCCTATCGATGGCCCGGGAGTCATGGAACGAAGTTATATCGATCCATCGTTTGAGAGGCCATATCGGATCGAAACTTGCGAGGGCGGTCGGCGTGCAGTGCATCGCCATGGTGGAACCCGAGACTCGCTTTCACGCCGTGATTATTGAAGATGACGACGATGGAGATTAGCAGGTATACTGTCAAGCAGGCTGACAGGCATATAGATCGTCTTGCATAGATATTCTTCAGATGATTCCGAGGACATTGTTAAAAGTAGTTTACTTTGTCTTGTAGCCAAGCAACCAGCAAGGTTTTGAATTGTCCGTGCTCTGCCAAAACACGTTGCTTTCTGCTCCCTTTGCGCTTAGCTAACACGCTTTCCTTGTCATGACTACCTACTCTTGTCATACCTTGTCTTGCCCTTTGACAACAATCGGCCAGTCACACATCACCATGGCGCTACGTGCATGTAGCGCGCGCCACGTCGATCAGATCAGCCAGCGACCCTCCTTTTTTACTAATAACACTAAACCCAGACTGACAATTGAGATCCATTCCCATCAATTCCCATTCTTTTCACCGAGATTTATATCACAATCCCATGTCAACAACACATGCCGGGCCAAACCCAAAAACACACCACATTTGCGGAAACCAATCCTACCCAACGTCTGTGCCACACAAGGGTTATACTGGTATTATATGACCCCCGGTCGGCATATGGCGGCATAACGGCAAGCAAATAACAGATTACGGGGGGCGGCACTCGATCTTGCCCCGAATGCCGGTCTCTCAACTTCCTGTTTCAGTAAGAAAATCAGCCACCGGGGACGGCTTCACGCCACGAAAGAAGCAGGACAGGATGGACCCTGCATGATTCTCCGCGCATAGCGCATAGTCGGAAAATTATTACGACCTCCCCCTCCCCCATCGAATATGACAAGGAATAGGCCTTCCCTCTCATCTGCATCCTTCCATTTCGTCCTTCCTTTCTCGATGGTCTTACGTACGACGGCCCGCTTCGTATTTTCAGCTGTTCCCCGAGGTGTCAGTGCCCCCCCGAAACTCGAACAAGAAGAAAAAAAGTCCACTTTGGGGGGACCACTTCATGCGCTTCATGCACAGAGAGACCATGTGCCGCAGCGCAGCGCCGATCCAACCTTTTTTTGTTTCCCTAACTATCTTTTTGGTGCACAAAAGCTCGGCGACTTTTTTGTGTGTTGTTCGTTGGCATTAATCATGCGCGACTTTGAGACATGGCAAGGGCAAAAGGGCCCGACGCTAAGGTGCGCCGATTGTTGACAAGAGATGAGACATGAGGGAAAGTGAGATGAGAAATATTGCGTGCTAAGACATCCGTGTATAAAATGACTGGCAGTCCCCATGTCGACTGTATCTGTTGGGCCCTTTGTTCGTGCTATTTCATTCTCTTTATCCTTTTCCCCCCGGTGGTCTTATATACACCCTTTCCTTTCCTTCCCACCCCCCCCAAAAGAAGCCATGGTCAACGTGGTTGGCATCCTCACGGCCGTCGCCGCGCTGGCCTCTGTCACCGGCGCCGCCCCCGTCGAGGCAAACACCGACAAGCCCACCTGCGCGTCGGGCGTCTACCTGATTGTCGCGCGCGGGACCGGCGAGGCCGTCGGCAAGGGCAAGCCCGGGCAGGTGGCGGACCTTGTGGCCAAGCGGGTGCCCGGGTCGTTCAGCGTGGCTGTCGACTATCCGGCGACGGCCATTAAGCGCCGCAGCAGCAGCGTGAGCAGCGTGAGCAGCGTCTTCAGCCGCGCACTGTACCCGTTCTCCGTGGCTAGGGGCATCAACGACACCAAGAAGAAGATTCAAGACTACGTCGCGCAGTGCGGAACCTCGAGCAAGATTGCCCTCGTCGGCTTTAGCCAGGGCGGCAACGTCATGACGGACCTTCTCGCCGGCGGCGTCCTCAAGCCCGCGCCTCTAGACCCCAGGTATTACAAGAACAGTAAGTCCCCTGCACAACTCTTCCCCTTTTCCCCTTTACCTTCTTCCCGACTGCCCCCCCAATCATGAAACAAACACACACACACGCACAAAAAGAATTGTAGCCCTGCTGATACCTGAAGCAATAGTCATTGCCGTCACAGTCTTTGGCGACCCTACCTTTGCCCCCAACCAGGCCTACAACTACGGCACAAACGCCAACGGCAGCGGCGGCGGCATCTTTTCGCGCGAAAACAACGCCGGCGAGCTGGCCAAGCTCAACGTCCTGGCGGACAAGATTGCCAGCTACTGCGACATCGACGACCTTGTCTGCGCCTCGGGCGCCAGCTCCGAGGTGCACAGCAACGAGGTGGCCGCGCACGCCCAAGAGGCGGCCGACTTTATCGTGGCTCGTGCCCGCTGAGGACGACGGCGGCGGGCATGTGTGCAAAAAGTGAAAGGAAAGGGATTGTATATAAAGATTGCGTTGACCACCGGGTGGATTTAAATGTGAATACATGAATAAATACTGGACATGGATTAGAAACAAAGACATATTTATGACTAATCTATCAATCGTGTAATTTGTCGCCCACGTTGTGCAACACAATGCAAACAGAATGCCGTGTATTTTCCATCTAAATCTTACAGCTCTAAAATAAATCTATAGTACCAAAATGCCAATCTAGCTCAAAACTTGTAGACCTGGTCCTTGTTGTAGCCCAGCTCCTGCAGAGCGCCCGACAGCTCGCCCTGATCCTGGGGGCTGACCTTGTTACCCGAAATGGCCTTCATGAGCCCCGGCGGGCCGCAGACGAAAATCTTGATATTCTCGCTCTTAGGCTCCGGGAGCACCGTCTTGAGCAGCTCCTTGCTGATGAAGCCCGTGCTGCCCCGCCACTCCTCAGGCGCCTTGTCGAGCACGTAAAAGGCGCGGAAGCGCTGCGGGTACGTGTTCTCGAGCTCCTCGAGCTCCTTCTTCAGCAAGATGTCCTCCTTGCTGACGTTGCCAAAGACCATGGTGACCTTTGTCTTGTCGTTTGCGTTTTGAAAGATGCCGCGGGCGAGCTGGAACATGGGGGTGATGCCGGTGCCGCCGGCAATGAGGCCAATGTGGTCGTGCTTGTTCTCAGCCCAGGCGTACTTGGGCAGCGGACCCTTGATGTCGAGTGTCTGACCGGGCTGCAGGTTGTGGATGTGGGTGCTCATGGGGCCGCCGGGATACTGCTTGACGAGGAGCTCGACGTAGCCGGGCTCATCTAGTACACAGACAAAAACACATCAGTAAGGGGTTTTTATTTCCTAGACTGGGAGATGACGAGAGATGACGGCATGCGGGATGAAACCGGAGAAAGAAGAAAAACTCACTCTCATCGTTGATGGGGGTGTAGGGACGCAGGGTCGCCTTCGCGTCACCCTCGCCCTTGTACTTGGCCAGCACAGCGCTCGCAATGGGAAGACCGGGAACCATATCCTTTTCGGGAAGCTCGAAGCGGAAGCGCTTCGTGTTGTGGTTGACGTCGACGACCTCGGACAGCTTCAGCGACAGGAAGCCCTGGTCGCCGCCGACAAAGGCGGGCTTGGCGGGCTGCTTGGAGACCCCGGCACCGGCGCCCTGCGAGGCAGATGTGCTGTAGTAGTAGTAGCCGCCGCCGCCGAGGGCCGCTGCGCCGAGAACGTAGACGGCGGCGTTGCTACCGCCGCCGCTGCCGCCGCTGGGTGTCGGAGGAGGAGGGGGCGCGGCAGCGGCGGGTTTCGCGGCCTGTTGCGCGGCCGAAGGGCCAGTCTCGGTCGCGAAGCGGCGAGCGTGCTGCAATCAGAGGTCAGCGAATATCCTCGAGGAATTGGCGGTTTGGAGAGTTTGGGAGGTTGATTTTGCTTTGAAATCAGCCCCCCGGGCGGGTGAAAACGCCCCAAAAAAAAAACGAGCGCAAATGCAGATGGTAGAATCTGGGGGTAAAAATGACAGCAGTACTTACCATTCTCAGCGGCTGAGCCGCGCGAAAGGCAGATCGAGCAAACATTTTGAATTTGTGTTCCCGGGGTTGATGAAAATGATCAATTGGCCCGAAAGGTACTGAGGGTGTTTGAGAAATGTAGAGCTGCGGGAGCTACCGGGGGCATCCTGACGTTACACAAGCCCAAACAGCCGTAATTAGCAACCACTGTGAGCTCTCCACCAAAAACGAATGACGCCATGCACGTGATATGCACCGTGAAACCTAGGCGAACCGGGGTCAACTCGGATTTACACGGCGTTGAGAACGGTCAGTATGTACGTAGAAAGCAAAGATGTTTGTTTGTTATAGTCAAGTATGAACAGTCTCTATCAACCCTGAACTAACAGTTTTCAAGCAAATTATATAATAATGAAGTCGGTATGCAAGCTCACACCAACTTTGGCCAAACTCACGTCTCCAGCGTCTGATTGGCTGGTGGGGAAGCTTGGTCAGCGGTATTAGGCAAGTCGCGCCAAGTACCCCCACCTGTTGCAGATCTGGCGATGTGCATCTCGATCGTGCCCAAAGGCCTGGTGCAACCATCAATTGCCCTCTGCTATCGCTGAGATTGGCTGGATTGGTCAGACTGGCCGGATTGGCCGGCGCAACGATAGCTGCGTCGAATGGCCATTTCTTCACGCTGACGTAAAAAGTCAGAGTTCACCACCATGTGGCGGCTGATGCCCCGGCCTCGATAATAATTTCCCCCACAGAGGCAAACAGCCCGACTCGTTTTTCACAGATTTACGATTCTCCTAACCCTTCTTATTTATCAGCATCACCCCTGCTTATCCACCTCGCACTCTTTGCATGCTCTTTTCTCGTGGGGCAAGAAGATTGGCGGCACTTTGCGCTGTTTGTCATTCATCTATTCCTTTGACTGACGAGTTGGCTGTTTGAAACTGTTGTGTCTCCGACCCTTTTTATAACCCCCTTAAAAACCGGCCTGAGGCCGTCTCTCGCCCTTGTTTTCCACTGTGCCCATTTACAGCAACGATCGATACTTGTCAGCCAATATCTTTCGATTCTTTGCCGCCTGCTCCTGCTGGTCCGGCCCAAACGCCTCGGGAGGGTCCACCCCGTCAATCCGCCACAGCGCGGCCGGGCCTTCCAGGACCGCATACTCGAGATGGATGCCCTTGTCCGTCGTAAACGGCTTCATAACGCCGTCGATGCCTCTTTTGATAGCCTCGGCGGCTTTCTTGTTTCCCTCCCAGTTTCTCGCAATGTGCGCGACTTCGAGCAGCACATACGGCGCAGCGTGCGGCTTGCCTCCCGTGAAGCCATTCTCTCGCTCGAAAGGGACGAAGAGCGTGTGGACGTAGAAGGCGGGCAGGCCGACGCTCTGGTACCACTCGGTGGCTTTTTTGGCGATGGCGTCTTTGTCTGCCTGGTTGGTGAAGATGCCAACGCTGTGGTTGATCTTCCAGAGAGGCATGATGGCGGTCAAAGAGAAGCGCTCAGTGGTGATTTAAAGATGTCGAGTAGATTGGGGTGATCCGAGCTGTAGCTTTTATAAACGCTTGCCTGGTCGAAACAGAAGTGCAGAAGATCACGGGCTTATATACTTTGGGAGGCCAACGCTGCATCATTGACACAACGCAAGTATCAGCATGGGGTAAGTAAGCTATTAACAGCTCAAAATGAGAACGCAACCGTAAAGGTTGCAACCTTACCAGGACGCTCGTGCCCGTGGGCGGAGGTAATTGAGGCTGGCTCCACGCCCAATCACATTTCCATCGCAGGAAAGCAGTGGCTAGCGCAATAAACTGTTTCTCGGTTACGCTAAAAAAGGCCGATCCTGGGGAAGGTGAGAAGCCCGGAGATGGACATGTAACACCGCGGGCATATTGCGGGCAGATGAGCCAACAGAAACCATTCGGTGAAGAGCTATTACGCAGAATATCAATCAAAATATGTTTGTATAAATCTGAACCTGTCAAGTTTCTTTCCGAGTAATTTCTCATTAGATTGTCACGTTCCGCGGCCGCCTCTGGACTATGTTGTCTACAGCCCACGATGTCCTCTACCTACGTAAGTCCGTTAAAAGGCCGCCATAAGTCCGTCCGCATCAATCGAGTCCCAACTTGCGCACCTTGCGTCACTAGCCTCCAACATCAAATATATTGCTTTTCCTTTTCCTTTGCACATATGATCCTTCTTCGGCCATAGATCACGTAAACATGCCTCTCGGCTACTTGTCAATTGGGTTTACCCCTCAAATGCCAACATTTACACTTGCCGGGTGACATGATGGTGTCATCCCAACTCAGATCCATGGCCGTCTTGGCAGTGGTGCCGAGTTTCGAGGCTTCTGCTCGCGCTATACACTCCGTACATCAATCACCGATTCGACATAATTCCGAGGGTCATGGTGCGGAGGTGGCGGACTCAGAATACTACTTCAAGTCCTTTCCATCCTTCGGCTATGCAGTGATCCCGTCCATCAGGGTAAAAGCATCCCATCATCATCAAGCAAAATGTCCAGTCTACGCTCCGCCGTGTACGTCGCGCCTCAGATCCCGTTCCAGCTCCCGGGACCGGGCGGCAAGACAGGCCTCTGGTCCCCCATCTCCTGCACCCTCATCTACACAGACCGCGAGGCCGTCCTAGTCGACACGCCCATCACCATTCATCAGACGCGTAACCTCATCACCTGGATCGAGAAAATCGCACCCAACCGCAAGCTTACGTACATTTACGTTACCCACGGCCACGGCGACCACTTCTTTGGCATCCCGGTCCTCCTCGAGCGCTTCCCCGACGCCGTCCCCGTGGCCACGCCCGCCGTCATCCGGCACATGGCGCAGCAAGTCGAGGAGCCAGCCTTTTCCACCACCTGGACGTCGCGCTTCCCCAACGGCCAAATCTACGAGCCGCAGCAGCCCACCGTCCTCACGAGCCCGCTGCCCGCGCAGCACAACACGCTTCTGCTCGACGGCGGCCGCCACGAGCTGCGCGCGGTCGAGGTCGGCCACTCCGACACCTACGACTCGACCATCCTGTGGGTGCCGGACCTCAAGCTCGCCGTCTGCGGGGACGTCGTCTACGGACAGGTGCACCAGATGCTGTTTGAGGCGAATACCCGGCAGAAGCGGCAGGAGTGGATCGCGGCGATTGAGAAAGTCGAGGCGCTGCGGCCGGCGTACGTGGTGGCCGGGCACAAGCAGGCCGAGGAGGTGGACGGCGTCTGGCACCTGGCGGCGACCAAAAAGTATATACAGGATTTTGGGAGAGTGCTGGCGGGCGAGCCCCGGGACGCCAAGGAGCTGTTCAAGGAAATGAGCAGGCTGTATCCGGACAGGCTCAACCCGGGGGCGCTGATCCTGAGTTGCACGGGAGCATTTCTCGTTTCAAAAGAGGCGCGTCTTTGAACGCGACAACTCAGGAAACAGGGGAGTTTGTAAGGGGTAAAAAGCGTTGGTAGTTCAGTCTACGTCGTGCGTCCAAGACTCTTAAGATGGACTAGGCCACGGCCCGCAGTGCAGACAAATTGAGGAGTCTATGCTAACTACTATGCTACTCTTTGTCCCCTTGAAGCTGGCCCTTGCTGATTCGTCAAGACGTAGACAGAAGAAGCTCTCCAACACATCAGATGTACTTCGAAATGGCCGAATGCCTATCCAAGATTCACACGAGCTACTGGATGCCACTTGCAATTACGCGAGCTTGAGCAAAATGAAGGGTGCATGCAGAAACAGTTATAGTCTTTGGTGTCCAACTTCGAATGTACTTTATTCAATGCAGACCTATACTGTATTTTGCTAAATCCTACAGTTATAGACCACTGCACTGTTTCCCCATCTGCTTGCACCTCTGGCAGGCGTCATCAACCTCACCAGCCGTAGACAGTGTTCATCCAACAATAAATATGCTTGGGAATCGCTGACTGGCTTGCAAAGACCCACGTCTACTGCTGCGGGCTTTCAACTGAAGATCTGGCGTCATGTCGACGGTCCTACTGACCTCAGTGTTTCGGACCTGGTGAGGGCCGCGTCACTCGTGTAGCTCCAATACTTCGTGCTTGTATATGCTGGGCGCCAGAATCGTGCATGGGGGCGCGGCAAGTCAAACCCTTGTTGAATAGGTTGGATTAGAGATATCATGTTGGTTATCGACGTTTGTCATGTTCGGTAACTATGTAACATCATCGATGCTGGGAACGAATGTTATCTTCCTCCTTGGATGTGGCAACAGCTTTAGAGTCTCGTGCTGCCTGGCGCGAGGATTGGTGGCCTTCTTTCGGGACTTCAGTCTCACTCTCCTTGGGCAGCGTGGGCGTATCCTGCGATTGGTTGATTGTGGGAGTGCTAGTCTGGCTGCCACCGCGTTGACCATGATAGTGCACTACTTGTGGCGGGGCTTGGCCAGCTTGAATGCCCAGCTGTTCCGTTGGGTAAGGGTTGAGATCTTTGCTCGAAGTAGAGAACATAGAAACAACAGGCTGGTGGTAGCCATTTGTGTTGTTGCTGCTGCCCGGGCCTATGAGCTGACTTTGAGTAAAGTGGTCGGCCTGTGTCGGGGTGCTGACATCGTTTCCAGAGCCAATGGTATCGTTGAGGTTGCCCGTCAGGCTATTCATTCCTCCTTCAATATCACGCAAAAGCCGCACATACTCTTCGGGCACCAGGCCGCTCTCCTGCGTCTTGGGATCTTCAGCCACCAGCCAACCTTGACCATGTCGGTATGAGACCCAAATAATCTGACCTTCCACAAGAGGAAGTTCATTTTCGTTTTCGCGCTCAAAATCGAAAAGAGCGACAGCCTTTCCGTGAAATTCCTCATCAGGCGAGGTAATGGTGAATTGGTAATCTCGTGAATAGCGAGATTGATCCGTATCCTGAAAGCCGGAAGATGCGGGGGAGCTTGCGTGCTCAGACGCAGCATACTCATCATGGCAGTGGCCAGTCTGGTCGTAGTGATAGGCACGACTGTGTCGTGATTGATCGGGAGGATAAGTGACAAATTCGCCTCCAGGGCCATTTGCCTCTCCGGCTTGGTTGACGTAGTATTTTTCGCGGCCATCACCAGCGGTCCCAACATAGTACCCCCTCTCGGTGTCGTAGTTTGAGGGATTCAGGATCTGGCTGCGATGTGCGCCGGCGGCTGATGTGGTAGACCTGTGCTTGCGGTGGCGAGTGGCGACTACAGGGCTCTGCAAGTCTTCGTCTTCGCTATATGGAGGTCCGCCGTCACCGCAATGAATTGGGGGGATATCGTGGGCGCGTGAGAGTCTGTCGGGGCCCCAAAAAGACGGCGGGAATCGCTGCTCCCAGGCAACAGGAGGATCCGACAGTCGGCGGCTCTCACTTGCGGGAGTAGTCCATCCTGATGGCGGCCCAGATGGTTCTGGAGGTGGACCATAATGCAGTGGGTTCGTGTATGGGTATGCGAAATCGCGCACGAGGGTGTAAGACAGAGTAGAGGGGAAGAGCGGAAACGCATTCGACTCGGGCCTCGACTTGGATGGGACAGAGCCCGTCGAGTACTGAGAGAGGCGATTCCTCGAGACGTGCGACATTGGGCGGGAGAGGGTTGAGCGGCGTGCTGAAGGCGTGGTGGCGGAGGTGGTGAGCGGTGGCAGGGCCGAAGGGTTAGCTTTGGAGGCGGCGGGCAACGAGTCGTTGGCTGAGGAACTCGACGGGGTATTAGATGTGACAGGCATGGCCGCGGTCGTTGTCATACCGTCGCGGATCAAGGCAGGTGAACGGGCGCCTTGACAGGCGGGCCGCGCACCAAGAGGTGAATTTGACGCCGGTGGTTCGCTGGGTGGCTAAGTAGGCCTTTGTACGACGCAGCAGCGGTCGCGACGGTAGCGCTGCCGGGATGGGACCAAGCAAGCGGTGGACGGGCCTTGGATGAAACAAACGAAGCCCTGCTATAGCGGTGTCGGAAGCGAGAAGCCGATGGATGACTTGTTGTGCGATCGCCAGGCGCGAGGGACGGAGGAGGAGAAGGATCTCGCTGTGTGCTGGCGGTTGGCGCAACCCAATATTTGGCAGCGGCTGGAGAGGAGGGCGCAGACGCAGGCGTGAGCGTGGGGTAGGCTAAAGCGGGCAGGCCACAGACACACGGCTGCGGGCCGGGTTCGACGAGAAGATATGTGAGAAGGAGAATGAAAGGGAAATGCTGGAAAAGCTGATGCGAGGACTGTGTAGTTGTTGAGAAGATGCGAGTGGTGGGATAAAAGATTTGGTCGTAGGGGAGAAAAAACAGAGGCGGAGGAGGAGAGATGGTGGAGGGGAAACCTGTGGCCTGTACCAAGGCTGTACCGTAATTAGGCTGTATGTACCTGTTGCTCTGGTACCAAGCAAGGTAGGTAGAGCGCAGGCCCGCCCCAGCTGGGCAGGTCACTCTTGTGCTAAACTGGCGCCAAACCCGGCCCGGCCACAGACCACTGCAGAAGCGGCCAGTCAACGAGGACAAAAAATAGCATCGAAGCACGATGGCTTGTATTGGTTGGTTCTGGACTGACCCAGTGGAAGGCTCGGACAAGACTACTGACAGGTGTGTAGTGTACCTCGATGTCGACTAGATACCTGGTACATCGCTGGCTCTATTTAATATAGGTTGTCAAAAGTCCAACGACTTTTGACTAATACCTCTGGCATACCTACCTAGGTACTGAGGGAGTAGCGCTTGGGCAAATCCAAAACAAATCTACCACTGACGGGAAAGATTAAAATCAAAAGTTACACGTATCCGATCCTGTGCCGCTTGGGTAAACTAGTTCCTTTTGTGCGCACGCACACACCTCGTTTCCATCCCTTGCTACCAGAATTATGCCAGTCATCAGTGTCAGTCACGTACCAATTGGCAACCGGCCAAGACTACCTAAGTAGGTAGGTTGCCACTGTTGTGCTATGATTGCAGCCTAATGCATCCCCCCCCTATGTAGGTAGGGAGGCAGGAACTCCTAAACTCGCAGACTCGGGGAAAATCGTCTATTTACAACAGCACATGGTTTTCGGGGAAAAAACTAATAATAACATGACCCTTTGTTCATTTCCAAAGTTAGAGACACAGATAACATGGTGGGGGGTCGGGGCCGAACCACGTACTTGCTTGCATAACCCGAGCCCGATTGCCTTGTCATATATGAACAAAAATAGAACACAGCAACTCGTCAGCTTTGTACCACTACGACATGCTCGGATGCGGTCGACTGGCATTCAACACAAGAAAACCAACCTCACGGGGCCGAGAATGGCTGCCAATTTCCCAATGCACAAATTTCCGCCAAAGCCCGTCTGGTCCTTCACCTTGCATGAAAGCAATCTGCCCCAACGGGCTTCTAATTAACGGGGAACTGGCAAAATCCAGGGGGTTTGTCGCCCACCAGACGAACCTCACACCAACCACTGTTGGCCCGGGCCGCCGTCACGGCTAAATATGTATATGAATGCGACTCGGCCTCTTCCACGGCCCCTGTGATGTGCCCTGTGATGTGCAGTCGACAACGCCGCCACGGAACTGGGATGATGAAACCGCCCAACCAGGATGCAAATCCTGATCCCAGCGGCGCCACGTGTGAGGCGCAGTTGACGAATACGCAAGTAAACACAGTCATGTTGATGCCAACTCGAGTTGAATCAGTCCTCTGCTTGTTGCGCAACGTAGCTCCCACGGCTCCGTCGACCCCATGGCTTCCACCAACCTGCAGAAAGTCCGCCTCGTCATCGCTTTTACGGCCTCTTGATCAGCATGCCAAAATATAGCGCGAAAACCCTCAACCCATGACCTTCGAAAAAAAGCAAAACATAACGTTTAAAACCATTGGCAATGGTTCAGTTTTCTGCCAACAGGTAGGCGCCTATCTGTGACGAACACTGCACAAGTCAGTCACTGCGGTGCACAAGGCGCAGTCGCTGATTGGACGAGCTGGCTGCCCCTTGTGTTTCACATTTTATGCGTGCGCTAAAACGGCCATTATGGCTGTGGGTATCCGTACAGCCTTACCATACCGTGGCTGAACCGGGTCCAAATGGCTAATAATCATGAGCAAATTTGCAAATCCTCCTTGACGCTCCATGTACCTTCTTATTCTGTCCTTCTTCCACTGTTCTTTCGATGTTTTGCAGGTCCATATTGATACAACAATGGTAGATGCTAGTCTGTAAGTTTCAGTTTTCTAAATTTAGATCATCCTTCACCTGCTACACCTGATTGCTCCGGCTAGCCGATGTTTAGCCGCCCCCACTCCAGCTGCCACACATCAATAGTTTCGTCTTTTCTTCGCGTCACAAAACCTTTACCGTGATTCTCCTTTCACCTCCCAAGAATGTCATCGTCCCATACCACCGGTTGATCTGGTGGCACGACGGTCTCTTCTCGTCTATTCTATGACGTAGACTCTGCCAAATCAGGTAAGATGCAGCCATATATGCTTGTGCCCCATTCCATGATGATTTCAAATATTGGAGCTGTCTGAAGCTTGCATGTTGATAGACACTTTATACGCAAACAACTTTTTACCTGATGGATCACCTCTTTCTCGCTTTTACATTGCGCAACAATATTTCCGACGAGAATCACAGCTAACAGTCCATTGCATAGTGTCGTCCTCGCGCCTAGGCAGGGACGCGACCCATCAAAATCTTTTCCCGCGTCACAAAGCGCGATACCACACCAGCATGGCTGCCACAGCCAATGGTACAGCTCCTGCTGCCAATGGCACAGAGAATGGCCCCGGCGATTTCAAGCTCAAGTTCTGCACCGTTTGTGCCAGCAACCAGAACCGGTATGTTGTCACCCTGGCTATGTCAATCTGTTCCTGCTTAGTCTGACCGATGCTAGTTCCATGGAAGCCCACCTACGACTATCCCAAGCAAACTACCCCGTAATCTCCTTCGGTACAGGCTCACTTGTGCGCCTTCCCGGGCCGACCATCACCCAGCCCAACGTATACCAGTTCAACAAGACGTCATATGATAGTATGTACAAAGAACTTGAGTCCAAGGACTCAAGACTGTACAAGAACAATGGCATTTTGAACATGCTCTCGAGAAATCGAGGAGTGAAGTGGGGACCAGAGCGCTGGCAGGACTGGGCTATTGGCGTTCCACGACTCAAACACACGACCGACCGTGGCAGTGAGGGTAGCGAAGGTGGCGTCGTCGACGTTGTCTTCACGTGCGAGGAGCGCTGCTGGGACGCCGTTGTGGATGACCTTATGAATCGAGGTTCACCCCTTAACCGACCTGTTCATGTTATCAATGTAGAAATCAAGGATAACCATGAGGAGGCGCACATCGGTGGCCAGGGCATCTTAGACCTCGCTAACTCGCTCAACGCCGCTGCCAAGGAGGAGCGCGAAGCCGCGGGAGCGAACGCCTTTGACATGGGCAGTGCCGCGAGTCGTGCCGCATTCGATGAGCGCGTACCGGATATTATTGCCGCATGGCAGGAGAGATGGCCAAATTTGCCATGCACGTGGACACTGGCGTGGTTCTAGTCATGATCGGCTATATTGCATGATGCTATTTTGCTTATGGGTAATGATGTAATGATCAGCGGTATAAATGGACTCTCAGATCGCTTGAAAAACTCAGCGAATTTATAAACACAATCTCGATTTGGTGTTCCATTTTTTGGCCATGTCAATACAGGATTACCGTGACATTAGGCATGATGCCAAGCTTTTGACTGGCTGCGAGGCATCAAGATCCGGGCGCCATGAAACCGGCAGCCTGTGCGGAGCCGCGGCCTCGTATATGCAAGCATCCCTCCCAATGAACAAAGCCCGATTCATTGGCGCTAAGATCGGAAAGGTTGGGTGGAAAACTGGGAAACGAAATTTGGCCGACACGAGCACAAAAGGGGCTTTATGATATCAGTAAATGATACAGATGGGGTTTTGCTTGGCAGCGGAACCGGGCAGTTGGTGGTTGGTGCAATGGTGGATAAAGAGGAAGAGGTACCTCTTTGTTCGTCAAAAGTGCCTCGGTTTAATCTGTACGCCCCCTGCATATAACCAGTCAGAGAAAGAACCGTAAGGCAGGGCAAGTTCGAGACATGTTTCGCCACCCATGAGTTCATCACCAAGGGCTGTTCGGTTCCAAACTTGCAAGGCATCGGTTTTTGCGAGGATGTGCGCACCGGGTATCGTCGACGATAGGGGGCTATATGTGCAACATGCGGCGTACTGGCGCAGTCTTGGCAACGTTTTGAGATATAGGGCATCCGCACGGTGATGGATGGTGTAATGAGTACGGATTAAGTGCAAGGTCTTCTCGTTGCGATGATTACCTGAAATTATTACCTGAAAAACTGCCAAGAACACAAGCGCGGCGGCCAAAGTCGTCCCATGTCTTGCATAAGGTTCTATAGGCAGGGCCTAAAAGGTATAGGGCAGCAAGCGGCCTCGCATATCTTCGTATAAATGAATGAGCAATGCGACGATGCTGGCGAGAAAGGAACGGCCTGGGTGCCTGGGCAAGCGGGCATGCAGGCAGACGGATAGCAAAAACGCACAAAGAGTTCAGCAATCGAAGAGGAACGCGAAGGTCCTCAGATTAGGTCTTGCTAAAAAAAAAGTACAGAGGCCAATCACTTGATAATGCGGTACGCTAGTGTGAGTAGCAATGTGCCATTGCAACGCCCTTTTACATCATGGTCTTCTCTAAAATATTGATCAAAATAGGATCAATCATTATTGATTAATGATGGAATGTTGTCACTTGCGAAAGCGGGACACAAGTCGAGGCGACGCAACAAAGGGCGCAGCTTGAGGAGGCTCAACTGCCGACTTTGTCGGCGCTGGGGTGAATAATGGGGAGAGAAAACGGAACCGCGCAAGATTCGGCTGTCAATCTTGTGCAGATCATCGTTTAGCTTGGCGTTTACACTTTGTAAACATATAGGCTAGATTTTGTACCTTGCAAGGCCACAGAGGAGCGCGTCGATATACTATAGTACAAAGTACAAGGAAGTACGTGACTGGAGAACGACAAGGACGCTGTCAAAGCGCGATCCCGTTGGCTGGGGTTATGAGAAGCTCAACACATCGTAGCGTATAGATGCCGGCAGTTGGAGAAACCACGAGAGTAACGGCAAGCTCAATAATTGAGCGGCTTGCCATGGTGAGGGAGACAGATATGTGACTCGGCAACCGATGCGAGCGATGAAGAGAAAAAGGGCTGGTTCGTGCAGTGGAGCGTCCACATCACCCCCTTTTGAACCGGACCATTGGCTGCAGACTACGTACTGGTACGGATAATTACAGTTCATTGATTTTCAGCAACCCAAAAATAAGGAGAATGAAAGGAACAAAAGCCCAGACCCGCTGCGCAGGGCGCATCTCAGAGGGGGAGAAGCCGCTAGTTTTAGCGTGGGCTGGGCGGGCACGCGGGCTGGCGGTTTGGCAAATCAGGGCGACGCAATGCAGTACTCGAGGAAGAGGCGCAAGGGGTATGCAAGTGGCGGGTGTGTGCTGATAATACTAAAAGGGAGCGGTTTGTACGGCGGCAAGCGGGTTGTGGTTGTGGTGGCGGTGATGCCAGTATCGTGCGCAACGTTGACATGATATTCAGAAGAAGTGGTCAGGATAGGTACCCTTTCTTTTTTGAAGGTTTTCGGAATACAGGTAGTATCCGTACCTACCTACGTCCGTAGCTACCTAGGTAGTCGTGGCTGGCTTGTAGTTACCTTACTGGTACAGGCCTGTGCTAGCTGCTGTAGTGGGTGGTTGTTGGCGATGGGTTCGGGTCGCAGCTGAACAAGGGTGCAAGAGAAAGCTTGCAACCAATCGTCGGAAACCATCTTTTCCGGACAGTAAACTATCAATCAACATGTCGCAAGTTACAAGTGACAGCCAGGGCCGAACTTTCCCATCTGGATACAAGTCGGCAGTCGCGCCACATAACTCTTGATCATGCCATTCCCACCACACCCCCCGCCAGCTCGTTGATTTTCGAACTGTTGCTGCCGTTTCGTTGGTTAGTTGCAGTGACGCTAAAGTAGCCTACTTTCAGTAAATAGGTACCTATGTTCAGCTGTGTTACTTCCCGCTGCCCTTTTTCACACACCCGACATTCTCACCAAATAACACCATGCACTAGTGACGGCTATTTTCATCTAAAAAAAATCCTCCTAAAATTCTCCTTCCCCGGCCTGGTCTTCCCCATTCAGTGGTGGGTGCCAGAAATTACCAGCATACGCACATATTACGCCAGTAGCTCATTTCCCACGTCTTTGTTTCTTCATTTGTTTCGTCTTCTTTTTTTCCCAAAACTTGCCTGATATTCTCAGTCTTTCGGAAAGTCCCTTCTGACGAATCCACATACAGCCCCTTGCTGCGACCAGCATCGCCCGTTTCAAGCTCACCCGGGACACTTCGCTATCTGTGTGTGGTGTTTGTCACAGAGGGAGCCCTTGGCTTTGTTGAAAACAGTAGGACTGCAGGAGACTGGAAAACGCAAACGACAAGGTTTTACATGCAGGATCAGCGCTAGACGACGTTCTTATTATTGTTCGTCTGCCCGGCTCTCACATTGTCTTGAGCCGTTTGGTTGTCCTTGAGTGACATATATGACTGTTTGAAGTTTGGCTATTTGACTGCGGCGGCATACGATCGCGGTGATCAAGGCTTGTTTCTGGCACAATCATTGTTGAATTACGCAAAACGTCTATGGCAATTGCTGCCTGCTCCGACAACATCTATCGGTTCCAAACTGTTGCTCACCATCATTACATATCAACAAAATCTGGGGCTCTGCGTTGTCTAAGACGCTACGTTGTACCAGGCACGCCAGGCACAAACCGCTATCCGTCTAGGATACACGAACTATTGCCACAACCTACACAGCCAACACAGCAACCTAGGCAACGAGAGAGCATCCATCAGCGGGGGACGACAGGTATTAGGCTCGACTTCATCCCAGTCAGGCCAGTGCCAGCAAGCTGCGGCGCCGTCATTCTCGGCAAATTTGAGAAACCAAACCGACCAAATTGCAAGGCCGACTGCAAGACAAGGGGCAGCTTTCACAGAGTCTCAGTGTGGGAATCAGTTGACCCGCCGGAGGCAGCAGCTACCTAAGACCTAGGTAGTAGGTAAACGCCCCCCCAGGACCTCAAGACAGCGTCAAACAGGCTGAAAGGCCCAAAGGATACGCCAACTTGCCTGTTCCTTGCCGTTTTGGCCGCTAAAGTTTAGTCCCACAGCGCCCCAAAGCACCCCCGGCCGTCCCCAAAGCATCCGCAAAAAAGGCCCCGTTTCGGCGTGCCTGCCGCTGCCCGACTCCTGCAATCAACCAAGACACCGCCACGGCCCTTTTCCTTTTCTCATGCAAACACTCCCTCCGCATCCCCCCCTCACCATCATGAGCGCTGTTGGTCGCAATGCGCCGCTCTCTCCGATATCTGTAGGCGGAAACGATTGGTCTATCCCAAAATATCCTCCCAGTGGCGACGCTCCTTATCCCAATAGTCGCGGCAATCTCGCCTCCCCCCCCAATTCGGGTGGCTCCAACGGCAACATGAGTATCAACGGCTTTCCTGGCGGTCCTAGGAGCACCGGTGGCCCGTCACCGCCAGCTTCGGTTGGCCGTTCCTCTGGCGGCACCAACATGTACGCCAGAAGCGATGCTGGTCCTCCCAACGGCGGTCTTAGCGGCCCCAGCGGCCAGCAACAGCAAAGGGGCGGCGAGCTCGACGAAGCCGTCCTCCACGAGCATTACCTCACCCTTCGCGTCTTTCTCAACTCACGCGACTCGGCCGCGAAGCAGCAGCCTAACAAGGCGCGCGATAAGCTCCTGCGACTCTCCTCTGTCCAGTTCTTCGAGCTGAGTACCGACGTCTTTGACGAGCTGATGCGCAGACAGGCCCTTGCTCGCATCCCTCCCAATGCCCCCAACCGCCCGTCCGCCTTTCTACTACCCGAAAAGACGTTTCACCCCAAACGAAACCAGGCTCGTCAGCGACTCTCTTTCCTTGGCCCTCCGCGTTTCCGGGACTTGGCCGCCGATGTCTTTTCCGAGCTCGAGCGCCGATTCCCGAGATTCGTGGCAGGCGAAATTCCCCGGGGGAACAGCGCCATGTCCAACCGCAGCGGCGGGCGAACTGGCACTCCTGTCAACGGTGGATATCCTCCCAGAGGTCAGAGTCGTGCTCGGCGTCCGTCAGACTCAAGCTCGATGAGAGGCGGCCCTCCACCGCCAGACCCATACGCGGTTCCTCCATCTCCAAACCTCGGCGGCGGCAGCGACTTTAATCGACCCCTGCCCAAGCAGATCAACCAAAATAATACCATAATTCCCAACAAAAGTACCATGCTCGAGGAAGACGACGGCGAGGGTTCGTCAGAAGTAAGTCCCGATATACATTTATCATACAATATTCACTCCATGCTAATACTCCCCTGCAGACTGACAGAAAGCTTATTGAGGACTATGAATTACAACTAAGAGAGCTGCGGGAAAAGCTGGCGAGCATGGAAAGTCAGAAGAAAGACGAGAAGTTGCAAGAAAAGCAGGAATGGGCCGACAAGCTAGCCGAAGCCGAGAGCAGGAATAGCTCGATGAAACAAGAGCTGGAGAGACTGCAAGACAAACACGACCGCGAAACTCGAGACCTGCAATCGAGATTGGATGAGATGGAGCGCAATTCCGGGAGTATGCGCGGCGGTGGAGACTTGGAAATGGAGAATGAGGAGCTGCGCAACTCGCTTAATCGACAACAACGGGTCACCGAAGAGGTTCGCCAGGAGGCACAGGAATTTCTGCGTGAAATGCGCACACTTTCCGAGCAAAGTCACGCACGATATGAAAAGCAAGTTGAATTGGAGCGCAACATCGAAGCGCTAGAGGCTGAAGTAAAGGAATGGCGAAACCGGTATGCCCGTACAAAGACGCAGCTCCGCAGCCTGCGCTCTTCTTCGCTAGGTCTGTCTGAGGATACCGAAGGCGCACGATTGATTCGAGAAAAGGGTTTCAGCGACGACAATGGCCTCGTCAAGGACGTCCATGTCACTAAGTATCAGATCTCCATCGACGATCTGCTCCAGTCGGCGCGCAAAGATAATCCGGAAAAGACAATTGATGCAATGAAGGCTGTCGTGGTCAGCGTGCGGCGAGTCACTAGAGATGCCGACGGCGCGGCGCGACACGATGAACAAGCGGCGCAACAGCTGGGAAAACTCAAGGCTAGGGTCTCCGCAGCGGCCAACAATCTCATCACAGCTACCAAGCATTTTGCTTCCGGGGCGGGCATCTCGCCAGTATCGCTGGTGGATGCTGCCGCGTCTCATCTAACAGTAGCTATTGTCGAGCTCCTTCGCGTTTGCAAGATTCGACCTACACCGGCAGGTGAGCTGGAAGACGACGACGACGGATCAGTAACGCCAGTGGACTCGACAAGTTTCTTTTCGCCTCGCACTACATCACACGCAGGATCACGAAATTCACTACCGGCACCGCCGGCTTTCCAAGGGTTAGGCGGCATGCGAGCGAGCGCTGAGTCGTCGGCGTACAGCCCCATCAACTCCCCGCGAGAATCGATAGAACCGTTTGGACGCAACGGCCCTAATGGCATCACGAATGGCTACGGACAGAGCGCAAACGGCCGCAATGAGGGCTACAAGGCGTACGACGGTTACTAAGCTGGACGAGACTGCAACATCCTTTGCATACTGATAATGGGAGATGAGACGCGCACTGTTGATACCCCACGGGTCCGGGCACGGAAGACCGGATCACGAACTGTTGGAATTATGTTTTGCTTCGTTTAGCCCGAGGTGGCAGTGCCACGGACGGTACTTGTGATAAATTTTGGAGAAGCGAGGTTGAAGAATGCCTGATGACAATTTGCATGCAACGACAGGGACACTAGAAACGACAGAATGAAGAAGGTGCTGGGATAGAAGGATCTGGAGCTGGCGTTTTATCAGGCTTGGGCCCTCAGGCGCGTGAGAGCCTCGGGTGTATATATGCAGGCGAGTCTATTTGTATCATTACTTCGAGGAGTTGATTTTTTCGGGAGGACAAAGGGCGACTGCGAGAGTCTGTCTTGCGGAGCCGTCTCTTGGGCCCTGTTGAAATGAGCGAACGGCTTTTGCTATTTTGATAGGCTATTTTGAATCTCTATCACTGGCTGCTTGCTCTTGTTTATGTGAATTGTGATTTTATTTTCCACTGTCGGACTGAATCGAGAATAGCAGATGTACGGACTGGCCGAGGTGAGATGGCGTTTAACCTTTTCAAAAGGGCAGACAGATTGACAAGACGAGGCAAGGCGCAGGCGCAGGCGCAGGCAGCTCCACCCCACCCCCACCCACCACCTCCAGCCACTGTGCCACCCATGCCACTCTAGGCTAACAAGCTAACTACCTAGGTGCTAGGCTACCTGTTAATCGCTTGATCGCCTGGCCGCATCTTGAAAGGCTTATTCCTCGACACCCGCTGGCGGCTTTGCCAGGCCATAACTTTGTCCTTGCGTGTGACACCTGGGCATCTAATCGTCAATTTCGACAAGCTTCCAATATAGTTCAGCATCTCTCTCCCTTTGGATCACTTCTTCACTCGCAAACTGTGCGCAATCTTGCCGAAACACTGCCCAAACGCCCATTCAAACCGCCACACCTACCACCTCCTCGTTTCTGGGGAAGCGCAGCCTGGCTGGCACCACAGCCTTCCCTCTTGCTCTCTGGATTGACTTTGCCGCCCGTCACGACTCGGTCACCGACCTTTTTTTTTTTTTTTGTCCCCTTCTCCGTCCGTTTCCACGCACGACTCATGCGCACAGACTGGTTCATTGCCCAGCACTTCCCAGGCTCGCTGTCCACCTTAAATTTTACACCAGACATCAAAAGTGCGCTGCGACAACGGAGCAGCGGGCGCATTTTGCACTTGGAAATGGCCACTGCAATTCTGGAGTGGCCGATTGCGCGCCCCAAAGGATTCGCCGAGTCTTACGCCGACGACGACGATGATGATGACGATGATACCGTCAACCTGATCGAATACCCCGTTTTCGACGCAGAGCAATGTTTGCCAGTAGCACTCGCATGCCACAGTACAACGGCGGGAGCAGAGCGAGACGAGCCTGTCGCTGGTGCGACGTCGACCAAGAGTAACATGATGGTCGGCGGAGACGGCGCCGTCGCTTCCACGCCAGCAGACTCGCTCACCAACGCTGTCGCAGAGGCCGACGTCGAGGAATTGGCCCAACAAGAGGATTGCTCATCTTTTACAACAAGCACAGCAGACGCCCGACAGCCGACGACGCCTGCCCCCCTTCCTGCTACTACCACGCTACAGCCGCCGAGCGCCACCACCACCATGACCAGCTCCGACATGGACTCTTCGCGCTTGGAATTCTCGTCGCCGCTGCGACAGCAAGTCGAACATGTCTGCACTTCAGCGTCGCCGCTCAGCGACGTCAGCGATGCCCATGAATTCGACTACGACTTTGACGTCTCGTCGGGCCATCGCCTGATCCGAATCAAGCCCACCGCCGCGCAGTGGGACGACTTCCCCGCGCTGCTGGCCTTTGCGCGGAAGCTGGGCGCGTGCGAGGACGGCTGCTTCAAGCTCCAGCTGCCGGCCGATCTGCGGCACCCGCTGCCGCACAAGGACAAGCAAACATTGCCCGCCAATGCCTACAAGGCGAAGCAGATTCGCCGCACAACGTTTTGGCAGCTGAGCACTGTCAAGGCCGAGGGCGAGTTTTACAGCCCTCCAGATGCGGACGCGGAGCCGACAGAATCGGTTGAGGCGACGCTCAAAACGCTCAAGACCATTTTTCGCAAAAATATGGGCAGGCAGATGCGCAATGTGCGATATCGCCCCGACGTACCCGCCTGGAGCCGCGAGCAGCGTCGCGAGGCCGGCGTCCCTCCCGACTGGAGCCCCATCCACCCGCTCCGTGGCGATCTGCTGGACCGCACAAAGGCCGTAATTCCCGGTATCCATACCCCGTACGTGTACGAATCGGCGCCGCATTTCGGCGCCACCTTTCAGATTCACGCCGAAGATTATCGCCTGCTGTCCCTCAACCACCTCTATCGGGGGCGCAAGATTTGGATCGTGATTCCATGCACAGCTATTGACGTGGCCGAGAAAGCCCTGGGCCGCGCCGCCGACGGCTGCTCACAGTTTATGCGGCACCGCGCCGAATTCTTTTTCCCCGAAAAGCTCGACAAGCTGGGCATTCCCTACCGCATCGCGGATCAACGCCCCGGAGAGACGATTGTCATCCTCCCCGATGCGTACCACGAAGGATACAGCACGGGGTACACCCTCGCCGAGGCCAAAAATTACGCCGACGACCAGTGGAGCACCGACACGTACAAGTCGTGCGCCGCGCACTGCCAGCTCGCGACGGCTATTCCGCCTGAATTTCTGCGACCGCTCGCAGAGGGCGAAGAGAGGCTGGATCTGTGCGCGCTGCAGGACGAGCAGCATGCGGCAGAGGCTAAACGGGCGGCCGAGGAGATGGAGATGGATGCCGAGGGAGAGGACGAGGGAGAGGGGGTGGAAGTGAAGCGGGTCAAGGTTGAATGATGCAGCGTTGCAATGGGAGCAATGGGTGCAAATCACGGTACTAGGCGTTTTTTTTTTGGTATGACACCGGGAATGAGGCGAAGTCGAAACGAGATTATGAGATGTAATTTCCAGCGTGATTTTTTCTTTTTTTTCACTTTCCTTTTTTCATTGTTTTTTTTTTTTGGTTGTTGAAAACGTCCAACCCTCAATATCTGAAAGAGCAAGTGGACAGTCAATGTTTTGTTATTTGGTGTTTATATGTTTTTTACTTGGGCGTCGCGGAACGGATGGGAAAAACTTCTCTCTGCTTGATGGTGCAAATTACATGATTACTTTGAAATTCAGTCTTTGGACATGGCGTTATTGAAACTACGAATCGCGTGCATGTGATGGAGTTGCCGTCATCTAAACTCCCCCACGCAGACAAGATGTTAAAGGAAGCAAAGTATAGACGTGTAGTTATACCATTTAGGACTAATTAATAAGCAAAGACACAACTTTTTTTTTTTTTTTTTCTGTAAATTCTTGTATATAAAAAAAGTTGTTGTGACATTTTCTATAGATGCCTTTTCCAATCTACCCGCGCTTCACTACATCCTCCAGCGCCGACAAGACGTTTGAAGGAAGTAAAGTATGGACGAGTATACCATTTAAGACTAATTAAAAAAGTAAAGATACACTTTTCTTTTTTTTTTTTTTAATCTTGTATATTAAAAAAAGTAGTTGTCACAATTCTTTTTTAGACACCTTTTTCCAATCTACCCACGCTTCGCCACGTCCTCCAGCAGCGTCTCCGCCGCCAGCTTGCCCAGATTGTTGCTCGCCAGCGGCGAGTCGCCCGTCAGCAGGCGACGATCCCGGTGCACCTGGCCCGTGATGCCGTCGTTCAGCGTCTTGACGCCGCGCTTGCGCAGCGCGTCGCCGACGAGCCACTGCATCTGGCCGGGAATGTAGCCAATGTCAATGTTGGTGCCCTTGTCGAGCGCGTCGGGAAAGACGACAATCTCGTAGCCGTCATAAATGTACTTGCTCCCCGCGGGCTTGCCCACGTCGGCGGCGAGCAGCGCCGCGGGCCCGTGGCACAGCGTAATGGTGTAGCGCTCGTTGGCGTCTGCCCAGCGCAGCACGTCGCCGACGAGCCGCGACTCCGGCACGCCGTTGATGACGCCGTGTCCGCCGGGGATAAAGACGCCCAGGTACGGCGTCTCCTTGCTGAAACCCGCAGCGCCCCAGAGCTGTTCCAGGTTGAGCGGGTTGCGCAGTTTTTGCTCGTATTTCTTGTAAATGTTCTTGACGGCGTCGTCTTCGCTGGGGAAAGCCCAGACTTCAAACTTGACGGGCTCGCCGGAGAGCGTGGCCACGTCCACGTCAAAGCCCGCGGCGTCGAGGTGCAGCAGCGGGAGCAGCAGCTCGACGGGGTGGTTGCCGGTGGAGAAGAAGCGGCCGTCGGCCATGGGCAGGTAGCGCTCCTGCGTGCCAATGAGGAGAATCTTCCAGCGGCCGCCGGTGTAGGCCGACGGGTACGAGGCGCCGTCAAAGTCGGTCTTGGAGGGCACGTACTGGGTGAGGGAAAAGGGAGAGGGGAAGAAGGCGTTGAGCTCGGCCTGGTCGGCGACGGGGGCGCGGTCGTTGGACATTTTTGGAAAGAGGTTTTAAAGGATGGATGGATAGATGGGTAGAAGTGTGTGTGTGTGTGTGTGTGTGTGTGTATGATTTGGGAGGGTGTGATGGTGATGTGGTTGTGGGCTATAGCTGAGGAAGCAGGAGGGGTAATGCGCTTTATACCTGGATGGATGGGGACTGCAAGAGGATTCAATTCTTCTTTTGGATTCTCCAAGCTGATTTAGAAAGGGTAGCATCGACATGCCTCGGCCATCCGGACAAGCCTCCCGATAAGCGAGGGGCTTCTTCCGTGTCAATTGCTGTTGCGCCAAGCTGGGTGGCTTTGCGCTGACTCGACTTACATACATGCTGGCGGATCACGATCAGCCGAAACCTTAATAGAACTGCCATCAAAGTTACCCCGCTCTGCTCGTCGTCGTAGGGCAAAAAAAGCTTTCGCAACTGTAAAACGATCGTCGCGCCATTTCAGGTTTAGCTTCCGTCGGAGTTGCTTCCATCGGAGTCGCTTCTCCATCGGAAGCTCATCCTTTCCCTAGCTCATCAATGGGTTCCCCGTTTGTCTATTTCAAGGGTAAAAGCCTTCTGGCTTATGGATCAGCCTTGTGAGTCATTACTTGCTCGTCTTCTTTTCGCTTCTGAATTGTGTCTTTTGAAACATGAGGATCAACCGCGGGCTCGGCTGTATCGTAGGGCAATGATGGGGTCCTGTCAATGCGGTTGGTTGCAGTGGAGCCGACTTGGTAGTTCATATTATCTTGACATCATGTCGTCATGCAGCACCACAACAAAACGGCGCAGAACAATATCAATTTGGTCTAGAGCCATCAGTCATCTTGGCGTTATGGAGGAAACGAAAATTCTTCCTCTCCCTGCCAGAGCCACATTTGGCTGGCATCAGCCAAGCCAGAATCCATCAATACTGATAGACTGCCATCCCAGTCTAGTCCGTCGAGGGTGGCACCCTCAGTCGGCTCCGCTCCGGGCATTGTCGTTGCAATGTCCAGGCCGAATTCGTTTTGAGAAGCACCAACGCCCTGATGAGACTGTGTGAGATCTACAACATGATTCAGCATGTTTGTGTTGTCTGTTGTCACTGCGCAATGACTTACTTGTTGGTGCAGACTCAATTTCGGACATGCTTTGGCCAACTACAGGAGCAGTCTGTGTTGCGCCAGTATTGCTGGGGTCCGCGACAGCTGCGCTACCAGTGATGAGCTGGTTCTCGTGCTGCAGCACCACAGTAACAAGACGCTCAAGAACAGCAATGCTCTGTCTGGAGCCAACATTCTGGGGGTCCGCTGAGTCCTTGCAGGCTCGGATAATATGCATCACGCCGCTTTTAGCCTTTTGGCTCGTGTCCGACAGAGGCTGCGACAAGGCCGCAATACACAGCACTATGCCCGCGGTGAAAAGCGTGATGCCAATGTGCATGCTAGCATGTGTCCGTCGCATCGCGTGTAGTGAATTGGGGAAAGCATGTAAATCCGATGTTCGCAGTGCCGCTTTCATCAGATGGCGCAGCGAGAACAATCCCTCGGGCGTGTTTTGTACCTTGCTACCCTGACCGAATGCAACTGTGCGGTGCAGGACAATTTGCAGATTGTCATACGTGAGTTGTAGTGCAATGGCCTGCATCTGGGGTATTGGAAGCTCCTGGCCTGGCGGCATGTCTCTGTACGACTCGATCCGTAGCCGGCTTGGTAGCTGGTTTCTCCAATGCGTCAATTCTTCATGGATGGACTGGACGGTGCTCTTTTGGTCCATCTGTCGGCGACGCCCTAGGAATTGTCCCATGATTCGATATAAACGAAACTTGCAATTGTGAAATGGCAGATTTCCGTCGACGCTGGTATTGCTGTGAGCAGGTCCAACCTGAGAGATCATGCCCACGTTGCAGTCTGTATCATCCACAATACAGGGCCGCCCAAAGGCAATGGCAAAATACCTAAGACTAGGGTTAGAAGCTGCTCTCTCTTGTAAACCATCTGTAGCCCGGCCTCCTCACTTGTCAAAGACCTCGAGAGTCCACCATGTCCGGCGTCTTGCCTCTCTTTCGACCGCTGAGCAGTCTCGCCAGAGGCTCTCGCGGTGGAGATTAATGACCTGCGCAATTTTGACGCCAGCAGCTGATATCGCCAGACCGATGTTGGGCCGGCCATTGAAAAGCAGAAAGCTTCCAAGCAGGACCGATATTTGAACTGCTTCGAGTGTCGCACAGCCCATGAGTTCGAGGAACTTGGCCTCTATTTGCCCCATGATGTCTGTAGCTAGCTTCTTGAGGTCTGCCTGAGACTGCCCGGGGGCTTCAGACAAGGAAGAGTAATGAGCACCTAGTGCAACGACGATCATGGTGAGCCACAAGTAGTTTTCCTCATGGTGGACGACATGACTCGACTCGAGGAGTAGTGAATATCTTTCTCGAAATAAAGACTCTTCGAGCAGCTATCGTGGACATTAGAATCCTCAAATTTGAAAAGTTCAATGCAGACACGCACCATCATGAACCAATCGACAGAGACAAAAAACTTGTCGACAAACTGGCTCAGGGTAGCATCGTTGGGAAGCTGAAGGCCAACAATCTGTCGCCAGTGTCGGCGCCTGGGCGGTTGCCAGTCGAGAATTTTGTTTCCTCCTGGCAAAGCAGAAGTATCCTGACTCGGCGAGGAATCGAGGCTCATTTTTGACAAAACCTACCCCATCATTAGCTTTGACGAGCAATTCAGTGCCAGAGGAGCAGCAGGGTCGTACCAGAGCAGTCAAGTCAACGATACTAGACTCTGGCAGCAGCAGATCACCACCCGAGCTCCGAGCCCCGGCATTGTTGCCGAACCCGGTACTAGGCGGCGCGTGCTCGGTGTCTGTTGCTGCGCGCTTAGAGGATGACGGGGCTGGATTCTGAGAAGCCGGGTCCCTGGAAACACACTCTGCACCAGCGCGCACGCAGAGCTGGCATGGACGCTCCCGATCACACTGAAAACATGTCAGTCTCGAGGCTTGTGTCGTGTGGTGTATGCAGCTGGACGAGGTCGTGACAAGGCACAAACGTCACCTACCCCGAGCTTGCGCTTCCGACAGCGCTCACAGGCCGACGCGACCTTTTGCCGCTTACGAGGGGCGTTCATGCCGTCCAAGGTCAATTGGATATATCTTGTTTTATCGCCTCCGTTGTACACCTTTTACTGAATGGGCAGCAGTAGTGCCGGTTTCGATGGCAGTGTGCGCCTGTCTGTGGTTTGTCCCCTTGGTTGCATAGAGAAAGTTTGTGTGCAGCCGTCGACGGACTCCACACCCGACAAGCTACGAGATAGTTTTTTGGTCGGATTCGAGCATGATGGTTGAATGGCGACACCAAAGGCGCCGTAGTGGTAAAGTTAATTACAAAACTATCGTCACATAATTCGCAGCCACACCGGGGTAATCAAAACAAAGAAAAAAAAGTCACCAGATCATATCTGATGCTGTGATATGCGTCGCAAATACTGATACACACTAGTAAAGCCATGATGTTGAAGCCGATAGCGAGGCAGGCTACTGAACCATTGCTGGACTACTGACATCATGAGTACTGCTCATGAGCCGATTTATGATATCTTGCAAGGGCAAATCGACAGACATAGGCATGAAACAGAAACTAGGAATCACTTGAGAGCCCCTGCTTCGACTATCAAGATGGCATATCGCATATTACTGAGTGGTAGGATTAATAGGCCCGCCGGGGGGCAGTAGTGGTCTAGAGCCAGAAGGTCGGCGTGCAGCTGGCAAAATTCCGAGAATGGAATCAAAAGGATGGAATCGGAAAAAACCAAACAGACTCTGCATTTACATGCAATGCATGCTTAATTGGTGCAACAATGCTTCATGAAACCACATTCGACGTGAGCGTACGCAGGTGGGATGAAAACAACTGGCCGACGCAGACTTTCACGCAGCAGCGGCTAGTACGCCAGGCTGATCAAACCAGCGGGACAGAAAGCCCCGGCTGGCTGGCCCTCCCCCAGGCCTTGGGTGGTTTTGTAATCTTGCAACCCACACCATCATAGGATGAAGGCGGGGCAAAGAAAGAAAAAATAGTGGTTGCATCGGGTGACATTACATCTCGGGCTGGTCAGGCTTGTGTTCTTTTCTTTTCCATTCCTTCTCGGGCGGTCTGTTTTGGGCGACGTAGGGCCAGTTGGTTTTTTGCGTGGGCCATGCTCTGAAACGGACCTGCAACCGCCCAGCCCCGTGCTCGGCCCCGATGAGGACCACGGGCGTGGGGGCCGGGAGACTGTTGCGGTGTTGATGGTTGGATATCAGGTACTCGGACCTTTTTTCTTTTTCTTTTTCTTTGTCTTTTTTTTTTTTTTTATGATCATTATCATCATTCGCCTTTGCAGCTACCAGTACGTTGTTGAGGAAAATAGCGCGAGGTGGGCAAGTCAATAAGCCCCTGTATCAGAAGTGGGAGAGAAGAAAATACGCAGGTCATTTGCGTCTTTTTGTCTGTCGCTGATTGATTCCAGTACGGAGTTCGGATTAGACGGAGTAGCACAAGTCATCCTTGCAAATGCGGTGCGAGGCGGCCCAGAAACAAGACCTCGGTGAGGAGGAAACCAAGAGGAGGTGTCGCGGGCGCTTGTGACTGGGGGATGCCATTAAACAGGGATAGGGTGATCGAGGATAAAGACGAGACGACTGCCGTAAACACTTGATGTGCGACTTGATACTGTACATCTCTTTTTGCATTCTCTGTTTTTTTCCAAGCTTGTTGATTTGAGTTTTTTTTTCCCTGGTTCGGCCTGTTTGTCTGTTGTATGCGCCATACAAAGTCTGATACCTAGGTAGAGCAGGTCACATCAAGCGGTTGCATCAAGCAGTTGCATCAGCTGCTCAAAAGTCAACGTTCCATCTACCTGCCTTTGAGAAGAGACAACTCTCGACAACCACAGCCCAAAGAACAGGTTCCCGGATACACAAAGATCCTGCGGAAAAGTAGTTGAGCGTGGAAGAGCCTACCAAACGGACCGAAGTAAGCAGTTCCGTGGCTGCTGCCGACCCTGGCAAAGTGTTTGTTTGGTTTCCCATTCATCCCAAGTCGACAAAAGCCACGTCGTGTTTCTTCATCGACTGACGGGACGGGGTCAAGAAATCGAACAAGGAGCATCAGCTGGAATTGGGAGGCTGTCCAGTGTCGCGTGGGGTGCCCCTGCGTCATCCGCGCCCTGAACTGCGAGGAATTAGTGGTTGGGAGGTAGCACAGCGCTGCAGGCAGCATTGAAGGTTATTTCAGGTCCTTCCCAAGATTTACAGGCATTTATTACAGGGCAAAATGTGGGATCGCCGCAAAGCCACAGCAGGAGCTACAGCAAGAAGAGCTAAAGCAGGAGCTACAGCAGAAGCCACGGGCAGTAGGAGGGGACCCCCGCCAGGCACAGACCAGGCCGTTTTTAGCGGCACCCTGAAAGATCCGCAGCAATCTTCAGTGGCTTCATCTACGTCCAAGTCCCTCTTTCGTTCCCGCCATGGCCTTGCTGCTGCTTCTGCTTCTGCTTCTGCTGTTTCTGCTGACAAGGCATACTCGTTTTCGTCTCCTCATTCACAACTCAACCTGGACCTCGAATATTCCCTCAGCGCCCTCGCCATCACCACAGACGTTACACACAAATATCGCATTCTCAAAGGCAAAGCCGTCCCTCAGTCTCTTTACCCAGAAGAGTAAGTCCCCTGTCATCTGTCACTCGCCACGTTGCCCTGGCCCAACCATCCCATCACCATCACAATTATCAAACCTCAGTCACCGTTTGCCCTGGCGTCAATATCAGGCTCCCATATTTCCACTACAAAATCTCGACTCGGCCTCACTTGTTTCCCAAAATAAAATATCATCTTTGCCAGCACATCCCCCCCCCCCTCTTCTGCCTCGTGAACCTCACAGCCACACACGCCTCAGTCTTACTGTCATCATCCACCATCCACCATCCACCCTCTGCTAAGTTCTAACATGCTTCTTTCCAAATCATAGCCCATATACCTCTCGTTTGGATTATTCAAGCAGCTCTGCTTCCTCTCCTGAACTAAAACCTCCTCCTCGCAACCCACGCCGCCTCCAACAGCTTCGCTATCAGACTGTCTTTGCTCCCACTCGCTCTTCCTCTGTCCACAGCGCCGACGACAGCGATCCCGACGACGACGCCTCGCCCACCACCATTCGCCGCGGTGCTGCTGCTCTCGAAATGGCACAGCCGCTGGCTATTGAGCCCGTTTCCCCTCCCAGCTCTCCCGACATCACAGCCTGGCGCACAGCGTGAGTGCAAACAAGTACACGCGGCATTGCGGGTCCCACCACCACTAACACCGTCTCGCAGCCCCCACGCCGGCACTGTATCGCCCATTGACGAGGACTCAGATGCCTCGCTCGACGACTTTGTGCGAGCTGTCAAGGGAGAAAAAAGACAGCTGACACCTCCCAGTGAGCCTCTGCGCGACAGCCAGATCCCCCTCACCCACCGCAACCTGCCTGCTCTGCCTCGTCCCGGTCCTTATCACGCGCCGGGCTCAGACCGAGCGCCTGCATATCAGCGGCCTCCCTCACAAAGGAAACCTGTCGCCGACCAAAACACACAATGGCATCCTCAGCCGCAGCTACAAGGGAATCCAGCCGGCCTGGTTCCGCGACACGCCCAGCAAACCTTCATTCCACAGCGAGACTCATCCTCTGGCATGCGCACCAGACACGCGGATACACGGGCCATGCCGCTCGACGCCAGACCTCCATGGCAAGGCGCCAGTGGTCGTGAAGAACAAGTCGCCCCGATGCGAGACGACCCAAGCGTTGCAACTCTGTCTCTCCCCGTCAAGGGCGGCAAGCGAAACACAGCCAAGGGCGACGGCCACTTTCGCACCCGACTGTCCCACACTGGCAACCCGCGTACGGATGGAGCAACTGGCCCTGGCGCTGCCATGCGCAAACTTCTTTCTCCAAGAAGACATAAAAAGGCCAACAGCCTCGCCACGCAGTCGCCTCGCGCCCAGTACAATATGGATGCAAGCCAATACGACCCCAATCCATATCCTTCCCCACCCCATCACGACCAGTACAGAATGGTATCCGCATCGCCTCCGCCGCGTCATTCTCCAGGGCAGAGCATCACTATCAAGCGCAAACCGACTCCAGGCGTACATGTCGACAAAATTAGCAACAATGCACATCCTCTAATCTCTGCACACGTCGACAGAAATAGCAACCATGCACATCCGCTAGCCTCTAGCCCCGTTTACGAGAACAACGTCCCGAAACCACCTACTCCAGAGAGTCCGAGCGCCCCTCACCAGCGAGGGGACGCTTGGGCGCAGCCCGCCTCACGATTCAGCATGACAAGATACGCCACAACTGTCGGTGGAGTAACTTCCATCGACAGCTCTCCCGCTATTGGCATGCAATCGCCCACTTCGTCTCTTTCTCCCTCTGACGAGACATTGTCCAGGCCAGAACATTTACGTTCCATCTCCGACGCCCCGTTCGCTATACGAAGCGCCTTGAACTCAAGGCCTGATTCTACTGCCTCAAGCAATACGCTCAGTACATCCGCCGTCCCCGGATCCGGCGCTGCGGTCAGTACGAAGCCGCGGCGATCGTCGCTGTCATCGATGAGCAAGCCGCTGCCGCCTGCGCCGCCAGAAGTCTCGGCGAGCGACAGAGTGACCCATCTCACCGCGCAGCTCGACAGCTTAGCCAACCGGCGTCTCAACATCGATCGATGTATCAAGCAGATGACGGAGCAAATGCCTATTGACCATATTCTCAACAGCGATGAAGTCCTGCGGAGGCGTGAATTAGAGCGCCAAAGAATCGACGGTCTCAAGGCTGAACTGGCAGAGATTCAGCGGGAACAGCACGAGCTCGGCCTCATGCTCCACCGCGCACACAAGCGGCAAAATAAGGAAGCAGTATACGAACCAACATCTCTATGGGTTAGGCGAGTGGCTAGCTAAGATCAAAGTGGGACAATACATGTATGTGAGGAATTTGTACATTGTATATGAGAATACTGTTACGGGGTGGTAATACTGCGGTTGAACTTTTTGCTTTGGGAAGGAGACGCGCTGCTGGCTGGGAATCCACGGGCATCAGAACGAGAATAAGCCAAAAAGGGACACGACATCGCTGGCGAAGGAGGCCGTACCCTGGCACAGTAGTAGATGAATACATGATACCACAAGAATAAACGCGCCCAAGCAAGGAAGCACAATCGTGAGACTGAGTATAAAGAGGAAAAAGTGTGTCAGAAAGTTGCACACCCAGGCAAAGTGACGCCCGCCACGCCACGCCACGGTCGAAGCGGCGCACGTAGCCACAACTACGCCTAACCTCGTCTCCCGCTGCAATTTGACAAGACGACAACGTTGGCCGACGGCGTGTCTGACCTCGAGATTGAGCCAGCGCAGACAAGCAAATGGTTCTGGTGTACAAAGTCTGCGCCGCGCAGTCAAGTACAAGCCACAGCCAGACGCGCATCACGCATAGCTCCCAGGAGGAGGGTGTTGGTGTGGAAGCACGTCGGTCAGTTTTCTCTTGGTTTTCTTCGACTATAAGAGAAACAACGACTATAAAAGGAACAGGACCTTGAAAAATGTTGATTCAGATATTTATCATTGGGATACTTTTTTTTTTTTTTTTGAATGAGCTTTTGAAACGGGGTCTTCTTACCGTCGTGGCTTTGCTACTTTGATTCTATTGCTCTTTGAAAGTGCATTCCCGATGGCAGCGGTTGCCATAGAAGAGAACTTCTGGAACAGATTGCTTCTGTCTTTAACAGTTACAAGTAAAAAGAAGAATTTCAAAACTAGAGAATGAAGCGTAAAGTGAGGCTAGATACGTGGATAAACCTTGGTCATGCATTTGCCAGTTGTTGGTCGTCTCAGCATGCCTTGTTTATAAGCATTGATATACGTCACCAAAACAATGATCTAGATGCTCATGACAAATAATTAAATTACAGATCAAAAATTCCACCGTCTGACTTGTCTCGAATCTTTGGCTTTCTCGCTCTGCACGCGCAGTAGACGTCGTCCTCTGTACAAGCAGTTGATGGCTGCCAAGCGTGGCTTGCATGGGCCGAAACGTCGCTGTCAAGCCACAAATCAATGTATTTTTCCTTGGCATCAAAACTTGATCGGATTTTACCACGGCAGAACAGCATTCCGGGACCCGTTCCTTCCCCTTTATTTTCTCAGTTACGTTCTCGTTCCTAGCTCATCCTTTGCTATCTGCTAGTTGAGTGGATGTTGGTGTCGATCCTTTTGTGTTCGAGGTGAGCGAGCTTCCTTTTACGGATTCGGGCAAAACTGGGGTCGCCAATTACGGTAAAGTGGGAAAGAACTAGGTGTCTATTATGTTCCCTGACAGTATCTTTTTGGTTAAATGGAGGAGAACTTAACCTTTCGCCCTAGTTTGATAACAAATGTGGTAATAGTGCTGATTTCTGGGATAGTTGGCTAGTGTAAGCGTAACAATTGCGTGACAGAGTCAGTTTCAAGACTGGGAAAAGGGGGCTACTTTGGAAGACGATGCCGGGCTTGTCCCGAAAAGAAAGGAGATGAAAGTTGACATTATGGAGCTTTGAAGTACTCAACGGCATCTTGCAAAAGATGTCATCCGCTCTCATCCTCTGCCAAGCCGAGGGAAATCTGCCGACGGCCCGGTGTCTCTTGGCGTCTGGAGAGCACCTATTGTACCCCAATACAAAAGCAAAAAAAAAAGCCCACTTTGTCACATCTATATAAATCGTGGAGAAGGCCACGCGAAAGACGGCTAACACGGAATCTTATTAGGCATCTTCCTTCCGCTATGGGCAGGTGGCTCAACACCGGGCTCGTAAAGCCCGTAACCGCATAAGCACCATCTCGACAAGCAGTTGCTAGATCGGTCGTCGGCTGCTACGTGAATTCCCCGGTCTAAAGTCGATTCGGGCAGGCCGTGTAACGAGATGCTATCTGACTCCGGTGGCGTTGACCCAAGTTGACTTCCTAGTAGTCAAAATTACCCCCGTGTTTTGTCCCTATTGCTAAACAGTATCGGTGATGAAGGAGATGTATTCATCCGTTGCTCATGTATAAAACAGAGGGTCATTCTGTCCTTTTTGGAGCCATCGTCGCTCTCTAGTCAGTCTCTTCGTCCTCTCTTCCTCTGGGCACATCCATCCATCAGCATGAAGACCACCGTCGCCGTCGCTCTCCTCTCGGCCGCCGGCGGCGCCCTCGCCGCGCCCAAAACCAACAGCAACGTCCCCGTCGGTGGGCCGTTGCACACAAAGGTCGGCTCCTTTGCCGGCCAGCGCGTTGACTCGCCCTGGGGCGGCGGCGTCCAGGAAGGTCGCGGCTGGACCTTTGTCACGGGCACGACCAGGATTCCCTCCATCACCGGTCAAGACAGCTACGCCGGCACCGCCGCCTGGGTCGGCATCGACGGTGAGTTACTGACACCCACCCCCCCCCCCCCCCCCTTCTTCTGCCCGCACATCCTGTCTTGCCTTTGTCTTTTCTCGGGCAAAAAAAAAAAAAAAAAAGGAACATCCACTAACACGCAACAACAGGCTACAGCTGCCAGAGCGCCATTCTCCAAACCGGCGTCCAGGCCCACGGCGACGGCACCGTCCGCGCCTGGTACGAGTGGTGGCCCGAGCCCCCCGTCTACTACGACGACCAGTTCCCCGTCAAGGACGGCGACGTGATTCGCATGTCGGTCAACGCCACCTCGCCCACCTCGGGCACGTCGACGCTCGAGAACCTCACCACCGGTCGCCGCATCACCACCCCGTACCGCGACATGCGCGAGCCCCTCTGCCAGGCCGACGCCGAGTGGATTCTCGAGTACGGCGGCGACTCGCAGACGTTTGCCGACTTTGGCGAGTGGGACTTCTACGACACCTACGCCGCCTCGCGCCAGGGCAGCAGCGTCGGTGCGGCCGGCAGCACCATCACAAACGTCGCCATTGACGGGCAGACCCTCACAGACTGCCGCGCCGACGGCCAAGGCGTGCAGTGTGCCTACAGCGGTTAGCAGAGAGAATCGGGAGGTGGTCGCGGGCGCGGGAGAGGGAGGTTCAAGTAACATTAGATATACGTAAATAAGAACGAGTGTAAGTAAATATGACAAAATGAAAGAGAAGAGACCAATACGCAGCAATGGCTTTTGCTTGACTTGGTGAATGTAAGAAAATGTAATCACGCGAGCTCTAGTAAGATGGTGAGTTCAGATAGTATCATGAAAATAGCCATCATGACTGCACCTCTACGGTCGTTGGTTGATGAAATGCACTCAGTCTTTTGTCATGGGTCACAGATGTTGCGGTAACATTAAAAGCAACACAGTCCGAATACAACAAGTCAAACACTCGCGAAACTTTAGAAATGCATACCAGAAACGTCCATCGTTATATTATTACTATATTATGATGAAAGAAAGTCAATCATGACAGAATGGAAAGCCGAGGGATCGGACAGCTGAGGAGCATGGCCAAGATCTTTAAACTGATGCAGCTGACCATTCGGCAGCTGAGAAGCAACCAGCGGTCCAAGAATGTCAAAATGACCGAGCTCGGCAGCGACGTCAGGAGGACTCCACTGCGATCCAATGGCCGTCTTGTCCTTGTCGCCGACGATGAGGAGCGTCTTGGGCCTGAGGTCGCCAAAGTAGTGCGCGACCGGCGAGGTCAGCACCATGTCGACAATTTGAGCCTGGTTGGTGACAAACTGCTCGCGCTTGGGGCCGTGGTAAATGTTGACCAGCATGTTGACCCATGTGTCGTAGGAGCTCTTCCACTGCCCGATGTAGTAGACCTCTTGCTCGTAGCCCCGGATGGACTTGTAGGTTTGAGCAGACTCGGACTTGTAGCTGTCATCGAGGGCGATATAAGGAACGCCCTTTTCCACGTAATCCTCGAGACCGACCGGGTCGACGAGAATGAGCTTCTCAACCAAGTCGGGATATTGCAGGCCGAATCGGATTGAGAGCATGCCGCCAAGAGAGTGGCCAATCAGGGTAATCTTGTTGATCCCGAGAGTCTTCAACAAAGCTTGCGTGTTCTTGGCCAGCTGGTTGGTGCTAAACTGGTAGCCTGTAGGCTTGCTGCTCTTGCAGAAGCCAACCTGGTCCGGGGCAATGACACGATAGCCAATACTGGTCAGGACGTCAATCGTGGCGCCCCAGGTAGGGCCGCAAAAGTTCTTGCCATGCAGGACTACGGCCGTCTTTCCGTTGGGCGATCCGCAAGAGGGGGCAATGTCCATAAAGGCCATTTCCAGGTCCTGGAGCTGGTTGTGGAAGCGAAAGAGCTTCACCGGATGCGGGTAGGTAAAGTTGGAGCCGTTGAGGTCTTCCTCAAAGGGACCATTGTCAACGGAACAGTTGGTCTGCGCCGAGACGAGACCGGCGCATAGCAGGCTCGAGGCAGCAAGTCTGGAAAGAGAGAAGCGCATGAATGACGGCCGCGGACGCGTAGATGGCTAGGCTAGATTGGAGGCGCAAAAACAGCAGCTCGAGGGCAAAACCACAGTGCAGGAAAGTTGGTAGAAGCAGCTTCTGGCCTCAAAGAGTGACTGTTGCTGTGCTTGGTCGAGCGAGAGTTCTGTTCAGTGGCAGAACAGAACCAGAGCAGGACCCCTCCACCGAGAAGCACATGTAAAGTAGGTGCCGACATGCATGCAGGTGCCATGAATGGCAAGTGGTTGGCGTAGTAGCTCGTCGGCAATATATGGAGAAGGTCGTCTACTGTACTGGATGTAAAGCAGCGATGCAGGGAGGTGGATAAAGCCATTTCTTAGTTCACACTACCGGTGCCGAATGTAGCAGGTGAAGGAGCAAAGTGGCTTGAATTAGCTACTGCGTTAGCTTGTCACATTGCCCAGAAATATGGAAAGGAACGAGAAATGCGTACAATGCTTGATTCAAGTCCAGCTATCCTGATACTATATCGTGTATAGACTGAAACTAAGCTCTAGTCCCTCCCTAGTGACGGACTCTCTCCTCTTTACGTATTCGGATGTTTTTTGCGGGCATTCTCGAGTACTTCTAGCGCTGTGGTTTTCTATGACTGTGGCTGTGATTCTCTGCGATTTCGTTGCACTTGCAGTTGCATTTGAGCTCCCAAAGTGGTGGGGAGAAGAACCAAATTGTAGAAAAGGCTTTCAAGTCATCCGGGTACTAAAAATTGTCAGCCAATTCGCTGTCTAGAATGTAGCGAGCAATCGAAAATTTACATACATCCTTGGGCTGTAGATTGATATTGGCCCTTCCTTGGGTGAATTCGCAGGAGCCTCGAAAGTTGTCGCCCGGATATCGGGCCAAACCGAAGAGATGAGCCAGCCCTCGCGACTCGGGCTTTGCTTTCAACAGAGTGACAAAGTCAAGCATTTGAGGGTCGAAACCGTCGTCTTGCAGGGTCGAGTACATGTACTCGGTCGGTCTCAGGAGCCCTTGGCTATCAAAAGCCCACATAGATGGCTGTGGTTCATTCATACCATCCGATGAGCCCGTCCAAGGAGTTGATGTGCCCAAGTACTCAACCAGCCTCTCGCTAGGATCCAAGTCAAAGTGACGATGCATCATGGCCAAGCCAAATTTTCTGTCCATGCCATGCTCCACGAAGAAATCTTTGAGCCATTCGACGTGGCTCTGGCCCTCAAGAAGCTCAAAAGTGTCGTGTGCGTCCTTGACTGTGGGGAGACTGTGAAAGTGCTCGTGCGAGTAAGGGGCAAGTATTTCAGTCATCTTGAAAATCTGTAATTGGAATAGATGAAGATTTTAAGGATTGATTTGGGCTATGCGGCGAGCTGTGTGTGTGTATGCGATTAGTTGAGTCCAGTAGGAATAAATCATACTATTTATACAAATCACTCGGGCTCAATTTACCTTGGAAGGTGATTAACAAAAGTATCACCAGTATGCGTCATCGTAATTAGGCGCCCATATATCATGTATTTCCAACTGTATTCTGGGAGTCAAAACGCGGTAGGTCCCCCCTCCCCTTCCGCGACCAACTCCGACATTCATTGACGGGTAGTCCAGTTTAGTAGTTCACCCAACGCCGTGATATCCTTGTGTTCTTACGCACGATTTGTATCAGCATATCATCGCATTACTACCACCAGAAAACATGTCTTCTTGCCAAGCGAGCGTTACTATTTGTAAGTGACCTCTCCGAAACCAATAATCGAGTAAAGGGATGAGTGACTTGAACGCAACATCCCACTGGAACTTGACTCCAAGGTAGTCGGGTTATTTGTATGGCTTTTCATATTTGCCATCAGAATGCGCTAAAGCTTTCACAGTAATTGGCTGGTGCTGCCCTATTGCCGCTTTTGAGGCTGAGTTCAGGACAGCGGCAGCAGCAAGAATGTGCGAGAGACCACGACGAGAAGCGAGCAGCCAGCCGACCTTTGGTCTCTTGATTCATAGAATTTGTCAGTGATTCACTGCTAGTTTATAGGTAGCTCGACAGGCTCTGTGACCACATCGGATGATGAGAGGAGCCGCAGCCTGTCGCGTGTGTGGTTTGGACCGTTGTTGTGGGTGTCGACCGTACAGTGGTGTAGAACTATAACGACCAGACGGTTTTGCTTCACTGATGCCGATTGGTAGCTCTTTCTAATCATCAGAGTCTTTGCGACGGATGGCCGGAGCAAGTTTGACTGGACCTAGTCAATAGCGTTTCAGGCAGAAGTGCGGTCGAAGGTACAAGTCCACCAGCTGTGATAGGTCTAGTCATCGCGCTCAAGAGGCTTGATGCCCCAGACACCATCCGGGTTCTGCCTGTCAGTTTGTAATAACATGCGCCTTATTTGAGTGTCACGTGGTGGGACGGTTTACACGGTTACACCAAATCCGCACTCTTTATGCTCCGCTGAGACAGTTCTCTGCAGTCTGTAAGCACGGCCAACAGACATGATTCACGAAGCAGCCCAAAACCTCGAACCAGCGGCCATTTGTGCCGCTGTCTCTGATCTTCGTTTGGGTGGCAGCGACCCATTCGTGGATGGGGAACTCGAGGGAGGAGAATGTCGCATCTTTAAGATCAGCTTCAAGGACCACCCGAGCCTTTCGGTGCGTATCAATCACCCTTTGCGCGAGAGCCAACAAGATGCCATTGCCAATGTCGACATGGAAACGCGTATAATTCGGACGCTTGAGGAAAAGGGCTTTCCCTGGTCCCCGCGTTATCGCGCTGCCAGCCTTACCTTTGACAACCCAATCAATTATCCCTTTGCGGTGCTCGATTGGGCTGAAGGTGTCCCTCTACAATGGGACGATGATTCCCCATCACAACCTACTCGCGATACCTTGCTGGCGCAGTTGGCTGCAATCCAACTTTCCCTGATAACGTGTACTATGGAAAATCGTATGCAAATTTGTCAACCGTTGGTCGGTATCAACTAGATGGGCAGCTAATCGGCTGCTTTGTAGGATCTACGACTGCTACAGCTTTCTTCGAACGACGGATTAAAAACCAACTGAATCGCGTCAAAGACGGGGAGCTTCCTGGCATTGCCGAGAAGGACTGCCTAGACCAGCTGGCGTTGCTGCCCAAGGTCCTCGGCCCCAATGGAAACAGTACGCTTTTTGCTGTGGACCATGGCGATTTGAAGCCAAATAACATCATTGTTGACCAAGATAATAACATTAAATGGTGAGAGTGCTGACAATACTCGATCCCTTCCAATTGAATTATAGAGCTGATTATATGAAAGCATCATTGATTGGGGTTTTGCAGCCATGGCTCCCATCGTGCAAGCTGCCAAGCTGCCCTGTTTCTTGTGGACTGATGATTCCGCCACTCATGTCCCCAGCCAGGCCATGCTGAGAGACAGGCAAGCATACATTAACTCGTTTCCTGCGCAGGACTCGCAGGCTTCTTTGCTAATGCAGCGCTGGCAACGTGCCAAAGACGTGGACTTTCGCATGCTCTACCTTGAGTCCATATCAAGCAAGGGAATGCTTGCGTCCATGGCTAGTGTAGGGTGGAAGCCTTCGTACTACGAACTTATCGAAGATGCATAAAGGCTACGAATGTAGAAGCCAAAATGCCATCAAGTCAGCCTTGATAGACTTAATTGAGTACCTTGAAGTATATTGGCATAGATACCTTGGAGAACGATGGCGCATGGCTAGGCTCGAGCGACAGGCCTCCACCACGGTCGAATAACTCTGCCTCTGTTGAGTGAAATGCAGGCATGACGGGGTCTCAATGTCATGAAATACAGATATCGAGGGAATGAAAGGCTAGCCAGCTCCCCTGTTCGACAAGCTTCGATTCATAACAATAACACCTCACTCTTTGCCTGTACACTACGAGGCCGTATATGCGGCAGTTGACTAACTAATAACAACGATTTACGTTTCTCTGTTGTTATATGTTTGCGTGTAATTGAAACACGAAAGCATTTGTTTGTCCATAGGCTAGAAAATATACAGGATTATGATGGTACACATGGTCGAAATAACGGCAACGAAGCCAACTAGCTCATACCATCCATAAACTCGACACGGTCGAGGAGCATCTGCCGGTAGCCCATGTACTCTCGCAGGCCTTCCCAGTCGGCGCCCGTCTCCTCACCATGTCTCCAAGGCTCCTTAAAGCCCCAAGCAAGGGCTACCTTGTCCAGTGCAGCACGCTCCTCCTCGCGCATCCAGCGATAACGCAGCGGCGTGCCGGGCGTCCATGTGACGCGCTTCATTTGATCCTTGTGGCTGAGTTTGGCAATCATGCCCAGGGAGCCGACAACAAGCAGGTATCCGGATATACCGGCGGCGCCAATTGCTGTAGCGGTTGTCACATCCATAGTGTTCTGCCAGTAGGCAGCGTAAGCGGTAGACAGGCCCACGATACCAAAGGGCAGTGCCATGAGGCCAATAGCCGGCGCTGTGCCATGCTTGATGAGCTTGGCGCGTTTGAATGCAGGAACGCAGAATCCTGCTTCAATAATGCTGAGCGAAGCATCCAGGTTCTTGGCGTCAATGGCCGTCTGCAGGGCCATGTTGACAACGTCCGTCTCGACGGCGCGCGAGGCGGCGTTGGGGTTTGTGGGCTGGTACGTGATCACGCCGTCCTTGACGACGGGCTTACTCTTTTTCGCGTACAGCTCAAAGACAGCCGCAAGAGACTCCGGGCGGCCCAGCTGGTTCTGGGTCCGGACGTAGATTTCGAGGAACTCGGGCGTCATCTCGACATTGGGGTTGCTGATAATGTTCCAAGCAGCGTAGGAGATGCGGTTCGTCGCTTCGGCTATGCGGGCATCGATGGGTACTTTGGAGCCTGTTCGTTGGGCATTGAGAGAAGCCAGCCGTGAGGCAGAGGCCTTGCTCTGCGACTCGGCGCGCTTCAGTTGTGGGTGGATGCCTATCGCGGCGCGCAGGCAAGATTGCAGGGCTGCCGTGGTCAGCTGCTTCGCGGGAATGCCGTCGACGGACTGAAACTGTTTGCTGCTCTTTTCGGCCAGAGCGGCGAGCTCAATCGGGTCTGTTATGCGCTGGACGCCAGTGCCGGGAGCCGGCGCAGCGTCTCTCTGATTGAGGTCCGCATCCTCCGATGAGGCCGTGGCGCTGCTGGACCAGCGAACACCAGCGTCTCTCCACGTCGGCAGTCTCTTCGCGTATCCGATTCTGGAGATGACCGGCCGACCGAAAAGCTGCACAGCAGCACCCGTTGAGCGCGGTAGTACTGCGCAAGACTGGCAAACAAAGCCGCCCACTAAGCGAGTCGATGCGGAGCGCATCTTCGTCGCGACAGCGCACTACGCAGGACTCGGGTGTTATAATCTTCCTTTCCCAAAATAGACGCTTCTCGAGCCTGTCTGCCTGGGTGTGCGTCCCAGTAGGTGATTGTGGTCAGCAAAGGGTTGAAGAGACCCTTAATAGTGGTGGTGAGAGTGGGAAGAAATTCTTAGCGCGGTGATTGGATGAGTGAGATCCCTTCTGAAGCGCCAGCCAGCGAGTTTGGGGCCTGGCTTGGTACAATTTTGATGCCCGACCTGCTAGAATTGATTTTGTGAAAACTTCCATACAAGTGCAAAGATGCGATTCATTAATTGAATGATGTCTAAATTATTGTAATATGCAGTATTCGAACCACTTAAATCGATCAAGGCCCAAGGCTACCATGAAAGAGTAGTGGGGCAGACAGCTGAGCCACTCATCTTGGGCCGCTCTTGCGTGGCCAGCGTCACGCCAATGACGAAACCAAAGCATCTCACTCGAGACGGCGGCAAATCGAATTCAGTATTCTACCTACAACATAGATCGCTGGATAAACCAGTCGGCACAGTCATTGCCTGTCGCAGTCTGTCTACAAACTCTGCGACTTTGGTCGACGCAACCACCTATCTTCTTTCATAAACGGGCGGCCATTTCAGCGACCTCAACTACCACTCCAACCCAACTCCCTGTCCGCGACTGCTACCCCAGCATATAACTCTCTCGACAAAGCTTCGAAAGATACAATGCCGGGGCCGCCGCCGCCGCCGCCGCCGCCTCCTCCTCCCGGAGCTGGCGGTCCTCCACCTCCTCCTCCACCTCCTCCTGGAGGTGCACCAGGTGGCCTCCCTGGACGTCCTCCGCCGGGTCGAGTATGTTAATACGGGAGCGATTGCCTCGTCTATCTCACATATTTGCTAACCACGTCCTATAGGGTGCCCTTCTTGCCGATATCAGTAAAGGCAGGGCTCTCAAAAAGACCGTCACGCACGATCGCTCTGCCCCTCAGGTTGCCGGAGGTGTCGCATCGTCTGGGCCAGCAGTCGGAGGCGCGCCGCCTGTTCCAGGCTTGGCGCCTCCTGTCCCTGGAAACCGCGCAAGGAGCAACAGTGATCAGGGTACCGGAGCAACGTCAGCCGGGCTAGAATCTGCGGCGCCGCAGCTTGGTGGCCTGTTCGCGGGTGGTATGCCCAAGTTAAAGAAGAGAGGTGGTGGTGTCGACACTGGACGAGACTCAGAATCCTCGTACTTGTCTGATCCCGGCGAGTCAAAATTCTCCGCACCTAGACCACCTGCTTCTGCACCTCCACCACCGTCTGGTGGCGCTCCCGTGATCCCTGGAAGACCATCTTTGCCTGTGCCTGGTCCTGGTGGTTTGAGAAAAACGAGTGGAAGGGGACCGCCCCCTCCTATAGGAAAGAAGCCACCTGCAATACCAACCTCTCGGAAACCAGCTTTGAAGCCGACGATTACATCGTCCCCTGCTCCTCCCCCTCCCCCGCCTCCCTCAGGAGCGCCGGCGCTGCCTCCACCTCGTCCGATATCATCTGCCCCAGGCGCGCCTCCGCCGCCGCCGCCCTCAAGTGCACCTCCTTTGCCAGCGGCTGCTCCTCGCTTACAGCCACCCCCTCCACCACCTCCTCCCGCCAGCTCCGTGCCCCCCTTTGCATCGGCCGTGAATCGACCCTCGGGACGATCATCGCCTACGACAGCGCCTCCGCCCCCTCCACCTCCTCCGCCGGGAGCCGCGCCCTCACCACCAGCTGCACTTTCGTCGCCGCCACCCCCTCCGCAATCCCGTAGCCGTGGCGCGTCTCTCCGACAATCTATGCTCGATCCTAGCGCCTATACGCTGTCTACAAACGGGTCTTCTTCACCAACCCCTACGCCGAATTCGAAAACCTCGTTCCATTCACCAAGCCCAAGCCTGGGTGGCGGGGGTCGCATCTTCATCAACGATTCGAGATGGCACTTCCAGGGGGACGATCAGCTTCCAAAACCGAGAGCCTTTTCAGGGGGTAGCCAAAGATACAGAGCAGGCAGAGGAAGCAGTGTTCCGCTCGATTTAAGCGCATTTTAGTTGTTAAATTATAAAACTTGCATAGTTGTACACTTATATAATTCTTGTTCAGCTCAGTTTGTTGTCAAGACTCGTATTTTGCGCGAAACATCAACGAACGCACGCGCACACGATGATCCTTTTTCTCTATATTACAATAAGGCATTGCCCAAGCAGCCGATATGATAGTATACACATAGCTCAATCAAGTGCTGAGAGGTTTTGATCTTCTTCTTTACATAGACTTCAAGTAATTGGACTCCTTGATCTTGGCCTTTCTCTCTTTGCGCATGGCGAGTTTGAGTTCCTGGCGTTTCTCAGCCGCTGCGATATTATCGGCAACAGAGCCATTCTCTTCACCCGGAAGATTAATCGACTGCTGTTGGATGGGGATCTTGGGCTGGAGGGCTTCGAGGTTGCCAGAGGCGAGCAGCTCAGCTTCGGTAGCCTTTTGTCGCTTGGCCGCTAGTCGTCGTTGCTTCTTGGATTTGGCTGCAAGGGGGGGGGCAAAATTTGTCAGTACAGATTACGAGTAAGCCAAGAAAGCTCGACTCGAGGCATCATGGCGCCCAAGGAAGCTTACAATATTCGTCGCCGAGAGTGTCATCCTCGCCCTCGGCGCTCTTCTTGGTGACATCGAGGCAGGACCACAGCCACTCGGGGTACTCGTCGTCCTTTTTCGCAACGGGGTCGGAGCCTCCCTTGGTATAGTTGAGGCCCGTGAGAATGGTGCCCTCGCGGCAGCTGGATCGCGGCGCGGCCTTTTCCGGCGCGGGCTCGCCGGCGGCTGTGGTGGGAGTCGAGAGCAAAGGCTCGCTGGCGGAGCGCAGGAACGGCGCGACGGAGAAATGGCGGCGAGCCACGGGTAATTGTCGACGCACGACAGCTGTGCGCAGACACCTTGTACAGAACATGGCGAAAAGCGGCTGCGAGAAGCGTTGTGGTTTGTGGTTAGAAAGAATGTGGTGGTGGAGGTGGTGATTGATTAGGAGGCCTGGTGCCAGCGTTCAGAAATTTTGGAGTCGCAGTCGCGTGGGGAGCCTTGGGCGCTGGCAGGCACTGGTCTACCACAACGTCATTTCAAAAGACACTTACGGCTCACGCAGAAAACGGCTCACGCAGAAAAAACATTGAAATAGATCAGGTATTCTGATTACTTGAAACTTCTGTTTCATTTCTTTATCATATATATACACCCTCGCAGAGTTACACAAATGCCCGTGTCGTAGTCAGCTTGCTACTGTGCATCTGTCCTGTCGAGGAGATACCAATAACAATTGGCAATCACTCCGCTTCTTTTACAGTCAACCCAAATGTCTCCATTATGAAGAGAATCTTCCCTGGTTCAGCTTGGCAATCTTATCAGAGGTGTGCACCTTGGCCGCAATATCCATGTCCTCGTCCTTCTTCTCCAAGTAGTTTTGTTGCAAGAATCTCGTTCCCTTGATCTTGTTGGCGGCAAGAAGCTCCAGATATTTCTCTAAATCATCCCATTTCAATTAGCATCCTCGTGATGTTGGCCCAGGATCCGCCAAGCTAGAGCTGCAACGCCGGAGAGCTTACCTCGCAGGTCACCGCACTTTTCCAAGTGGTTGTTGCCGTTCTTGATGTAGCATTTGCTCAATTCCTCGCCGACAAGTCTGGTCATCATGGCGCCGACCCATTGTTCGCGGATAACGGCGTCTTCGGCAGCCTTGTAGGCCTTGGTGTCGTCAAAGTCGACACCGTTGAAGGTTGGCGCAACCGTGGGCTTTTGAGCCTTGAACATCTCGGATTCGGGGGTCGGCATGTTGGGCGATATGAAGAGGATCCTCTTTGATGGAAAAGCCGGATGTCGCACGGCTATCACGAGGCTCGAGCAAGGAATCGCGGATAGTGTGGGAAGCAATGGCTGCTGGCGTGCGCTTCGGCCTAGGACATCACAAACCTCTAGCGGCGTTGCTGGACTGACCAATTGGAGCGCCTCAATTGTCAGGCATCAGTTCTTGGCCGCGACTTCGAAGTACCGAAGTACCATCTTATCAAATTCACCGCTTTGGATTAGACCCGCTCTTTTCCTGCGAAAAAAAAAGTATCCAGGTTCTGCCCAACCACCAGGTAAAAAGACCCTGGCCGCCCGCCTTTTAGAAAATTTTCTACACCTCTTCACACCTCAATCCTTATACCCTCTAACCCGAATTTCTTTCTGGGTTGTCCTTTCTGTTCTTTTTTTCGTGTCTAGAAAGCATATCACACATAGTCACAATGGCTAAATCTACAACCAAGGTAGCGAAGCCTTCCAAGGCCGAGTCCAAGGCTGTGAAGAGCAACGGCACCACCAAGGCCTCCAAGGCCAAGGACTCTGCTAAGTCTTCTGACAAGACCATCGAGAAAAAGAAGAAGAAGGTCGTCGAGCCTGAGTCTTCTGACTCTGACTCCGAGTCCGACAGCGAGTCCGAGGCCAGCGCCTCTGACTCTGACGCCTCTGAGGAGGAGGCTCCCAAGAAGCCCGTCGCCAACGGCAAGAAGGTCAAGGCTGCTGAGAAGTCCGAGTCTGATGAGGATTCGGACTCTGACTCTGACGAGTCCGAGGATGAGAAGCCTGCTGCCAAGGCCAACGGCAAGAAGGCCGCTGCTGAAGATTCTGACGACTCTGATGACAGCGACGACTCTGACTCTGATAATGAGGATGAGAAGGCTGCCCCCAAGGCCGCCAGTGCCAAGAAGGATGTATGTATAGCCGTTGCACTTGAGGTTTCTTGTCCAGAAACTAATAAGACTACAGGATTCGGACTCGGATTCTGACGATAGTGACGACTCTGACTCCGAGGAGGAGGAGAAGACTGAGGCTGCTCCCTCCAAGAAGCGCAAGGCTGAGGACGAGATTGACGAGGCCCCCAAGAAGGCCAAGTCTGATGACGCGCCCATGACCCTCTTCGCTGGCTCCCTTAGCTGGGGTGTCGACGACAATGCTCTGTACGAGGCTTTCAAGTCCTTCGGCAACATTGTGAGCGCCCGTGTCGTTACCGACAAGAACACTGGCCGCAGCCGTGGCTTCGGCTACGTCGACTTCGGTGACTCCGAGTCGGCTACCAAGGCCTACGAGGCCATGCAGGGCCAGGAGATTGATGGCCGTGCCCTGAATCTCGACTACGCCAACGCCAAGCCTACTGAGGGCAAGCCTCAGGACCGCGCCGCCGACCGTGCCAAGCGCCACGGCGACACCCTCAGCGCTGAGAGCGATACTCTCTTCGTTGGTAACCTGCCCTTTGATACTGAGCAGGATACTGTTCGCCAGTTCTTCAGCGAGGTTGCCGAGGTTGCCAGCGTTCGTCTGCCTACCGACCCGTGAGTGAAACCCCTTCTCTATAACTCTGCATATTCACTAACAATCTCTGCAGTGATTCCGGTAACCTGAAGGGCTTCGGCTATGTTACCTTCAACTCGATTGAGGACGCCAAGTCTGCTCTTGACGCCAAGAACGGCGCTTCCATTGGCAACGGCAGAAATTCGCGTGCTGTCCGTCTTGACTTTGCTGGCAGCCGTCCTCCTCAGAACGGTGGTGGTGACCGCCGTGGTGGCTTCGGTGGTGGACGTGGCGGCGGCCGCGGTGGCCGAGGCGGTGGCCGTGGTGGTCCTCGTGGTGGTGGTCGCGGCGGCTTCGGCGGTCGTGGTGGTGGTCGTGGCGGCTTCTCTGGCACCAAGACCTCTTTTGACTAAGAGCTGTTTGAGATTTTCTTTTTTTTCTTTGGAAAGCCATGATCGGGACTTTGGAGTGGGCGTTGAGCTATAGTGGGCTGTCGTTTCAAAACAAGTTGGCGGCTCTTGGATCGAGCTAGTGGGCTTTGAGAAAAATGCTTCCTCTGCGAGGCAGTGATAGACCTGGGGGCTTCATTATTCACTTTGGGTGGCCGAGGGCTTGTGGCTATAATGTCTCCTCCCGAGACCTATGTGGGCAGACGATTTGAATGGCTTTTCGATGTACTCTTCTATGTTTGGGCGGCAAAAAAAAGAGCAAACCATCCAGTGGGCTTCCTGAGGGATTTGAGCGTGCTAATATTGGAAAAGACGTTCTCTTGTCGGCGTCCTCCTGCCTCCTCCCGAGGCCGAGTGGATAATGACAATGGCTGAGTTGACCAATTTGGATCGAGCGAAAACTTCTTGACGGGCTCGGGGGGCTTTTTTACCTAAAATGCAAATACTTGGTTTGGACCACTGCGAAGAGGCGGTTTTTGCTTTGAAGCAATTGCCACATTCACGATACCCATCCATATATGCACATTTTCAGGGTGTGCTTTTTTTCATGATGCTTTCATGATGCTCTTATGACTCAAGTAAGTATGTTGTTGGCTTATAACCACCTTTTTGCATTTGCTGTAGTTTTAGTAGTCCACTGGCGTTTTTAGGCTGGGAAAAAGTGATTCCATCTAGACTCTATGAACCTTTATTACCGTTACTCTTGCTCGTCTTTTCTTTTACACACCGTGATACTAACTGCTTAACCACTCGACTATGATCTGTGCTGGCCGACTTTACAGCCCCGAGCGCTTCCTGTCTTCTGACAGCAATCCCAAACAAAGGCATCCGGCCAATCCTCCATATTCTCCTCCGTCTCCATGGGCCCGTCAGTGTTGACGAAGTGGTCCTCCCACGCCTCGTTGCTCTCGTCCGCCCATCTGGTCCCTAGTTACGCGCAAAGCCTGTTAGCAAGCCACTTCCGCCATGCACAAACGCCCAACTCCGCCTCCACTGCTCAGATTTACCGGGATGATAGTGGCACGAGTTTTCGGCACGCGTCAGGACGGAAAAGGCTTGCTTGCACTGCACGCAGATGGCCAGGTCGCTGCCGTTGCAGGAAGAAGGCGCGGCCGCCAGCTTGCTCGCCATGCTGATGACGCGGTCGTGCGTGTACGGGTCCTTGAAGAGAGCAACGAGGATGGCGCGGAGATGGCTCTCCGGGAGGCTGGCGACAACGTCCATTGTTTCGGGGGCCCTTTCTGTGTTTTGAGTAGTGGCCAAGGTCGTAAGCTAGTGTGGGGGGGGGGAAGGACAAGTGCGACAGAAATCTTGATTGTCTTGCGGGCCTTTCGTTTGCCAAGATACCGTGAGTTTGTCAGGGCATGGGTGCTTTGAACACTTTTTTTTCAGCATGTGGGGGATATCTAACTCTCAATTGAACACATGTCCCTATATACGCATTTTTGGGGTTGTCAGTCTACACGAATCTACGAGATCATCGTGTCGAGCTCTCATACACCATCAATATCCTCTGCTTCAGTGGGATGCGTTGTTGTGACTTGCGAGAGCCCTGGCTGAGTGAGAAGTTCTAGAAAGTCCCAAGGTCTCACTTCTCTAAATGGATATCTAATAAATGAACCAGAGGTTCATGAATCGGTACTATTAGACGTGATAATCAATTCTTGCTCACATCATTGCAAAGCCAGAGCCGTGCGTAGCCCGTCTAGTCCGATTCGAAATCTTCAGAATCTTCGCTCGAATCAGAATCTTCTTGGCCCGGCTCGACGCGATGTCGCCCCATCTTACAACCTTCCGTCGTGCTCACTTCATCGCAGCAATCCCAAAGAAAGGCCTCTGGATATTTTTTCCTGTTTTCCGGGGTATCAAGATCGCCGTGGCAGCGAACGTCATGATCATACCACGCCGGGTCGTCTTCGTCCGGATACAGGTCGCCTACAACGTTAACGCGGCCATCAGCAATAGGAATCCGAGGCGCCGAATTTGCTCTTATCCTCTGCAGCTTGTTGACAGACTTACCATTGTGATATACGCAGTCGTAGTCTTCGTCGTCGTCTACGGAGAAGGCCTTTTCGCAGCGAATGCAGATGGCCAGCTTCGCCTCGCTCTCGCCTACGTTGTTGTCCGCCATTGCGCTCCCCTCCGCCTTTTCTAGCTTGTCAACCATAGCGAGAGCCTTGGCACATATATCTGTGTCTTTGCATAGTGCCCTAAGAACAGCTCGCAGGTGCTTTTCGCTGACGTTGTCAAATAAACCCATTTTCGCTCCCGTGTTGTTTGGTGAATGGTCGACGAGTCGGTGTGGGGATTGGAAGTGATATGAATTTGATCCATGTTAATAGAAAAATGGAATAACAACGCCACAACACGATCAATCGGAATTCGAGATGCTGACTCGAATTTCAATTTTACAGCCATTGGGTAAATGCCTATATTCGAGAAAATGATTCGAGCTACAGCGGCTGTATGGCATTTGCAGTATACTGTCAGTCTGTCGTATCCCGGTCGCAATCTACGTTCTGTCTCGAGGAACCGATCCAGAGCAAGCAACACTTCATCATTGTCGCAAGACGCCGCAAAAATTTGTTCTGATGAATTCTCCATCGCGGAGTTTGTAAGTGGCGACAGCGCTGGACGGTCCTGGCGCAGCGACTGGGCTATTCGTGAAGGCCTCAGCGCATTGCCAAACAGAAGTTTCAAGCACGCAAGCACGATACGCTTACTCCAAGTTTCCTCGCTCTTATATCTGTCTGGTAATGCATATTCTTCTTCTCAGATAAAACACAGAGCATATCTGATATCTGAGCCAGCCACACGCCCTGCGAACCAAGTCCATATAAGTCTCCCCCGCACAACGAACCAATAACAGCACCCGGGCAGCCGCTCGGAAGTAGCTCAGCCCGGTTAGCTGCCGCCCAACAGGCTTAATTGCTTTGCTAAACCTTTTCAAGCATCATGTTCTCCTCATACTTGAATTGTCGTTTGCAAAAGATTATCGGCGGTCGTTTTGTTGGTGAGACTTTACTTCATCTCCATTAGTTCGGCATCCGCTTCGTGTAACACACCAAAATGGACTATGATACGCTGGATGCGGCAATCCTAGCCGGCGCGTTCGTTGGCTGAGGCACTGTTACACAGATCACGGCAGTCTGACATTGACAGCCTTGCCGGGAGATCATGGGAGCATGTTCGTTTCACAGCAAGGCAGCACAAACGCACGTTTCATTCATTTCCTTGTACAGACAGCAATCTTGTCGAACATACAGACTGATACAGGGCGGGATAGTGGTCTACTGGCCTAAGGATCGACGTCCTAGATGGCGGCAACGAAAAGAGCTACTTCGTCAAGGTGAGCACAACATCCTTGCAAACTTCCGTTTCTACATTAATACAAATAAATAGGTTATCGAACGTGAAGATTTCGTTGGCATGGCCGAAGCAGAGTATGAGGGACAGAAAGCAATTGCCGCCGTCATTCCCGACAATGCAGTCAAACCGGTCGCATGGGGATATTATGCCGATGCCAAAACCAAGGCCTGGTTTATGGCAGAGTACTCCAACTTCCGTGCCAGAGCCCCTCCCCTTGAACAGCTGCTGCCCATTGTCAAGCAGATGCTCAAGCAGATGCATCAGAGATCGATCTCGCCAACTGGCCAGTTCGGGTTTCACGTCACATCGTACTACGGTCCGCAGCCAATGATAGTTGACTGGACTGATAACTGGGAAGAATTCTGGGTTCGTGAGTTTCGATCAGGGTTGAGAAATGTTGAGAGGATGCGAGGTCAGGATCCCGAACTTTTCGAGATTGCTGAACAATTCATCGAAAAGGTTGCCTCTCGCTTACTTCGACCACTTCAAAAAGTGAAGGTGGGCGCTTCCAAGCCCATCGAAGATTTTGAGGACCGAGTCTCACTCTATGCTATGTAGGACAATCAGTATCCCTCTCAGCCTAGTTTAGATGTGCTGACGTTTATTTTCAGACGCAACGACTTGATACTTGCATGTGTCCACAATGGGCGTCACTCATTGACAAGTGAGCAATTCCTCTGTCTTTCTCTCTCTCTCTCTCTGTCGTTCCGAACCGAGATTTATACAATTACAGGGCAAAAGCGGACATAAAACGCTTACTTGAGAAGTACCCCGATGGTCTTCGTTATTACATGGGCGGACTAGAGCCTACTATTGCTAGCCTACCTGATACGCCTCCGGCAACACCTTCGAGAGCCCAGCCTCCCACTCAGATTGCGAGCAAAGGCGACAATACCGGTATCAATACACCACCGAGAACGCCTTTGATCACCTACGATCCCAGCCGCAACTCAATTACCGACGATTTACTTGCCGCAGGCGAGTGACTGCCAGAGGGGTTGCCCGTCTCTCAGACGGTCTGCATTCCTAGCCAACAGACCGCGTGAATCTTCCGCTGCTGTCAGAAGAGGAGCCGGTCAAACTCTTTTATCACGAAAAGCACAAAACGAGGCAGATCTTCATACTCTCAGCATCTCATTGTCAGAGAGAAGCAGCCGTTCGACCATCTTTCTGGAGCAGTATGGCGTGTCTGGCCTCGCCGCGGGCTTGCCATACATGCTGTTTGGCGTCGCTTCGATGATGGCAGAATTGTGTGCAGGCGCGTGAATGAGGCTTTTCGGAGACGGCTCCGGCAAGATGCCAGCGTGTACAGGCAAATATGTGGACAGAGTTTAAGAGAGCGGCCGCGAGCGTGAACATCACGATGGTCAAGGATGACCAAGTACGCCGTCGTTGTTTGCATACCTTGTGTTGTTGGTTCCGGTTGGACACGACAATATCACTCCGTACGCCTTACTTCCCTCTCGCCATGTTCATGCCTGCTAACCTCTGGTACTCGCATAGCACATGGCGGTGCCGCTCGTCTTGCAGATTTCTATCGGCTCTACGGTTCAAATCAACTTGACAGTGAGTAGATGAGTATGCAATCTGGCGTGTAACGAAGCTGACGACCGGAACGCAGTCGCTGAACGCGCTGCCGGCCGATTATTACCCGGACCGGACGTCAATAATGCAGGCGGCGAGCGACCTGTTCCGGTGCGATGATGCAGGGCATAGCGTTTCCGGCGCTGTGAGCGGTGGGGCAGTATGGCCGGAGTGGCGCAAGAAGGGGAATCAGTGTATCAGAGGCGCGTGAGTAAGATGGTCTCGGGGCTGATATGAGGAATAAATGAGGCGATGGATAGATAATGGATGCATCAAAGCAGGAAAGGAACTGTTGAGAAGGTGAAAAATAGATGGATCAGATAAAGATGTCGAGGGTCTGCAGGGGTTGATGGACTGGCGGTGGACGACGTGCCAACGTGTTTGCAGGGATGTCACAGTGGGCCACAAGTACTCGTGAGCCAAAGCGCCACACATTTGCCATCTAATTGTTGCTCGGAACTACTTGCGAAAGCGTCACTTGGCACTGTCGGCCAGCTTTGAGAGTGTTGGGCGCTTGGGCACCAACAACGAGCCAACCTGCAGTCAAAGACCCTTGATCAGATTTATTGAATGTACGAGGTTTATTTACGGCCTGGTGCGAGATGAAAGAGCGAGTGAGCAGATTTATTAGGCAGGCTAGGTAGAGGGCTGACGGCCATGATGGATGCCGCATAAAATCTGCATTGTCTTGTTTGTCCATCTGAAACTGGCAATGAATCCAAATCAAGACAGCATCGTAATCTAGTTACAACTCGCAGCTGACTTGCTAAAAGCCGCAAGAATGAAAGGGGGCCTGCGTTGCGCCCTTGTGACGGATGAGGCTGGTGCGCCTGTGACGCAATGTCTGGGCGCGTGATGTGCTTGTCTACTCGGTGCCAGACAGACGACTCGACTTTGACCGACAGATATATCATTTCTTCAGCGCATTTTGTTACAATTTTAATCATGGCATGCATGTAATGTACAGGACATCCACATTGCCTACAACGTTTGAATTGTTGCCTCTGTCCACAGCCCACCCAGAATCCGCCCACCGTTCCGCCCCAACGCTCCAACGCCGCCCCCGCCCGCTCACGCTGCCACTTGGCTCGTGAGTCCAAACCTTGTGGCTCAAATCCGTCTTTATTATTATATTTTAAATCTGGCTTTCTTTCTTTCTTTGTCTTTTCTTTTATTTACCTTTCGCCTTTCATGCTTCACTTTCCATCCCACCACTTCTCCTCACTTGCCGCATAGAGTCTTGGCGCCTTCAGCGCACACACCCATTTGCCATCCTCCAACCACAGCGACAGCCATCTCCGCAGATCGCCTCTCACCTTATCAGCCCGATTAGGCGGGGTTGCCAAATAGACCAGACCGCCCGTGTACTGATACGAGTCCCTCGAGTCGTCGTCGCCCCCCCCCTTTGCACGTCCACCATCTACATTCTCCCTATCGATAAAAAAGAAACTTTAATCCCGTCATCTTGATTATCGATTCTACTCTCATACTATACCAGCTTTGCACTCCTCCAACCAAGGCGGCATCATGGAAGGCCAGCCAAGCCACAGCAGGTCACTCGGCCGTAGTGTCACACAGCCCGAGCAGCGGCCGAGCCCCAGCATACATCACAGTCGTCGATTTGACGGTACGAACAACGCTCATTTTGATGTTTCCCAAACACATCCACTGACTCTTGCAGAATCATGGGTCGAACTCTCCTCCCAGCCCTCGTCCTCGTCGCTCTCGAGCGTCGACAATGAAATCGTCACCACCGGTCTCCAGGTCGGCAGCCCGTTCCAGCGCCGTAGGCGACTCCATCCCTCGGCGCGATCACTCCCCCCTCCGCAGCGCACCGCCATCCACGTCACCGGTGCCAGCAGCCAGGATGAGGAGGACGAGAGCGACAGCGATGAGGACCGCGTCATGACGAGCTCCGCCGAAAACATCCACTCGTCTGAAAAGGACCCCTCGGACGGCTCCGACGACGAGTCCGACGATGACGGTGACAATGCCACCACACTCGGTCGAAACCCCGACGCTCCCGTGTTCCGCCCGCAGCCAAACGCCTTTACCCATCCGCCCGCCGGCCTGGGGCAGCGGAGCTACTCGACGAGCTCGGCCGAGCACCCTCACCCGCACAGCTCCTTCCGGCGCTCCTCGTACCCTCACCGATCGCAGGCGCGCGGCCACCACCACCGCGGTACAGCAGCATCACCGCCCAACTTTATGTCACCCTCTGCTCGCGAAGACAACGACGCTGCGCTGCGGGCCTCTCTCACCACACTCCTCTCCTGTGCCGCCGCCGCCAGAGGCCTGCCCAAAAACAAAGACGAGACGGACGCGCAGCGCGTCACGCGGACCGGTGTCACCCCCAGCAATCAGCCCATGGAGCTGCGTTTCATGCCCGAGTCTGCGCTCGCTGGTGAGGAAAAGCAGGTCGACGCCGGCCCCTCGGGTGTCCGACGCCGGCATCCTTCGTCTGGCGCCGTCTCTCCCAAGTCAAAGCGGTCCGAGTCGGCTGGCAGGGGCCCGCGGGCGGCGAAGAAGAAAAAGACGGCTGCTGCTGCTGCTACTACTGCTGCTGACGCAGATTATACGCTAATATCCCCCACGCTTCTCAGCTGGGTCGTCAGCGCCGGCGTCGTCGTCCTCGTGTCTGTTGTTGGGTTCGGCGCTGGCTACGTCATCGGACGAGAGGTTGGCCGCGAAGAGGCACGCGAGGTGCTGGCGGCCAGCGTCGGCGGTGTCAACGACACGACGTCGGCCGGCAGCCAGGTGATTCGTTCCTCGGCCGGGCTGCGCAAGCTGCGCTGGAGCGCGGTTGGCAGAAGCATCGTCGCCCAGGCATAGGCTCTGGGGAACGGTTACACATACACGCATGCGCAGAGGCAAAATTATCTGTGCCACATGATGATTTTACGCTATGGTACGGAGTTGGTTCTATATTGATTTTGGGCTTTGATTTTTTCCACAAGGTTGAATGACACGACCTTATTTTTGTGGACGTGGTACCGCATTTTCAGGGGACGGCCATTTGTTTTCCGCTTATTAGTCGATGCGCGCTTCGACATGTAGCGCCTAGTTTTAAGAACTAAATATGCAATTATGAATTTATCAGTATGCAAATTGAGACGATACTGTGATGTCATATTGGTCACTTGTGAATATCTGGAAAATTATATGCATAAGAAGCGTTTTCATATTTTATGCTAGACAGTTTCTACATGAAAGATGAGTAAATAAGGTCAAAGGAAAATACAAACTAGAAAGACCAATCAAATAGAGGCAAGAAGTCATACGAAGTGCATGCAAGGCATCTTGCTTTGTGACCCACCAAGTTCATCTTCAAAGTATTCGTACCTGCCATGGACCAAGGGACTACTTCTACGTAATGAAGCGACATGTTCGGTAATATATACCTACAAATTAGATGAAAAACCAAATACAGCCTCTACAATTGGCCGATGCCCCGTAAAAGCGACGCAACCTTATACTAGCCAAAAGCAGAGACTGCCAGATTTCGCTCCTTGTTGCGTGTTTCTGTCAAGACAGTTGTGGGGCCCTTTCGATGCGAATACGATCGCGGCCAAAGTCTCCACTCCGCGCCAGTCCCTTCCAGCGCCTCTCGAAAGATTTCAAATTACCAGATCCACGCTTTCTCTGCCTCCCCTCCTTTCCTTTCTTTTGCCAGCATACAAGAAGAGACGAACTGCTGTCACTCTTGTTTCGTTTCGTTCTCTACGGTACAACTCCCCGATACCTACTGCTATCCTGCCGCTTCTGCCTCCCTCGGCTTCATACTCCGACCAGATCTGAACCTAGATCGCCGCCACCATCATGGGTTTTCTTCAGGTCGCGGCGAACCACCCGCTGGTCCACCAGTTTCAGGCCCAGAGCGTTGTCGTCCAGTCTGCTACTCTCTTCTTCGGCTTCATTGCCCTCTCCGTTTTGCTCAATGTCGCCAGCCAGATTCTCTTCAAGAATAAGAATGAGCCCCCCCTGGTGTTCCACTGGTTCCCCTTTATCGGCAGCACCATCACCTATGGCATGGATCCTCCTAGTTTTTTCCACTCGAATCGCGAAAAGGTGGGCACATTCCCGTCCTTGTTTGCTTGCTGTCTTCATGCAGTCGTATGCTAACGCATCTCATTCAGTACGGCGATGTCTTTACCTTTATCCTCCTCGGCAAGAAGACGACTGTCGCAGTCGGCCCCGCTGGCAACGAATTCATCCTCAACGGCAAGCTCAAGGATGTCAATGCCGAGGAAATCTACACCGTCTTGACTACTCCCGTCTTTGGCCGCGATGTCGTCTACGACTGCCCCAACGCCAAGCTTATGGAGCAGAAAAAGGTATGATGCACCATGTCGTCACTACGCGACCAACACCCTAACAGACGTTTTGTACAGTTCATGAAGATTGCCCTCACCACAGAAGCTTTCCGGTCCTACGTCCCCATCATCTCTCACGAAGTTATCTCCTACTACAAGCGCGACGCCGACTTCAAGGGCACCACCGGCATTGTCGACGTGCCCCAGAAAATGGCCGAGATTACCATCTTTACAGCCTCCCATGCTCTCCAGGGCAGTGCCATCCGCCGCAAGTTTGACGTATCTCTGGCCGCTCTCTACCATGATCTCGATATGGGCTTTACTCCCATCAACTTCATGCTTCACTGGGCCCCTCTTCCCTGGAACCGTCGTCGTGACCACGCTCAGCGTACCGTCGCCAAAATTTACATGGACACCATCAAGGAACGTCGCGCCAACGCCGATGACCACGAGCTCGACATTATGAAGCACCTCATGAATTCTACCTACAAGAATGGCACCCCCGTCCCCGACCACGAGGTAGCTCACATGATGATTGCTCTTCTCATGGCTGGCCAGCACTCTTCATCGTCGACTAGCTCCTGGATCATGCTCCGTCTAGCTCAGAACCCTCAGATCATGCAAGACCTCTACGATGAACAGGTCAAGAATCTCGGCGCCGACCTCCCTGACCTGCAGTACGAGGATCTCGCCAAGCTGCCTCTCAACCAGGCCATCATCAAGGAGACTCTGCGTCTGCACGCCCCCATCCACTCGATTATGCGCGCCGTCAAGCAGCCTCTGCCCGTTCCGGGCACCAAGTACGTCATCCCGACCTCGCATGTCCTTCTCGCTGCCCCCGGCGTCAGCGCCAGCGATCCTTCATACTTTCCCAACCCCGATGAATGGGACCCCTACCGTTGGCTCCCTGGCTCAGCCAACGCCCCCACCATTACCCGCAACGACGAGGAGGAGGAAAAGATTGACTATGGCTACGGTATCGTCAGCAAGGGCGCAGCCTCGCCCTACCTGCCCTTTGGTGCTGGTCGCCACCGCTGCATTGGCGAGCAGTTTGCCAACGTGCAACTGCAGACCATTGTCGCCGAGACGGTCCGCGCGTTCCAGTTTACCAATGTCGACGGCAGCGACAAGATTATTGGCACCGACTATGCCTCCCTCTTTTCCCGTCCTCTGGAGCCTGCGAAGATTCGCTGGACTCGCAGAGATTAAAGCAAAGGTTAAACTATAGAATGCGTGCAAACAAATTAGAAGAGAACTAATCATGGATGTGGGTTTTTCTGGGTCACAGGAGTTGTTACATGTATATTTTTTTGGGATGATCACGGCCATGCTTGGTTTTTTGGATGATAAGCAGAAACATATGCGTTAGAATTACGGAGCTGAAACAATGAAGCTCGTTTATTAATAAATAATGCCTACAACCACGTGTTCACTTACTGCAACCATTTTAACACGTTGACAATTTGACAAAGAGTAATGCAAAGTTTCATACTGGTAATGTTTCATGTTGCTATAATAATATATGCTCGATAAAAAGATGTACAGGTACCGCTATGCCGGGTCAAAAGAAAATGTGCACGGCGACTTTTCAGTTCGTCAAGCTAAAACAGAAATTGATGACTGCGGGCAACAAACACGACGACAGGTTCAAAAATTAGAAGGAAAAAAAAAAGGTATATATCGCCACAGTATGAAAAGTGCGCACACGCGCACATATACACGACGTCGCCAATTCACGCGTCCATATCCCGCAACGGCACGTACCCCTCGTCTCCTTTCCCAGCGCCACGTCTAGCCAGCATCTCGCGGAACCAGCCAATGACGCCGCGCCCGCCGTGCCAGCGCAAGCCGCCTGTTCGTTCGGCGGCAGCCTCGTCCATCCAGCGGGGCCTCGTCCAGAACTTGAGCAGCAGGCTGGAGACGACGACGGAGACGGAGGAGCAAGCCATGGCGAAGCCGGCCATCATGGGGTGCATGTGGAGGCCTATCGGGAGGAAGAAGCCCATGGCGATGGGCAGGCCGATGAGGTTATAGAGGCAAGCCCAGCCGAGGTTCATCTTGATGCGGCGGAAGATGGCGCGGGTAAGGGCGAGGGCGGCGGGGATGCTCAAGAGATCGGTGGGACGCATGAGGACCACGTCGGCAGCCTCCATGGCGACATCGGTGCCCGAGGACATGGCGATGCCGACGTCGGCGGTGGCAAGCGCGGGGGAGTCGTTGATGCCGTCGCCGACCATGGCGACGATAGCGCCGGTGGCTTGCATCTGCCGAACGATGGACTGCTTCTGGTCGGGCGAGACGCCGGCGTAGACGTCGTCGGCGTCGATGCCTACGGCGGCGGCGACGGCAAGCGCAGTGGAGCGCTGGTCACCGGTGACAATGGCCGTCTGGATCTTCATGCGGTGAAGCACGGCAATGGCGGCCGCCGCGCCGTCCTTGATGGTGTCAGCGAGGCAGAGGTGGCCGGCGTACTGGCCGTCGACGGCGACAAAGATGTTGGTGGTGCCGGCAGAGGACGCGGCGCGGCCAGAGGCGGTGGCAGGTTTTCTGGAGGAGGCGGGCTTGGACTGGGCGGCGGTAGCGTGGACGTTGAGCTGCTCGGCGGCCTCGATGGCGTCCTCGGGCACGGCGATGCCGTGGTCGTTGAGGTGCTTGAGGTTGCCGGCGACGACGTGGTAGCGTGGGCGGTCGGAAGATAGCGCAGGCTCGACCTGTGCGACGACACCCTTGCCGACGCTGACCTTGAAATCGCCGACGCTACCGTCAATGGCCGCATCCGGTCCGAGGCCGAGCTCGTCCTTGGCAGCACCGACGATGGCTTTACCAACGGGATGCTCGCTGCCCATCTCCGCGAGGCCGACTGCGGCCCACCAGGCGCGTTTGCGGGCATCGCTGGCGCTCCACGCCGGTGCGAGCGTCATGCGCGCGACGCTCATCTTGCCGTGGGTAATGGTGCCCGTCTTGTCGAGCACCACCTTGGTCACCTTTGTGGTACGCTCGAGCGCTGCGCCGCCCTTGATGAGGATGCCGTTTTCGGCGCCCACGCCCGTGCCGACCATGACAGCCGTGGGCGTCGCGAGGCCCAGCGCGCACGGGCAAGCAAAGACGATGACGGAGATGCACAGCTTGACGCAGACCATGATTTTGCCACCGCTCGCGTTTTGCAAGAAGATTTGCGGCGGGTGCGACAGCACGTGGGAGAGTACCATCCAGGTGAGAAACGTGCCGAGGCCGAGCACGAGGATCGTGGGTACAAAGTAGCCCGCGACCGTGTCGGCGACCTGCTGAATCGGCGCGCGCGTCGTCTGCGCGTCCTGCACAAGCCGCACAATCTGACTGAGCTGAGTGTCACGGCCGGCGCGCGTGACGCGGAAGTCGACCCTGCCATTACCGTTGACGGTGCCGCCAATGACATTGTCGCCGAGACGTTTCTGGACGGGCATGGCCTCACCCGTAACCATGCTCTCGTCGATGTAGGTTTCGCCGCGGACCACGGTGCCATCAGCGGGGATCTTGTCGCCAGGTCGAATAATGACAATGTCGCTGAGCTGCAGCAGCTCGGTAGGGATGGACTTTTCTTCGTGCGCAGATCCCTCGGAGCCCGGTGCACGCGGTGTGCGGGGGGTGGTGGCATCGCTGGATTTGGCCCAGGCCTCGGCGGCCTTTTCGGCAGCGATGGGGTCGGCGTAAATGGTCGCCATAGAAGGGGCCAGAGACATGAGACGAGACAAGGCCTTAGATGTCTGTCCCTTGGCGCTGTTTTCTAGGTAACGGCCAAAGGTGATGAAGGTGATGAGCATGGTGCTCGTGTCAAAGATGGTGCTGGGTCGGGAGTGAGGAGGCATTAGGAGTGAGACCAGCATGGCAAAGATGCTGTAGAAAAAGGCACAAGACGTGCCGAGAATGACTAGGACATCCATAGTAGGGGAGCCGTGCTTGATAGATTTGTATGCGGAAATGTAGAAGCGCTTGCCAATGCCAAATTGAACGGGAATGGTGAGGGCCAGGCAAATGACATCGCCTAGACAAAGCCCAGGAACCAGAGCAATCTTGCCAAAATCCAAGCTGGGCAGTCCCATGGGCAGACACATGCCAATGATGAAGACGGGAATGGCAAAGCACAGCGATGTTCTGAATGCTGTCCTCCATTCCGTAATCTCGCGCGTCTTGGCCAGCGACTCAAGCTGGGCATTGTTATCCTGGCTGTCGGCAACAAGCGCGTTCAAGCCCTCCTGCTCAACAGCCTCGACAATGGCTCGCAGCCCAATGACAGATGGGTTATGTGTAACGGACAACCTGTCTGTAGACAAGCTGAGAGATGCAGACTTGACGCCAGCGAGTCCGCAGATCTTGGCTTCCAGTGCCTTTGCTACAGTGGCGTCCGGGTTTCCGTAGATTTTAAATTGGGCAGTGGTCGTTCCCGCACCAACATCTTGGACGTCAAAAGATGTTGAGAGAACAGCGGCGTCAAAGCCTCGGTCTTCGATGGCTTCGGCTATTTGGTCGGCGGTAATTTTCGAAACGTCGTGTGTGATGACGGCTCGCTCTGCGAGCAGACTAATGTTGAATTTCAATATGCCATCCACGCCCTTGAAGCCGCCCTCGACGGCAGATGTGCATGCACCACAGGTCATGCCCTCGATCGCAACCGTCGTGGTGGCGACGGCGCTGGGCGCTTCGTCTGCCTTGTCAGCTGGCACTGCTCGTACGCTGTCGATAATCTCGGCGCCGAAGCCACGGTCCTCGATAATCTCGGCAATCTGCTCTGCGGTAAGCAGGCTAGGGTCGTGCTCGATAACGGCTCGTTCGGAGAGTAATGATATGCTGAAGCTTTTGACACCGGGGACATCCTTGAAGCCCCCCTCGACGGCAGAGGTGCAGGCGCCGCAGGTCATGCCCTCGATCGCAAGCGTGGTGGCCATTGTGCTCGGCTCGACAGAGAGGCTCGGGTGACGGGAGACGACTGGGCTGGGCAGGTCGGTGGCGAGAACTTCGGCGTCGAAGCCACGATCCTCGATAATCTCCTGGATCTGGGCGGCGGAAATCTTGGCCGGATCGTGCATGACAACGGCGCGCTCCATGATGAGACTGACGGAGACGCTGCCGACGCCTTCGAGACCCTTGAAGCCAGCTTCAACGGCAGAGGTGCATGCACCGCAACTACAGTCCTTAGGGTTAGTGATGGATGGCGCAACGGCGGACTCTGGCGCGAGCCAGCTAAACCGGAGCGGCTATCGAGTCGTTCCAAGAGGTATCAACTCACGTCATGCCGCTCACGCGCAGCGTGGTGGTGGCCATGTGTGCTGTGCCGGGAGAGGCCAACGTCGCAGACAGATGGCTGGCTTCCCGTTTGGGAATTTGAATGGGTGAGGGAGCCATCCTGGGCGCAATGAAACAAACCTCACTGTCTGGCGCAGCCGTCACAGAGTCGGGGTAATACGAAGATAAAAGAGAATAGGAAGAAGAAGAAAAAGGTCGTCGATGTTCCAAAGTTGTCAAAAGGAAGAAGCACGCAGCACCCAGGTCGTTGCTGGGGCCCTTGCTTGACGGGGGGTCGGGGAGGAGAAGTCGTCGATGCAACGCTCGCAGGCAAGACGAAGCGGAGGTCGCGGCAGGATTGTGGGGGCGGTTTCGACTTTTGGCTGGCTGCAAGAAATATGACAGGACAGCCACCCGCGCAGGTGGATGGAGACGGAGCGATGAATGTATGTAATATGTGAGAGGATTTCTCAGCAGAACAATCCGGCAGACACTGCTGACGGAAGTTCAATTCCAAAGGAAAGAGGTGGAAAACGGGCGCGCAGCCAGTCTCAAACCCGAGGCGTACAATGCGCTAGATATGAGGCCGTTTCCAAGACAGTCAGCGTGGCGCACAAAAAAGCCAAAACATGTATCTGAACACAGACAGAGGGTGGTTCGGCTTGAAGATATATATGCACGGTCACCATGCAATGTCATCCAAGTCGCCAGCCCACAGGTGGGAGGGATACGGTCCGCCACTGCGCCAATAAATTTTGGTTCCAACGCCGCAGGTCGGTCGTCTTGATGCGGGATAGTCCGTGTACCAACGAGTTTCTGTTGGCCAATTATTCAGCAGCGAGAGGATTAAGTACCTAGCGTTGACGAGCAAGCAAACGATGGGGAAAAAAATTAAAGAAGAACAAACAGTACCCAGCAGTACCTGTACGAGGTGATAAAGGTGGATTGATTGCTCGGGGACAGGACGCATAAGTAATACAGCCTCGGCAATCATCCCCACTCACTAATAAAGAATTCTCATCAAGACTTGTCATTGTTTTCTCTTTCTTCTTTGCTCTCCTCGCCTAACTAACTATTCTCCTGATGTTTCCAAGTGACTTTTTACTTGCCAATTTCACTCCTAGGCACATCATCGTAGCTAGCATCGCCTAATCGCAGTTGTGGCTTTCTGGTGTTTCAAATCACCGCCCACCCCATGTCGATGGCGCCAGTTTAGCACCGGCCACGGCTCTACCCTGCCAACTTCTTCCGCCAAGTCCATCGACGGGGCTCCAGTTGGCTTGCCTGCCAGAGCCAGGCCTGCACCGTCCGTGTTTGACTTTTGTTTAGATTGTCGCAAACACGTTCTGATAGAGCAAAATAGGGGGACGAGCGGGTTGTCGGCTCTGGAGGCGGGAGGGCCACGTTTCAGCGCTGTTTCCTGGTAGATCCGCCAAAAGAAACCCCGAAACCTGGAGTGCTGCAGGCTTCGAAAGCCCAGGAAACACAGAATGCAGCGTCCTGCATCCGCGCCACGACTTACAACACAAGTTCTTAGATACTCGTCATGGGTCGACAATTGCAGAAAATTAGACAACAATGTACGCTCAAGCGCAGCCATGGTTCGCCAGTCCACATACAAAAAGTCTGCATCTGATCCGATAATGCCGACTTGCGGCAATGCACTTCGGTCACCGCCGTCCGTGCCAACTGTGCGGCCAGACGCTCGGCCAGGAACATCACGTGTCGCATGAAAGAAATACAATGAGGTTGTTTTTGTGCAATCTCGTGTTCTATTTTTGAAAAATCATCCGATGGAATCGTTGGTGACTTTCCTGTGATTTCGTCCGTTCATCGTGGGCGCGTACCTGCACGGGGCTTAAGGGAGACATGGAAATGCCCTCACTCTCACTTTGTGAAGCAGGCTACCCGGTAGAAGAACAACAGTTGAAGAACCTCGCCCGATTCAGCTGATCTTGTGACGTTTTTTGCTGTTGGTTGAATAATTGTACGTCACGATTGGATTAATGACCTGTTTGAATTGTTATGCCGTTGATTTGGGCCATGTAGTGGTGAACTCGGTGTTGTGCGACCAGTGGCTAAGCACCCGAACATTCATCCAAGTAAGCAGCTGCTAAACAGTGAAATCACGCTCCAGCCGCTTCTTGAACCGACCTCGCAACTAGGAGCATTGCCGAATGGATGAGCTGCAGCTCCCCTCAAAGAATCGGTATGACTACCACAGTTCACGTTGCCTGCCTGTAATCTCACAAATTGCCCCGCGTCGCTCAACTGTCAGGCAGACGAGCCCCGCTTAAATCATCGACCTTGAATCTCATCGCCTCCAAACACCACAACCGCCTTGCCTGTTTTGCACCCTTACACAAGCTCCTACCCATTCATAATGGAGCAAACTAAAGCTTTGAACGCACTAGAGGTATGTACTAAAGCTTCAATGATACCAAACGCTCTCACGTTCCCCTGCATCAGAGCTAACCATTCATTGCCCCCGACCTGCAGCCGTTCATCGCCCTCTCCAAGTCGGCCACCTCGCCCCGCGCCGCCGCCGACCTCATCGAGCGGGCCACCTCTGCGCCCAACACATACATCTTCGCCGAGCTGTTGCAGTCACCGCAGCTCCAGGCCCTCGCAGCCTCACACCCGGAACAGCTCGCGCCGCACCTAGCGCTACTGCGCCTCTTCTCCTACGGCGACTACGAGACGTACGAGGCGACGCCCGGCCTGCCGGCGCTCAGTGACGCGCAACGCCTCAAGCTACGGCAGCTTAGCTTACTATCGCTCGCGGCAGCCTCGCGCCAAAGGGCAGACCTCTCGTACGCGCGGCTCCTGCAGCGGCTGCGCCTCGACACTACGCCGCAGCTCGAGACGCTCGTCACCACGGCCATTTACGCCGGGCTCATCGACGCCAAGCTCGACCCGGCCCGCCAGCGCGTGCACGTCGTCCGCGTGGCGCCCCTGCGAGATCTGAGCCCCGACGACGACACGCCGCGCATGCGCGCTGCGCTCCAGGGCTGGTCGGACCGCTGCGCGGCGATTCTCACGGATGTAGAGACGCACATGGAGCGGGTGAGGCAGGGCGCGGCTGAGAGAGCTAGGGCAGAGAGCGAGGCCAAAGAAAAAATGGCGGAAAAGATGGCCAAGGCCATGACGGAGCTACGGGATGCGGACAAGTTCGGTGGAGGAGGCATTATGCGCGAGCAGCTGGCGCGCAGAGGTATGAGTAAGAGAGCGGTGTTGGATGCGGTGGCAAAGTCCAAGGCGGATGAGGCTATGGATCTGGATGGGTTGTCTCCTAGCGAGGAGAGCAAGAAGAGGGCGGGCAAGAGAAAGATGTAGTTGGAGAAGAGAGAAGAGGGGACAACGAAAGCATTGCTTCTGAGGTGACGAGAGATGCACCATTAGAGGGAGGAAAAGCAGCATAGATGGGGCTGGGGCAAAAGCCATCAGAGCCTTTTTTTTTTCCACGTTAACGAGCTTGCACCCTACGGTGCTGTAATGATATACACAATCAAAATACCAACGCATCACATTCTTCACACATTTCAGGGCTGGTTATTCCCAATATTTGTGCATTTGGATGGATCTTTAACAAGATCAAAAGACTGAAGCTATGATGACTCATGGGCTTCTTACTGTTATACATTGATCTTGTAGATGAAGAGGTAAACTAGTATATATATCCGACTTCCAAGGCTATCAAAAGAGGCAAGATTGTAATGATATGCAAAGACAATTGACAATGTAAAACATCAGCCGCAATATAATAAAAAAACAGTCGAGCTTCTTGACTGGCACAAAAAAATAAATTAACGTACAGCACCCGGACTTTGCTGGTCGTCACCGGCCCAGCTACTATTCGGGCGCTCGAGTGGTTATCGCTCGGAGATCAGACGGGATCCAGATCTTGTCACTCGGCTATGGCCGTACATGCTGAGCCGTTCCCTTATTATAAAATATCAAGGAAGTAAGTCGAGTCCAAGTCTCCATCGTTTGTCGTATTGATATCAAAGTCGCCTTGTCTAGGACTAACAGCGTGTCCACATCCTCTCAGCCCCCTTTCATGACGGTCGTTAAAAGAATAAAGGAAAAGAAAACATTGTGAAAGTGACACCGGGCATGTAAAAGGACAGTAAGAGCGCATGTGACGTTCCGTACCACTGAAGAGCTTGCGGGCATTATATTATGTACTGGTGGTTTGCAAGTTCTCTTGGTCGGGCCGTCTTTACAACCGTTTGCCGGGCACAAATATGAACAAGACGCACAGCGCTGCGGTGATGAGTGCCGTCACAAGGAGGACGATAAAGGCTCGCTTGACTAGCAGGGTGCGGACGTAGGGTTCGCGTATACGTGAGAAGTTGAATGGGGTGTATTCGCTGAAGCCGAGGAGCGCCATGACGGGGTCCAGTGAGTATTGGTAGGAGGCGAGGAAGTAGACGCCCACGGTGAATGGCAGAATGACCTAGGGGTAGAAATGTCAGCATTGAGGGGCACACTATAACGCAGTCGAGATTTTGGAACCATACCCAACATCTTGTGGCTCTGCTCTTGTTAAGAAAAATGAGCACAAAGCCAGTCCAAAAGGCGCCGAACATGGCCACGAGGCCGAGAATTAGACGCATCACCAGCGTAGGCGGGATCAGATTGCCCAGAGCCTTCATACGCAGGAAGCCAGGAAAGGCATCGCGCTCCATTGCTTGGAAGACATAGTCCTTGGCTGTGTCAAACACCTCGGGATCGTCGCGGCCGTGCTCTTCAATAGCGCTGATGACGTCTTGCGTGATGGAGCCCGGCAGGATGATTTCGCGCTCGGAGCCGGGTAAGAGAAATGTGTACAGAATCTTCTCCGCCGACGCCCGGATATCCTGGCGCGAAACGGTGTGCGCGGGCGAATTGGAGTCGGTCAGGTCGCGGGCCGGGCTGGCGGTGACGGGGCTGGGCCGGGAGCCCGTGTTCGGCGACTCGCGCTCTGACTGCTCCTCGCGCAGAAATGCCGACATTTGGGCGTCCTGATTCTTTTCCTTCTCTGTCGCGTACATGGATGGGCCCGTTGGCCGTGGCTCGAGGTCACCCAGGCTGTCGAGGATCGTCGAGGAGCGCTTCGAGGCGGCGCCGCCTGCGCGCTCCATATCGGGCGTGGCGATGAGTACGGATCGTCGAAGCTCGCGGACGTAGTGCCGGCATAGCGACATGTGCTGCGCAACATCGAGCCTAAATGAAACGGCGAGTTAGTTGTTTGCTTCTTACCGCTGCGGGCCGAGGGAGAGAGAGGTGTCGCTCCTGGGCAATTCCAGGGATCCCCAAAAGCGTACCAAAAATCCAAGTAGTCGACAGACCGCTGCTGGTCTCGCATGTAAATGTAAAATGAAAACAAGTCTACCGGCGGCAGAGTCCTTCTACTCAGCACCTCAAAGAGCGTCGGAAGTCGATTGCGGGTGAGGTCTGGCTGCATCACGGGCGAGCCGACGTTCGATCGGGCCGCCATGATGGCTGGTGAGAGAACTCGGACGAGGCGTTCACGGGAGGGAAATTGTTGAGTGATTGTTATAATTCGGGAGTGAGAAAAGGATCGTCGAGGATGGTCAAAGTTTGCAACGTTTATTGCTGCTGCTGTGGCGGGGGGAGGCTGAAAGAAAATGGCGAGCAAACGCGGGTGAGGGAAGCGTTTCACAAAGCTCGTTCGCGTCCCCTTGAATCTGCAGCTGGGGCTGCTGTTTCGACGGCGAGGCTGGTGAGGAGGCGCACGGAACTAATGTCGAGGGTGCTGCAGAAAAAGAAGGAGAGAAAGTAGAAAGACACCCAAGACAACCAATACGAGGCAGGACTGTGTTTGCACAGCTTCCCGCCGGGAGTTGCTTTAAATTGGGCTGTCACCAAGGAGAGGACTTTTGGAATGCACACGGGGCCGCAAATAACAAGGGCGACTGGCAACAAGCCACTCACAGGTCCAGCGCAGCTTTCTGGTCGTCTGGCTCGGACCCATCCGACGATACTGCGCTAAAGTTATGGGTCCAAAGGACCAAAAAAAGGTACGTATATATCCACGTGACTAGCTCCTACGAGCAGCAGCTTCCCCAGCCCTGATTGGCTCGCTACTCTCCACCCACCAGTTTTCCCAAGCATTGCCCTACGCACAAAGATTTTGCGGAATTTGCGAATCCGACCAACCCTCGAACCTCCTTCAACCGACCAGACCTTGTACAGACGAGATATAGGTACGAACGCCAAACCTACCCCAAACCCCGAAGTCTTCCTTTACCGGATACTGCACCATTTACTTTTCGAACTTGACATCACTCGACAATCGCCATTCTCGAAATTGGACTGGCCCGCGGTTCAAGCACGCTGACACTCGAAACCTACAGAAATGTCGTCCAAGAAGCCCACCGGAAAGGCCCAGCGCTCCGCCATTGCGGACGTTGTTGCCCGCGAGTACACCATCCACATGCACAAGAGAGTACGTCGTCTACGAATGCGCAACAAAACCCCCAAACGAGCCGCGACAAACGAGACATGCGGCCCGGGTACGCAGAGGAACGAAAAGGCTAACGGTTGATGTAGCTACATGGTGTCACCTTCAAGAAGCGTGCTCCCCGCGCTATTAAGGAGATCAAGGACTTTGCCGTCAAGGCCATGGTACGAGACAAATCATCCCGCCCCGCCCGCACCGCCGACCAAGTTGCGAACGCTGTTCTACATCGAAGACATGACGAGACGCACGAGACACAACTTGGCGGTGGAAGACAACTTACCATAGGGAGAACATGATTGCTGACCGATGATTCTTCACACGCACACAGGGTACCACCGATGTCCGCGTGGACCCCGCCCTGAACAAGAAGGTCTGGGAGAACGGTGTCAAGGGCGTCGCCTACAGACTGCGCGTCCGCATTTCCCGACGACGCAACGACGAGGAGGGCGCCAAGGAGAAGCTGTACAGCTACGTCCAGGCCGTCAACGTCAAGAACCCCAAGGGTCTCCACACCGTCGTGGTTGAGGAGTAAATGTTGCTCTGGAGAGGGTTCGATGTTGGAAATTTGGGGGTTGAAACAAAAAAAAAATACACACTTCAACGCTATTGAAAGGGAAAGAGGAATAAAAAAAGAACAAGACTCATTTTTTTCGGTAATCGGAAAATGGATTCTTTTTTTCGGTTGGGCATGGCATTCTGGAGTTGCAACCGGCTTTTGTAGCTTTTCACGCTGATTTAACAAAAAAAATACAGATGAATTGTCAAATCAAATCGACGGCGAGCTGGATGGTTGTTTCCCTTTGTGTGGTGTTTTGGCTCGACGTGGAAGCTGCTGCGAATGAGATTTACGTTTATAAGGAATACCATTCATTGTACAATCTGTCTTTGGCGCCTGCCCATGAGTCGCGAGTCCATGCAGTGCTCACTCAGTCCAATGTCGCCGATGACGGTGGAAGAGTACATCAAGCTTCAGTTGTGAGGTCTGAGGGGTACAATGCTCATACTGATGCAACCAAAAAGTACGTCTCAATTCGTCATATTGTCTTGCTGGTAGGCCAGGTCAACCTGTCGTATCTAATAGCTGATAAAGCATGGTCGGGGTGTTTGCTCTGCTAGGCTGCGAGGGGTATATAGAGCGCCTAGTTCATGTGTAGAGAGGCTTTCCACTCGCAGCCGCAGTAATGATGATGCTATCCAATAACCAGACGCGGAATCTCAAATAACAAAGGACCCAAAGACTCCCGAATTTTTCCCATATAAACATATGCGGCGATCGTGATACAAACACCCACCACCAACAAACCCCTCTACTCATCCTCCACGTCACGATGTCTAGCTAGAACCTTGCGCTTGAACTCGTCGGCGTCGTTGTCCCAGAGCTCGGCCGCCTCGCCGTTGAGCGGAGAGGAGCTGGATTTGTGTATTAGCTGAGTCCACTCAGATACGGATATCGAGGGCAGTGTGCTGGAGACTTACTTGTTGGGCTCGCCCAAGAGACTTTGCAGGCTGAGAAGGACCGTCTGGATGTTGTAGGCGGCGGTCCACTTGTCCTTGAGAATGTCGAGGCAGATGCGGCCGGAAAAGTCTACGTTGGGGTGGTAGATGGGCGTCACGAAAAGGACCGTAGGCGGCGCGTAGGGGTAGTTGGAGGGGAAGTCGAAGCTGAGCTTCATGGTCAAGCCGGCGTATGGCGTCGCGTCGGGACCCTCGATGGTGGCGGTCCAGGAAAGCAGGTTGCCGTCGGCTGAGGGGAAGGCGGAGATACCGGGGGCCGGTGAGGTCATGAGCTGCATCAGTTCCGTCTGCAAGCTGTCGAGTTGATGCTGGTTAGCCGACTGGCCCCAAGTACGTCTTCTGTGTTTGCTGGTGCTCGACTGCTTGAGCTGCCGAAGCAAGGGAGCTGCGCGTGTACTTACCGCTTGGTGACGCTCTGTGAATCAGGCCCCTTGCGCGAGGCAGTGAGCTTAGCAGCCTGAACGCTGTCAGGAGCAGAGTTTTGGTCATTTTCCATTGTAAAGTCCATTGTATCGGGGAGAGGCGTATTTCTGCGTGTTGTGTGTACAGTGGTCGGTTGCTGGCGAAGGGCTAGAGGCGGGTTGCAATGGAGACGATGAGGAAGCCAAGGGTTGACGGAAGTGGTCCAATGTACAGCTTCAAATATAAGGCAAGTTAAGTAGATGCCGGGCGCAAGCAGGACTGCAGACGAAAAAGATTTTGGGAGAGAAATGTCAAGATGCAATGTCTGTGGCGGCCAAGGGCGGTTTTATGTACACGGCGAGGCGGGCAAATCTGGGAACTGCAGCAGAAGAGGAAGAAGCAGACGGATGGGGTGTAAAGTCTTTTGTTTTTCCCTTTTTTTTTCTTGACTCGAGAAAGAAGAAAGAGATCTGAGCCAGGAGGCAAGACGAAACAAAATAAAGGCAAGTTTTGAGATTTAATAGGGAAGAGAAGTTGAGTGCTGGAAACGGAAGTAGAGGCGAGATGGAAAGCGAAGCGGTGGAGCGCCCAGAGGGTTTGGTTGGCTGGTGGCGCGATGATGAGCTGGTTGCACTGCGTTGCCGAAGCCTCAGTGGATGCAAGTCGACTCTTTGCCCAGCAACGGCTGGTTGGAGGGGTGAGCAAGGCGCTACAAGTTCCAGGGGTTGGACGCTGTAAGCACCAACCAAGGCCGTCCAGGCCGCCCAGGCATCCAGGGTCACAGCGGGTGGAGTCTGTACAGGCGTCGCTGCCCGCCAGCCAACGGCTTTGTTCCCCCTCGATTGTTTTGTTTTCCCAGGCGCCAGTGCACTTCTGAAAACGGCTTTACGCGGTCGGACGCGCCACCACGCGACCAGTCCAGGACAGGAAGACCGCATATCGAACAACACCAACACGACAAGACACCATAACGGGTACACCACACGATACCACTCAAAGCCGTTTTTATCACGCAAATTGATCTGCCCACAGCAACTATTTAATCTTTTTTCTCTGCCTGGTTTCATTCGAAGATCCAAGCAAACGACCCACACTCCACACTCGACATCGTTGGTCGACGTCATGGTACGTGGACTCGAGCTGCTTCACTCTGCCCCTCCTCTGTGATACAAGCCCTGTCACCAACGACACACAACATATGTTTTTTTTCTTTTTGCATAGAAATAATCAATCATTAATATTCGCCATGTAACACGCTAACAGACCATTCGCAGTCGCAACTCGACCCTCTGCCTAGCGACCTACCCTTTCGCATCATTTCCAAGACGGTAGGCCGCGGCGCATATGCCTCGTACGCTTCTTCCTCCTTCTCCCCATCCTTGCCCAACGATGCACCGTCGCCTTGACTAACATATTCTCTTCTACGACATTAGCATTAAAAAAGCCATCCCCCTCGACACCCAAACTCCCGTCTTCGCCGTCAAGCTCATCCACAAGGGCTACGCCGTCAAGCATGGCCGTGTCTCGGCCAAGCAGCTCGCCATGGAGGTCTCGCTGCACTCGCACATTGGCCAGCACCCCAACATCATCGAGTGGTTCGCGTCCGGTGAGGACCCCGTCTGGCGCTGGATCGCCATGGAGTACGCCGAGGGCGGCGACCTTTTTGACAAGATCGAGGCCGACGTGGGCGTCCGCCAGGACATTGCCCAAGTCTACTTTTGCCAGCTCGTCAGCGGCGTCAGCTTCATGCACTCCAAAGGCGTCGCCCACCGCGACCTCAAGCCCGAAAACGTCCTCCTCTCGCAGGACGGCAATCTCAAGCTCGCCGACTTTGGCATGGCCACCATGTTTGAGTACAAGGGCCAGCGCAAGCTGAGCGCCACCCTCTGCGGCAGCCCGCCCTACATTGCCCCCGAGATTCTCGCCTGCGGCCGCGTCGATAAAAAGTCGGGGCTTGGCGGCACCGGCGCCAAGTACTCGCCCGACCTCGTCGACGTCTGGTCCTGCGGCGTCGTGCTCTTTGTGCTGCTCGTGGGCAACACGCCCTGGGACGAGCCCTCGTCTAACAGCTGGGAGTTTACTGAATACGTAAAGTCGGGCGGCCACAGCACGGACGCGTTGTGGGAGCGCGTGCCGCCGGAAGCGCTGTCCCTGCTCCGGGGCATGATGTGCGTCGACAAAGACAAGCGCTTCAGCTTCGCGCAGATTCGCCAGCATCCCTGGTATACGCGGCACAACCCGCTGCTTACGGCCGACGGCCGCGTCGCCGACCCTATCAACCTCGCCACACAGATGCTCGAGAGCCTCCGCATCGACTTTACCAAGCAGCCGCGCCCCTCCCAGGGCCCGTCATCCATGCCCGAGGACATTGACATGGACACGGGTATGAACGCCGGCCGTTTTGCCGCTACACAGCCCGACGTGCCCATTGTCGACACCGATTGGGACTTTGAGCGCCCGGCTCTGCGGTCCATGGCCGCGCCCTCGGCATCGCTCCCGCCCCGCGCGGGCGTCGCCGACGACCGCCACCGCATGATGCTCGAGTCGCTCGCCGACGAGCCCTCCATGTCCCAATTCTCGCAGGCGCCTGGCCCGTCCATGACGCTGACGCAGCAGGCTCGCCGCTTCCGCGACATTTGCCCCGCCGAGTCCCTCACGAGGTTCTTCTCCCACGTGCCGCCCGCCCACCTCGTCCAGATGCTCAGCGACGCCCTGCACCAGCTCAACGTGCCCCTCGCGCCCGTCGTCCCCAATCTCCACGGCTACGCCGTTGCCGCCATCAAGGTCCGCGCCGTCGACGGCCGCAACCAGAGCCTGCACGGCGACATTCAGGTCCACCGGCAGGCCCTCCCCGACGGCAGCGAGGTTCTCGATGTCCGCTTCTCAAAGGTCAAGGGCGATCCGCTCGAATGGCGCCGCTTCTTCAAAAAGATTGTCGTGCTCTGCAAGGACGGCGTGTACGTGCCGGATGCTTAGACGGCGGTTCGGCGGGCCATGATGGCGGGCAGTACAAAGGAGAGAAGCGGAGTGGATGGTGGGAGCGACAAGATTGTATTAGACACAATATCATCATGCTGGATAGACCAAGAAGTTGTAGCATAGCGGAGGCAAAAAACAAGCATCCTTGGATTAATATAGAACAAAGCACAAAATGCATGCATCATCATGATTGCATAGGATATCAAAAAAGAAAATCATCATCGCTTTCTGTCGTCATGCCCTGGTGCCCCTTTACATTTCTTTCTTTCTTTTTTTTTCTCTTTTCATTCATGGAGTGCCGAAAGCAGTGGGTTATTAAGCTCCAGCTGTGCCGCCAGATCAAGCATCTCGCCGGGCGAGATGCCAATCATGGTGTCCGTCTGAAACAGGTCCCAGCCAGGCTCATCAGCCACAACGCTCGGCGTCAGCGGCGTGCTGAGATTATCGTCGTGCGCGTGGCCGTGCTCCGACATGTTCTGGTCCGAGCCACCGCCGCCGCCGCCGCCGCCGCCGCCGCCGGGGCCAGCATGGCTGCTACCAGCCGGTGCCGGGGGCGTAAAGGCGTTCATGAAGCGCTCGAGCTGGGCGAGCTCCATCTTGCGAATGGGCGCGACGATGCTGCCCTTTGAGATCATCTTGTCGAGGACGCTCCGCATGTTTTCCTCCCAGAGGTCGTCGGGGACGAGAAAGGGACAGATGGTGCGGACGAGATACAGCACAAACGCCGACGAGTAGGCGTCCTCGAGCTGAAAGGGCAAAAAGGCCTCGAGCAGATCCTCGTCGCCAATGACGCGCAGGATGCGCAGCACCGTCTGGGCCGAGTTGACGCACGACTGCAGCAGCGAGGCGACGGGGGTGGAGAGCATGACGGGCCCGGTGACGACCGAGTTGGTGCGCTTGATGTGCATGTGCAGCGCGCACATGACGACGGGGCGGGTGGTGAGGACGACGCAGTGGTGGTAGGAGAGCAGCAGGCGCACGGCCATGCGCGACGCCTTGCTGATGGAGCCCTGAAAGTGCGACTCGAGCAGGGCGTGGACGTCGCGCGAGATTTGCGCCAGGTCGCGCAGCACCGACTGCGTGTTGGTGACGAGCGAGCCGTCGAAGCGCTGTCCGACGCCGTAGATGGCGTTGAGGATCTGCGAGACGAGGCGCGCGAGACGCACGTGCAGCGACATGTTGCGGGCGTCGAAGCAGTCGTTGAGGTCCGACGGCGCGCGGGCCGTGATATCCTCGTCACGGATCGACGACGGAGCGCCCATCAGCGAGCCAAACTCGCGCTCCAGCTTATACACGACCCAGAAAATGAGGTTGCAGCGCTGCGAGTGCTGCGCACCCACTACTTCCACGGGCATGTGGCGATGCCAGCCCTCGATGATGCAGATGCGCATGGCGTGGCAGATGTGCTGCAGCGCTCCCACGCGCATGTCAATCGACTGCAAGTATACGGCGCCGAGCACGAGCGCTTGTACGGCCGTGATGGAATCGGTCGCGAGCCCCGACAGATCGGGCATGAGGGCCATGGCGCGTGCCGCGTACTGGTGGCCCGTAGGGCCCTCGGCGCTGCTCTGGTTGGTGATGAAGACCTTGCCGTATGCGAGGATGAGGAGGTACTGCGCGTACCAGTGCCGCGACGACGCCGCCTTGGCCGACTGGTCCTCGTACAGCTCGTACAGGTTGCGCAGCCAGTCCTGCTCGTCGATGAGGTAGAATATGGAGCCCAGGTAAAACTTGGCCACGTTGAAGAGGAGCAGCGCGTAGTCGAGCGGCGGCAGGTTGGACACGTCGGGCGTCTCCTCCCACGGCACGGGGTTCCATACGAGCTTGTGTCCACCGTCAAAGTGGCCGGGGTCTGCGACGTAGCCTTGGTCGGGGAGGTGCTGGCCGAGCAGCGTCAAGACGCGACGGCAAAAGGACCACGAAGAGGAAGGCCCCATGTACCCTGCAAGCAAAGAGTTAGTTTGTGTAACAGTAACAGACGCGGGGAAATGCGGGGAAGCACTTACAGAATCTGCCCTTCATTTTGGTGAATGTGTAGTCGTTATCTGCGAGGGGATTCTGCATAAACGAAGGCTCGATGCTGTTGTTGTCATCTACACTGCTGCCGCCATGGCTGCTATGATATGACAGACGCCCGGTATCGGGAGCTAGGGAGGGTGTTGGTCCTGGTGTAGCATTTGCTGTTAGAGGATGGATGACTGAAGACGATCCCGCGAACGGGGACCTCGGACACCAACCATTGCTGTCTTGGCCTTGATTGCGGTGATCATTCTGGTGGGCTACATCGCGCGGATGCAAGCCAAAGGCGGCCCGGGACGACGCGGCGCTCGGGCTCGGCTGTGTGAGGAGGGCATCGACATCCAACCGGCGCGGTGCGGCGACGGGATCCAGCATGTGCTCGTCCTGCGTCTTGCGGCCTTCCAGCTCACGGAGATATCTTGATGGCACCACTAGTGTCAGTACTCGAGGATCTAATATTCCTAGGTTATACCCCCCGGCGGCGGAGTCTGTGATGAGGCCGTCTATTGCCGCCGTCTGCATCTTGTGCGTGTTGGTTTTGGGTCTATTCCTTACCTCTCGGAAATAGATATCCGTTTGGACTCGGCCACAAAGTAGCACCTCTCATTTTGTCTCGCGCAGCGGGAACAGGGCTGTTCCCCGCTGCACTTTACTTTCATAGCCCTGCATCGTTCACATCTAAAAAAAAAAATCCTGGTCAGCCGAGCTCAAGTTCGGAACCCCGCGAGGCGGAGGGGGGAAGGAGAGGCGGCGGCAGAAAAATTGCCGTCGGAAGTGTCACCCACGCTTTTGAAACCTTTGGCACTGTCCTCTTGGTCACCCTGGAAGGTGACGGACGACCATCCATATTGTCGGCGGTGTTGTGAACCAGAAGCCTAAGAAAGTCGATACTTTCGGACAGCGTCTTCCGGGGTGATTGCACACCATTTGCGCATGGAAAAAAAAAAACAAGGTGTTATTACGTAGGAGCGACAGTGAGCCAGTACCAAGCAAGCAAAAGCAAGGTCTTGGGGAAATCCCCACTTGGGCCGTTCTCAGACAAGCTTTTGGTTGGTTGACTAAGATCTGACTGGGCTTGTTCTTATGCATGAATGGTCAATTCGATCGTTGTCGCATCTTTGTGAGACAGAATGTCATGTTATGGCACTTCCATTGGATACTGGGCACGACAGGCAAGGATAGAGTGGTTGTTCTGGAAAGTGAGACGCCCGTTGTAACCCATCAATGATGATAAGTAAGCATACTTGGCGTAGAACTAGTTAGTTATTGGACGGGCAATTCAATTCGTGCTTCCCCGTGCCACCCATTATTTTATTGTGGGGAAGTCCGGCGTCGGACACCGTCTCGGCTGGCCTGTCCGACGTCCTACAACTCGCACACCAAAACATGACACTCTTATGAGTAATGCGATCGGCTACAAAAGGGACAGCGTTGGCACAAATCACAATCACTAGAAGGATCAAGGGGGTCACTTTTTTTTCTTTTATAGCCAAGACAGGGGTCGCGATAAAACAATGCCATTGGGTCCAACGTCGTCGGCACGCTGTTTGGCTTCCCTATCCAGGTTCGTTGCACCACTTGTTGACATCATACAATTGCCACACGCATGATCCGGGAGCTCCAGACTTACACGAGAATATTTTCCCACAATGTAGACCCCTGACACTAACAGTATGTCGAACTGCCGCGTTTTCGGCCATAAGAAGGAGTAGCTCCGCGGCCGCTTTGGCCGCCGACCAGGTAAAGCAGCAGGCCGAGGCCACCTACAAGATCGTGGACCGCGCTGCAGATTTTGCAGAGAAGCAGGCCCGCCGGCCAGACTTTGACCACTCAGGCACGCCCATAGAAGTGACAAAGCAGCCTAATCCCAACTGGCAATACGGCGACGGCGCGCGAGACTACGACGCATCATGGAAGCACCGCGAGGTTGATCCCTACGCCCCCAATCGGCCCATGATCAGCAACTACAAGCTTCTCGTGTCCGGCATCGCCCCGCGACCCATTGGCTTCATCAGCACCGTCTCGGCCGACGGTCGCACCAAGAACCTGGCGCCGTTTAGCTACTTTCAAGTCGTCGATCACGATCCGCCCACCTTTGTCGTGGGCTTCTCCTCGCGGCCCGGCCGCGAAAAGGACACGTACCGCAACCTCCAGGACACGGGCGAGTGTGTCATCAACACCGTGTCCGAGAGCATGATGGAGGCGGTCAACGCCACGTCGCTGGACCCCCCGCATGGTGTCTCGGAGTGGGCCATTTCCGGTTTGCACGAGGCTCCCGCGACGACGGTGCGCCCCGGCCGCGTCCACGAGTCGGTCTTCTCCATCGAGGGCAAGGTCGTCGACGCCAAGGAGCTCGGCCGCGGCAAGCCGGGCATGAGCGCCGCGGGCGTGGTGCTCATCCAGGCCACGCGCTTCTGGGTGCGCGAGGACGCCACCAACGACGAGGTCAGCCACATTGCGCTCGACAAGCTGCGACCGGTCGCCCAGCTGGGCGGCATGTCATACGGACGCATCACCTCGACGTTTGAGCTGCCCAGGAAGCGGTGGGCTGACGAAAAGACAAGCTCTGCGTTGTTGTCTAGCCTCGAGTCAGATGCGAGTGAAACCTGAAGCCTGAAAGGGAATGATGGACATTTCCCCTCACGTGTATTATTGTACAACATAGACTTGCATAGATAGATAGACCTTGCATACTAGAAACATAGACATCATTATGATGACAGCAAATGTACATTTTGTAATTATCTTGTGACCAGCTAGTTGGAAGCAGTCTCAGCACAAGTCGGACGGCTGCTAGAAGCTTTTGGATATTACAAGAGAAACAAGTGTGTGTAGATGTGTTGTTCATGTCATTCCATCTATCTTTCTATGGAATTAAGATGATGTAGTAAGAACTAGTCAAAACTAGTAAAAGCAGTGAAACCAGCCCAATGCTCGCTCAGAAATCATAATTAGTATATGCAGTTTCTTCCCTTTGTTAAGAGGGCCGTGAGAGAAATCAAGTGCAAAGGTCGCTTAGTTGAAGGAAAGTCTGTGCCACAACTCCTTTCGGAGAGCGGCAGCCATGTGCTTGGTACGCTCGACTGCGCCGCGGTTCTCAATGGCGCGGCGGTGGAGGTAGCCCATGCACTCGCCAACAGAACCCCAGGTGAGGCACTTGTAGGGCTTGGGCGCCATGATGTTGGCGGCGGCCTGGTCGGCGAGCGTGTTCTCATAGTTCATGATGAGCTCGCAGCCGAGCTCGTCGGCCATGCCAGCGACCTGGGCGCACTCGAGCTTGCAGGTGGGCAAGCCGTTGCTGATGCGGGCGCGGTGCGTGGCGGTGGCCAGCGCGGCGCTCTCGGCGTTGTGCGTGGCCAGCATGAGGCTGGCCTTGGGAAAAGCAGCGGCGTCGCCCGCCGACGCGGGCAGGCGTTGGCTGATGAGCTTGTCGGCAATGTCATTATACGAGGCGTCCGTGTCCGCCTTTGTGTCGTGGATGAGGGAGCGCTCCTCGTGCTCAATGTAGGCGCCGCGGACGAGCTTGACGCCGAGCTTCCAGCCCTCGGCCGCCGCCGCCGCGATATGGCGGTCCGCGACGGCGCGCGCACCCTTGAGGTACGCCTGGATGGTGTTGTAGACGAGGGCCTGCCCGTCGCTGTTCCAGCGGCGCATCAGCTCCAGTGCCCAGTCGTCGATGCCGTGCTGCACCGACTGCTGCTCGGCGTCGAACCAGAGGCGCGCGCCGCGCTGCTTGGCCTCGACGCAGAGCGCCGTCAGCGCGTCGTCAACGACCTGGGGCATGGGTGCGCGGGCCTGCAGCGCATCCATAGCGATGGGCCCCGCGCCTGTCATCTTCATGGCGAGCACGTCGCCGGGCTGCAGCATGCGGAGCGAGGCGAGCGAGGCGTCACGCCACGAGGCGACCAGGTCGCGATGCGCCTGAGTGTACTGGCCCGGGTTGGCGGCGGCGGCGGCGCGCTCCTCCTCGGACAGCACAATCTCCTTGGCAAAGGTCAGGATGACGCCCTGATAGCCGAGCGTCTTGAAGCTTTGAATGGATTTGGCGACCTCGGCCTCATTGGTGCCGGCGCAGAACTGGTCGTAGACGACGTGGCGGACCAGCGTGTTAAGGAGCGGGTTGGTCTCGGGGTTGAAGAGAGGAATCTTGGGATGCGTGATGAGACCCATGGCGGCGATAGAGGGCTTGAGGAGAGTGGGCGAGCACATCATGGTGGTGAGGGCGGCGGAACGGAGCAGTGTAAGCCATGGTAGGCGGGAGAGTGCTGTGCGTGTGGGAGCTGGGATTGAAGGGCCAGAGGGGACTGTCGGCCCAGCTGCAGTAGTGCCTGTAAGGTACCGCACACTATCGTGCCATCTTACACCGGAATATCTGTAGAGAGGCTTGGTGGCCTGCTTGCGTAGGGTGGTGGTGACGGGGGCGAGTGCCGACATGGTGGCGATTGGTATAAGACGAGATGGCCCAGCTTCTCAATCTAATTGCTGGGCACTGACTATTGTTGCTTGTAGTTAAGTATTCAACACAATAAAAACAATAGTGTACCGATGGGAAATAACAACAAACTGGCCACATGAGAAGGAGGGGGAGGCGCTTTCAAATAGCCCATCTGGAAACTCTGTTTGGTCTGCGCCTGGTATCGGGACTGGTTCCATGTTCGTGAGATGGGTGTCGGAAGCGCTGTCCGGGCCCGATATCGCCTGGATTGGCACGCAGGCTTGTTCCCACACGCCCCCCCTCCCCCCCCTTGGTGGTTGGCTACCCGCAGCGTCGTCTACCTAATCTGGTATTCCAACAGCATTTATCTTGCAGTGTGCTTGCAAGTCAGACAAGGAAAAAGAGTGGAGTGATAGGGTAATAGGTTTCAAGACAAGAAAAAGACAAGTTGATGCTCGCGCGGGTCAGCCAGCTATCTGTCGCCAGTGACGGGCGACCAATGGCGTTCCCCCGCACCGTCTGTTGTGCACGGGCGCGCGAACCTCTATCAGTCGACTTTATCATCAGTCTCGGTTCCTGGCTGTTCCTATCGGTCTTCTATCTTGAAATCCGGGGCAAACGCTTTATCTCCAGCCTGATAAGGTGTCGAATTGTCAGATTACACCCCCCGAGATGATAACGGGACCTTGCACTTGCTCGCACGCGCGCGTGCGTCAGCTGCCAATGCTGAGACGTTATCGCCGGTTTTTGAAAGACAACTCGTAGTAGATATGGGTGTGGCAATGCTAATCACTGGCTAGCAAACCTGTTTCCCAGTCGGTACCCAAGGCCAAGCTTTTCGTCAGGGTCCAGCCAGTGCCAGTCTTACCCAATCCCCCGGCCGGTCGGCCAGCTTCGGCAAGGCAAGACTAGCGCATGCTTGGCTTCAGTCATGACATAGAACTGCAGGATTGGTCGAATGGATGCATCGAGGCAGCCAAGCAGCCAAGCAGCCAATGCAGCGTAACCTCATACCCACTCATCCGCGCTATCCGGCCGCCATGCACTCCGCAGATGGCGACGGCTGGGGCTTCCGACCATCGTGGCCAAGTCGCCGACATCTTAAGGGAGGGTGTGCGTTGTTGCGCGTCCGCGTTGGTTCCGAAAACTTCAAGCACGACACAAATACGTCAGTTGCCCAACACTGTCTCGCGGGGAGCATCATTGATTCGTTCGCCTCTCTATTCGCTGCAGCGGGCCGCGCCAGATTTCTGGGGCATACTTGTATGGTCCGGCGCTGCCTTGGACTGACGGACTGACTTCCGGGCCTTTGCTCCGGATAATTCATGTCTGGTGACAGGATTTACGCCACAATGATGCGGAGCATCGCGACAACGGCCCTTACAGCCCGGGGAACTTACATAACAATCGGAGAAACTGAGCACGAGGACGTACTATGACCGCTGGCGTATTTATGACGGCTAGCTAAATCATTGACACATCCTGACACCTCCAGCCTGTTGACGCCGCGGGCGACTAGGTTCTTGTTGTTGGCAAGGGCAATAGGGTAGCATGGAGCGTGTGGAAGGAGCCAACGTCAAGCGACCTCGGTCTTTTGTCAAGATCGAGCCATGGAATGCAACGAGGAAGTTGCCTTGCGGTGCCAATATATTCATAGATTTCACCATCGACAAGTGCAATTTGGCCCGTTACCAAGCACACAGCCACGAGCCGTCTTCAAGCTCACATCTGATCCTTCTCTTGAACAAAGGGACGGGGGTTTTTTTTTTCGGGGTTTCGAATAGTTCGACGCCTCTAGTTACAGCGCGCATCGCAATCACGGCTTTTAATGTCGCTGCCACAGAGTTCTCGAGCGGATTTGTAATCCTCAGCCTGTGGCGGTTGACCCCGGCCAGATGGCACGGCTCTTTATATTTGCGTGTGACCCTCCGGGCTACGGTCAGGAGCAAAGGCTCCAATGGTGATTTCTGTGGACATTTGCCATTTGCTAAAATGCGGGCGAGACAAGTGCACCGCAAAACTGGTAGCGGGCGCCAGCGCCACACACAAACGTTGCAGGGTGTGTGCGTCGCGAGAAACAGCCAGGTACACGGAAAAGATTTACATATTCGGCAATGAGGCTTTGTTTGAAAATCTTCTTACCGCATGGAAGAAACGTTGGGGGCCTCAGCTGTCCAAGGAGCACCCTCTGCGGCATCCCGTCCGACAGACTCGTATCACAGTCCATGGAGCGCTTGCCATGTGGCTTTATGCAGGCACCGGCAGATGCAATGCACAACGTCCCAGAACCCTGCTTCTGCTTCTGCTTCTGGTAGTTCTCCGACGACTGAGCAGTGCGCCGCGCGAACGTTGCAATGACGGAGCGCAAGTTTCCGGCCGCGTAACTTTCCAAGTGCCCTTTGATCATTTAGAGCCTGTCTCTCAACCCCCTTGCCAGACGAGGAGACGAGGCCAATTCTGGATCTTTTTTTCGAGTCAAGCTTTTTGACTCAGGGGTGGGTTGGGTGAGCCGATTTGCCAACTGTGTCAACCGAGACATCCAGGGCAAATAGTTGTCTGTTATCTCTTAAAAACTGAACTAGAAGCTCACAGCTGATGGACTAGTGGCTAATCTTTTGGCCCAAGCTTTTACTATTCCGTCCGTATGTCGGAAGCCAAATTGGGTCAATTAGCACAAGCCTCACTTGCCTAGCACGTCTAGGTCCTTCTAGTATCTACGGATATACTCCCACACTCCGTACAATGGGGGCAAATAGACTCGAAAGTTTGATACCGAAATCCGCTAATTGAGACGCCAAATCCATGCCCCGTCTCAGCTGAAAGGCTGATAGATCAGGCCTTTCTCACTGGGCCGCAGATCGCCAAAGGCCTAACGATAGAGAAAAACAGCCCCCTTGCAAGATTGAACGAAGATGGGAAACTAGATCCGATTTTGAAGCCCGATTATGAGTGTCTGAGACGGGGGCAAAGCCTCGGGGGGAGGCCGACATCTTAGTACCAAGTCGTGCCAGTAATATCCGTACAGCAGATGGACCCCGTCACGGGAAGAGCGGCTTTGCCGATTCATGTACTTCTTTGTTCCTCCTTTTCTTCTAGCGGCAAGACAATGGGGAATGGGCCCATCAACGGTTCAGCCTCGAGAGTATAACTAAACCCGACGCGGCGGGAGGAGAGGAGGGGGGTCCAACTTTGTGTGTATGCTTATTATGCCAGTTTGACAGTTTCTCACGGGGCCACAACATGTCATCCCATCTCCGCAAAGTCGTAGAGTGGCTTTTGCCGCAAGTTAGCTTAAAAAAATTCTGGCCCCTGCTCAACGCCTTCCTCGGTCCTCGCGGGCTCGCAAAAGCCAGATCAGCGAACCAATGGTATGATGACGCCCCTTGTCAAGGTCTCAGGTGAAGAGCTGGTAGGGCGCAAAAAAAAAAAAGTATTCAACTTGCGAAGGAGACGGCCGCGCCCATTCCCCCCCACTACCCGAAGGGGACTCGAGATCAGCAAAAAGGTGGTAGCGTGCCCAGTTGAAACCGTTACCTTTTCGCTCTCTCTCTTCTCGTCTGCATAACACTCTTTCTCTACTTCAATTGGCGCTGGGAACTTTGGGAAGCAAATCTAATCTTTGTATTGAAAAAGGGTCTTGAAAAAAAAAAAGGAAACGAGCAGACGACGATACAAATTTGCCCCAAACGTGCAACTCGGTACAAAACTACCTACATGGACGAAGAGGGCCTGGCCCGCCCTTGAGAACCGATCGATACTCTTTACTTTGGTGGCAACCGGCTCGCAGTCTCGACGACGGATTAATCAAAGATACAAAAAAGTCTCGAATCATCTTTTATTAGAAAGATATGTACCGCAGCCACTGGAATCACACATCGCCGGTCGAGATGCCGCACTCGCCGGTCGAGGAGAGATGGCGGTCAACGCTATCGGCTGTCTCATTGACGTTTGGCATTCTGGCATCGGCCGTTTTCGCTCTTCGCGTATACGCTTCGAGGTCCGCATCATGCAAGATGCGGGCAGAGGATGTCCTCATGGGCATCAGCGTTGTGCTCATGTGGGGGACCGTTGCATCTGTCTTGATGAGTGAGTACTCCCAGTCCTTGTCTTTTTTTTTTTTTGACGCCTGTATTCTGACCGCCGTTTCTAGAGGCATATAATGGCATTGGGCTCCCTGGATGGCAGATTCCCCCAGAACAAAAACATTTACTCAATTTGGTACGAACTTGCAACTCTGTTGGCTCAACATCTTGCCCCCCCCAAAACGCTAACTTATCGTCTTTGGATAGGGCTCGTTTCTAGTGCCCAAATTCTGGGCCAGCTCGACCGCGTGCTGCAAAGTCGCCATCATTCTCTTCCTGCGCCGCGTTGTCGGCTTCACGCGCTCCATCAACACGACTCTCGTCGTCGTGGCCGTCGTCTCCGTGCTGTGGGCGGTGGCTGCCATTCTCTTCTCGACCTTTGTGTGCATGCCCATCTCCTTCTACTGGGATAAGTCGAGCCACAACGGCCACTGCATGCCAAAAGACCACTACTTGTTGGGCAACATTGTTTTTGCCGTGATGAATATGGTGGGGGATATCACCATCCTCGTCATTCCCTTGCCGACGCTGTGGAAGTCGCAGATGCCCAACAAGCAGAAAATTGCCATAACTGGCGTTTTGAGTATCGGTCTAATGTAAGTCTATCCTGCCATCATTACTCCCAACGCGGAAACCTAATGGAGACAATAGCGTCTGCATATTCAGCTTGATGCGAGTTGTCCAATTCTTCTATTTCGACTTGGACCACATCTCCAGTAAGTATACGCGCCTTCTTCGCGGCATCGCAGCAGCAACTGACAAGGTCCTGCAGCTTCGAGCGCGTTGGAAACTCTTTGGACTACGCTCGAAAACGAATTTGCCGTCATCTGTGGTTGTGCCCCCCAGCTGGCTCCCTTGTTCCGCGGCTTGCAATCCTCACGCTCCTGCAAGACAAAGAGCTCCGGCTACGCCGGCATGTATGATACATCGGTACTAGGCAAACACGCCAAGATGAGCATCATTCATACCACAGTCAGCGGCACAGCCGCCGGTGAGGCCATACTAGGTCTTCGAACAGCGATGAGAGACGGCAGGAGCTCGTCCGAGGTGGAGCTCAAGGGTATTGAAGTGCATACAGCAATTGATCAAGAAATATCGGCAGATGGATGCCGACATCATGATCCAGGGCGTTTGTTGACGGTTGAAAGTGGAAGATATACCCGCATTTAGGCATGTTGCATTTTCTGGTGTTTGTAGCGAGCATAGCGAGCCTATTCGACAGTTGGCTTCTTTTTGTAAATGGAATTTTCAAACATTATGTGCGAATTGCTCTTGCAACGTGAGAAATGTTGATGCTGGTGCGTAATGTGTTGTATGCAATGTCATGAGTCATTAGTCTGGCTTGGAGGCGGTTCATTATCCTGCTCAATCCATTCGAAAGCTACATTTCCAGTGATTAGTCACGGACTGCGTCGTGCTGGCAAAGTAACTCTTACGCTGTCGACACATGGGACACTGTCCTCGTGAAGTTTCTTGCTTGATCCACTCCATGATGCAGTGCTGAGACATGCAGTCAGTATTGTTGAAAATAAAAAAGAGCCAGAAAATATCGACGAGTACTCACCATGTGAAAGTTGTGCCCGCATTTGCCGGATACTGTGCGCTTGTTAGCATTGCTGGCGGTACCTCGCAGGTAAGAGGTTGGTTGTACGTAGTGCGCAGTCGTCGCCCGGATATCTGCACGAGGGACACGTCCCGTCGAAATGAACCTGGCAAATACCGCAGACGTCGTCCTCGGGAATATCCCACCGCCAAGTAGCGACGGCATTCCACTCCTTGATGGTGACCTTCATCGCAGCGTGTGTTGTTGCTGTGGAGAGGAGGCTACAATCGGCGCATGGCACAGTTTGCGTGCAGACCGTATGAGGTAATGACTGTATAACGCGGAAAATATGCGCAAGATGAAGTGTATGAGGTTGTCAGCAGCTGGTGGGATCTCTGGCCATCTGCGGCAAGCCAACAGAGGAAGACGCGGTTTGGGCGTGTCTTGGTGATGTTTGATTCGTAAGTGGTGATGATTGGATGGGACGGCTCCAGAAAAAGGAGTGGGTTAAAGGTGGCGAGATTGGTGGAATTCGGCGCTAGCAACCACTGTAAGCACCTCGAAACGCCCTTGTTTTGGTGGGTTCTAGCACTGTTGCAACGGCTTTTTGAACCTCTTCAGCGCCTTTGCAGCCTCTGACAGCTCTGACCGACAACGGACTCGACACAGGTAGGGCGCTTTCAGAAGCTTGCCAAGCTTGTGCTGTCAGCGGATGGCCCAAGCTCCCCGCATCGCAGAAATACGTGACGCCAACCCCCGCTGTCCGGACCCCGTCATAAATTATTCCCGTTGCAATTTCAAACTGCCAATTGCTTCTCGTATTCATTGCAATCCGTGACATAACGTCGGTGATATTTTGCAGACGTTACTGTGACTTTTCTTCCGCAGGCTGGTGCTCCGCTCAACAGCCTTCAGCCTCGCCGTGATCCGGGCCAGTTCGCTTGCTCACCAAGCTCTCCATCTCTGCTCTCGCTTGTCCAGCCATTTGGACTCGTAGGCAGCCTCGCAGTCTGGCCATGTCCTTTGTAGCCGTGGGACGGGCTGTGCGAGCCGGCCTGCCCAGGGTCCTTGCCCCCGGCATGGCCGCCGGCCGCCGCGGCTTCTCCTCCTACCTCGTCACCCCCAAGGAGCTCAACGAGGCGCTCCAAAAGAACCCGCCCTCGTCCATCAACACAGACGCGCGCGTCATCCCCCTCTGCGCGTCGTGGTTTCTCCCCAATGATGAGCGCACCGGCATCCAGGTGTTCCGCGAGCAGCGCATACCAAAGGCGCGCTTCTTTGACCTCGACAAGGTCATTGACAAGCGCAGCCCGTACCCGCACATGTTGCCCACCGCCAAGGGCTTCGCCGGCGCCATGAGCGAGCTCGGCATCCGCAAGGAGGACGTCGTTGTTGTCTACGACTCCAAGGAGCTCGGCATCTTCTCGGCACCCCGCGTCGGCTGGACCCTCAAGATTTTCGGCCATGAAAACGTGCACATACTCAATAACTTCAAGCTGTGGGTGCAAGAGGGCTATCCCACAGAGTCGGGGGAGCTGTACAGCGTGGAATGCTGCACGTACCCGATCCCTGAGCTGGACGAAAGCAAGGTCGCCAGCTTTGAGCATGTCAAGGAGGTCGCGGAAGACTACAACAAGGAGGGCTCAGAAGGCGTCCAGATCCTGGATGCGCGACCCAATGGACGCTTCACTGGCCAGGCTCCCGAGCCGCGCGAAGGACTATCCTCGGGCCATATGCCTGGATCCATCAGCCTGCCTTTCAGCGATCTGCTCGATCCGACCACCAAGGCATACCCTTCGCCGGAGAAACTAAAGAGCATTCTGTCAAGCAAGGGGGTTGACCCCAGCAAGCCCATCATTTCCAGCTGCGGAACTGGCGTGACGGCCTGCGTTATTGAGACTGCGCTCGAGGTTGCCAATTACGGGAACCCAGAGTCGCGAAAGGTGTATGATGGCAGCTGGACGTAAGTCATTGGAAATGCACCTGGATGGAAACATTGACTAACAGCACTCTAGGGAATGGGCACAGCGTGTGCAACCCAGCGATAATCTTATTCTCAAGTCTGAGTAGCGTCGAATAGCTTGAGCTGTATAATACGAGGAACAGCTGGGATACCCTTTGGAACACATTTATTGCACGCAAGTTTTTTTTCTTTTTGTATGATTATCTATTGATCTACTACACTCTCCACCAATTGATACGAGTCGCAACGAATCGCTTTGCGTCCGCGTTGAACTTTCAAGTACGAGATGCTGCAACATGCAAACAACTGTCCGCAGTGTGAAGTAAAGACAACTGAATGAAGATGTTGAAACTTAGTTCTACATCATACATCCATTATGGCGGCATGTGATGAAAGAATCCGGCAGTCAGTGACGTTGACAACTGGTGACCCATTTTGGTTTAGCGCCGATTGAATGCCCCCAAAGTTCATGCCTGGCATTCAAGGCATGATAAGTAGCAAATCAGGCACAAAGAGCGAGTAGTCCAGGTACCCACACAAACACGTTAGGGCTCGCTAACCTTGACCGCACTTCCAGCCAAAAATTTGGCAAACCCATCACAGTGTGCACCAGGGACCCCGCCGAGCGAAGCGAAAAAGTCTCCATCACGACTTCGTCCGCGCAATTTGTGAACCTGCGCAACAACACCAACACACACCCAGGCCCCTCCTCCCCCCCCTAACGACAACCTCATATCATACAACATGGCTGACCGTGGACGCGGTGGTGGTTTCGGAGGCCGTGGCGGCGACCGTCGCGGTCGTGGTCGTGGCCGTGGTCGCCGCGGCGGCAAGGGCGAGGAGAAGGAGTGGCAGCCCGTCACCAAGCTCGGCCGTCTCGTCAAGGCTGGCAAGATCAACAGCATGGAGGAGATTTACCTGCACTCCCTGCCCATCAAGGAGTTCCAGATTGTCGACCACTTCCTCAAGGACTCCCTCAAGGACGAGGTCATGAAGGTGCGCACGACTCCTGTTCGAAAAGCTACGAAAATACGGAAGCTACTCGCTGCGGACGACGCAATGCCTTCAATGGCAGAGTAGAATGCAGCGGGGGCCTTGGTTTATCAGCTGAACGACTACAAACATGGGAAACTTTGCAAAAAGAAATGCTAATGGATATTCCCACGTACAGATCAAGCCCGTCCAGAAGCAGACCCGTGCCGGTCAGCGCACCCGTTTCAAGGCCGTCGTCATCATCGGTGACTCGCAGGGCCACGTCGGCCTCGGCATCAAGACCTCCAAGGAGGTCGCCACGGCCATTCGCTCCGCCATCATCATCGCCAAGCTCTCCGTCATCCCCGTCCGCCGCGGCTACTGGGGCAACAACCTCGGTCAGCCTCACTCCCTTCCCTGCAAGGAGTCTGGCAAGTGCGGCTCCGTCACCGTCCGCCTCATCCCCGCCCCCCGCGGTACCGGCCTCGTCGCCTCGCCCGCCGTGAAGCGCTTCCTGCAGCTCGCCGGTGTCGAGGACGCCTACACGTCGTCGGCCGGCTCCACCAAGACGCTCGAGAACACCCTCAAGGCCTGCTTCGTCGCCGTCTCCAACACCTACGGCTTCCTCACTCCCAACCTGTGGAAGGAGACCAAGCTGCTGCGCAGCCCTCTCGAGGAGTTTTCCGACTCTCTCAAGGAGGCCAAGCGCGTTTGAGCGCGGCTCTTTTTTAACGAAGGTTCATGTGGACTCCATCACGGGGTGACGTCGTGATGTGAGGGGATACATTTTATGAAGGAAGGAAGACTGCGGGAGTCCAAACGATTCATGTTTTGTGTGTTTCATTTGCATGATGATTGGTCATATTATAGGGCAAAAATAAATGTCAGAATCTTGGGCGCCCATGGCTACCTTCTGAATTACAAAAAAATTATACAACCTTGTTCAACTGCATATGACATGCCCGCATCTCATCCTTTGCTTTGCAGCATGTTCCATGCTTCACTCACACATCTAGTCTCCATGCCGATGTCCAACCAGTCAGTAAAGCACCGTGGCTTCGGCGCCGACACTGCTCTCCCGCGACACCAGCAGCGGCCACGCATTTACGTCAAAGGAGCGCACCGCAGCCGCCCTTCGCGACGAGTGCGTCCATGACCACACCGCCTCACCTCCAGCGTGCCAACCCGGTATTGTGGTCGCAGTATCTGTTTTATATGGCTTTTCCTTCAAGAGCTATCCCGGAGCGGCTGTGCGAGACTTCAAAGCGGGTAAACAGGAGCCCTCTTACTTGTGTTGCTTTCGCTGGCAATGACTTCAGTATTGATCGCGATATTATGGCTGAGGACTTGGGCTCTATAGGGCTGTTGAGGGTCTCCATGGCTGCTGTTGGTGATGGAGATTTTGTCACTGAGTTCCTGCAATGGGACAGTATGTTCACGGAGCATATTTCTCCATGTACCGAAATATTCCTCTCCAGAGTTCAGCTTCATCTCTATTGCTAATGCTAAACTCCACTGGAAGTTCTTTCATGCCGTATAAGAAGAACTCAGATGGCCTGGCGCTCTTCTTAAGAGGCAAAGCTGGTAGAGCACTTGGCCACTTGGCTGGCCTGATAATGGCCCAGCAGGGCCTACTCAGCACATATCCGACTTGCAGGAAAGCTGGAAATACAAGTCGGATCATGTAAAGACAGACCATCCATGATAGCCTTCAGATCGCAAATAGTTTTTTCGCCACCCTAATTGTCAAGCCAGTGCGGATGAGAGCTGCCCTAGACCCATCTATGCTGGCTACTGATCTTGCTGATTATACTCCTACAAAAAGGGTTTACTCTTTCGTGAGATGCACCATATATCAGGGCGATGTGTCGCCAAGAGCAAGGAGCTAGGCATCTCAATGACCGAGCTCTCACTGTAGCAATTGCAGACTATTTGTTGATGGCCGGCTTGGAAAGGCTGCCTCGGACACGTTTGAGTACCGGACAAGCGTCGAGATGAGATCAGTCAAGGGTGGCACGTGTTTTGGAGCAGGTCAATATTCTTGAGGGAATGCTAGCGTAGAGGGGTTCAATACCTAAGCATGTATCTTGATTGAAAGCCAACGTCGAAGATGCCCTGGCAAGCAGACAGCTACGGCTAACTTTACTACATGCAGTTCAGCATTCGCACATCACAATGGACGCCACAAGCTCGGCAATGTAATGGCACAGTCTTGTCACGAATCGCTGCGAAGCGTGGCGGGTTGACACTTGTTTACTCTGCAAAGGACATGTCGCCAGCATATCTAACCATTATCTGTTCACGCTCAATGAGTAGAGCTTGCAGCCTCATCACATCGAAGCACTCACTGCGTAAACAGGGCTTGCAGCCTCATCGAGGCAAGCTGGTTGTGCATCATGCAGCCCAAGAACCTTGTGTCAACCCAATCGGACATTATGTGCTTTACGCATACGTTGTGTGACTTGAAAGCTGGTCATGCGACACTTTTTTCTTTTTTTTTTTTTTTTTTCACTCGAGGCGTATTTCGGGTCGCGGTGCGACAGCGGGGTTCGCTTCCTGCCACGGCTATCAGTATGGAAACGCTATTTAGAAGGCGCACTATTTGAGGTTATTTGACCCGTTGTAGGCATCACCGAATGTGCATCAAGTGGAGGTGTAGTGGGCAGGGCCATGTCGCCGACAGTAATCTGTAGTGGAGCAAGATGCCGAGTTTTCCTAGCAAGGCTGCGAAGAAAGGAAGATGCAGATGGGACTAGTTATGGATATGGTTGTAATTATTGCCCAGTCTTGTTTTGTGAAAATTTCGAATCGCCTGGTCCCCGGTTCATGATGACTACTGTCGTCAGAGTGATTGCAGTTGGCTCAGGGATGGATGGTCAAGACTTGTCAAGCAGGTAAATGCTCATGTAGGCATTGAGACTTCCGTCTCGTTCACTTGCCACATGAATGACTTCGTATGGGCGGTCAGCCATGCAACAATAAAGTATGGCGCAGAGCAGCAGAGGTAATATCAAGTCAGCTTCTGCATGAGCCTGGGTCTTGCACCCCCGCAGTTGATGCCAACGCTGCAGGACGGCCCTTTTTGCGAGCAGCTGGGATGGCGTCGCAGCTGAAAGTAAGCTGCATCATCTCGTCCAACAGAAGGGGCAAGGGTAATAAAGCCTATTGATTGCCGGGGCAGTGTGAAGGGTCGGCTTCCTCCGGATTCGAGAGAGCTGCGGCAAGCAATGCAAGTCACTAAGGAACTGCCATGACCTTGATCATGTCTCAGAGAGCAAGCAGTTCATGTCATTGGGAATGGTGTCGAGTATAAAATGACTTACATGGCTTGTCCGAAAAGGGCTGTGCTCCGGCACTGCAAGCCCGTGACAATACATATCCGGCCCCGGTCTAGAAGTGAGAGTGGCGTACGCTGCTTGAGTGAAAGTGGACAATTGACGAGAGCATTCATGTCGGATGATGGCGGCTATATTCCCGGGTCTCGCTCAGTGCAGATTTCGACGACAAGAGCAAGGTTAATTTTTTCTTCTTTTCACTTCAGCGCTGGCTGGATCGGAGATATTAGTCTGGTTATAGCTGCTAGGATATAAAACGCGGCCAATCTGCCCGAGTTGTGTGGGCGGCGGGGAGTGGAGGGTATGTATGCTACGGAGCGACCCTTTGTCATGTTCGAGAATCAGGCCACTTCCTGGCGTCAGATAGCTCGAGGGAAAGGCAGGAGGCAGCAACTGGCTGGTTGGTATACAGTGGGTTGTACATAGATTGTAGTCGCTAGTTAGATGGAGCGTTTTTCTTTAGCTAAATGGAAGCGAGAGCGAGTCATGGTATGGAATTTGCAGTAAAATTACTGTGTCGAGGAGATGTGTGCCGACCAGGCTAGGCTTCAACGAAACTGGTATTGTAAAGGGTGAGAAACGACGAACAAACGAAGGGTTGACTCGCGTAAATGCACAACCCCTGCTTGTGCTTGGCCAGGAGCGAACCGCTGTTCATGCAGCAGCTTTGTGGATGAGTAGTGGTGAGGAGGGGCGAATTAGCAGCTGCCAGTATATTTGCAGGTCCCTGTTATTTACTCGTTTCACAGTGGAGAGGTCATTGTGACTCAGAGGCGAAGCTTGATTCTGGCTTCTGTAAATTGACTGGAATACGCGTGGTAATGGAAGCATTGACCCAAGAAGAGTCCAAGGATATCGAGAGGCATCATGCGCGTTGTTGACAATGCATAGGTATGAGCAAGTTTCGGCACCCCGCATGCTAGTTGGAGAGAGGTTGTGTTGGTTGATGCGACCTTGTCCGCTCTCATCGGCCCACTGGGGCTGGGGCCCCGGGCAGGCAGCTTGGCGACTGGGCGGCGGTGATCACGGTGGGCATCCGGAGGCGGATGGTATGTGAAAGGTTGAGATGGAGACATGTGAAACTTTGTTTGTGGGAGGTAAGATAAGATGCGATGTGGTCGTTCGAGTCGTACGGCTCCGTACTGGCTGTAAAGATATAACGCCAGAGGTCGTTGACTACTTGACTGTAGCGAGACTGTGGGACAGAGTAAGAGCCATGGCAGAGTCATCTTGGGCGAGGCGGTGGAAGCTAACGGTAATAAGTGTCCTTGGCTAGTTTGTACAGGGCGCTGGAAGCATCTTGCCGATCTGGAACGAAAGCTGGCCGTGGTGCACCGTGCGAGGCTCCCGTCTTTCCTATCTTTCCCTGGTTGCCTAGGCAGGCCCGAACATCCATAAAGCCTAGCATTTCTTGTTGTAATATTCTATGCAATGTCGCTACGATTCCCATTGTAATAAATAGGCACGCAGGCTTCCTGACCGATTGTCGCACAACCTATCGCGAGCCTTGCACTAACTGCCAATGCTTTGCGCAACGAGACAGGACATGTCAGTTTCATTTATTATTGAGGGATGGATGCCTCTTTATTGTTGATTGTTTTGCTGCAGGTGGTTCAATAGTCTTGGGACAATTACTTCGGCCAACATTCCAACCCGGTGTTTTATTTTGGGGCCGAGCAAGCCCACCACACCCACCTCAATCAGTGGCAGTGGGCACCTCACTCAGTGGCAGTGGGCGATGGGGGTCTGTGAGGTGGTCTGTTACAGCGAGTGAGCGAGCGGGTTCCGGGCGTGGTCCAGCGCATGTCCGCCACACTCTTCACAGTGAAGTCGAGCCTGTGTTGCTGGCTGTCTTGCGAGATCTTCTTCAACATGTTCGAAAAAGGGTCTTCTCTTTGTATTCTTATTCGAATCTTCAATGCCTTTACATATCTCACATATCTCACACATCTCAAGCCCTCTGCTTATAAATCCTTGTAATACCTGCGGCTGGCTGCGGTTGCCCCTCTCAATTGCTGTTATTTCGGTACGTATAAAGTACCTATACCTACCTACCTACCCAAGTACCTACCTACCTACCAACCTGGGTATCGCAGGGCAAAACTAGTGCGCCACCAAATAAATATACTACCCCAAAACCGTCATCTGCGCTCTCGGCCTACATTTCATCATTCGCCATCCCACCACCCCAGGCCGAGCAAACCCTTTTTTCTTCTTCGTGGCTCTATTCGTATAGCCCTCCCGCCATTGTTTGGGCCCTGTTTTTCTTCTCCTTTCCGATTGAAAGCGAGGCTTCTTCCCTTCTTCTTTCCCAAATCTATCCATTTGTATATTCCTTCCTATCCCCAACTGCTTTGCTTCCCATCGGCGCATCAGCAAACAGCCTTGCCCACCATGGCGTCCAAGTCGGCGCTCTCCAAGAGCACCCGTATCAAAATTATGATCGGTATTGATACGGCCTTCTTCCTCCTCGAACTCATCACCGGCTTCGTCGTCCATTCGCTCGCTCTTACCGCCGATGCCTTCCACATGGTTCGTACACATTGTCCAGTTTGCGCTGCCGCACCGCATGACTAACCGGCCTCATTGCTTTATAGCTCAACGACATCATCTCGCTCATTATCGGTCTATGGGCTGTTGTCGCTTCGCAAAAGGAAACTACCGATGAATTCACCTTTGGCGTACGTCTATCTCATCAATTCCACACACAACCGACCAACATTTCTAACTTCGCTCCAGTGGGTTCGCGCCGAGATTCTTGGTGCCTTCTTCAATGCCGTTTTCCTCATCGCCCTCTGCGTTTCCATTATCCTCGAAGCCCTCACCCGATTCGTTGAGCCTCCCGAGATTACTCAGCCCAAGCTCATTCTCATGGTCGGTACTGCCGGTCTCATCTCCAATTTGCTCGGTTTCGTCGTGCTCGGTGGCCACGGCCATGACCACGGTCACGGCGACGAAGAAAACGGCCACGACCACGCTCATGACCACGGCCACTCGCATAGCCACGACATTGATCAAGACCGTCGCAACTTCGCCGACGAGTCCGGCCCCGTTGAAGATGTCTACCCCGACGTCGTCGTCGGCAAAGTCGCCGCCGCCGCCCAAGCCCGCGCCTCCTCCGAGAGTCAGAACCGAGGCCGCCGCCTCTCCGCCAAGGGCCAACAGCACTCGCGCTTCACAAGCATTGATGATATGAGCATCCACCCGTCTAGCTTCCGCCAGGAGATCATTGCCGCCGCTCAGCACTCGTCTCCCGCTCCCCAGGATACTGAATCCTCCAATGAGCCTACCGCCGACGAGGCCGAGCCCACCGAGAATTCGCCTCTACTCAGAGACTCCAAGGGCAATAACGGCGCAACTGCCATCAAGCCTCATACATCCAAATCTAAGCAACGACCACGCCGAAACTCGAGCATCCACGCCGGCCACAACCACAGACAGCCTCAGAAGCCTGGCAAGACCACTGGTCATAATCATGCCGATATGGGTATGAACGCCATGATGCTCCACGTCCTCGGCGATGCCCTCGGCAATGTCGGCGTCATTGCTACTGCCCTGGTCATATGGCTCACCGACTGGCCCGGCAAGGTTTATGCCGATCCCGCCGTCTCGCTCTTCATCACCCTCATCATTCTCAAGACCTCTATTCCACTCACGCTTGCCACCTCGCGCATCTTGCTCCAGGCCACCCCTGAGAACATCAGCATCAAGGATATCCGGGAGGATATTGAAAGGCTACCTGGCGTCGTCAGCTGCCATCACATCCATGTCTGGCAGCTCTCTGACACCAAGATTGTCGCCAGCATGCACCTCCAGGTTGAGTTCCCAATCAATACTCACAGCGGCGAAAAGTACATGCAGCTCGCCAAGCGTGCACGTAACTGCCTGCACGAGTTTGGCATCCACAGTGCTACCATTCAGCCCGAGTTTTGCCTCGATCAAGATCACGAGCACCTCAGAGACGCTGCTGCACTGACCCTTGACGGCCAAAATGACCCAACTGCTCCCTGCCTGCTTGAGTGCATCGATGATTGCCAGGGTCAGGGTTGCTGCGTTGCGGAGGGGTCCTCCAAGTCACCTTCTGTTCGACGTGCCAGTGACTCTTCGAATACAGCCGCTTAAGCGTGTACCACTTTGACGATTATGACATGAAAGACGCCGCCTTGCCGGCTTATGCGATGCAAGCCTACGCAATGCCCGCTGTCCAAAAGCAGGCCTCGAGACGGTGTCTCAACCAACCATTGGCTTGTCGATCGCCAAGCTTACACATTATTTGACCATTACCCGCGTTGTATCTATATCCTACTATATTTTCTCCGTCTGGCGACATGCATTGTCTTTCTTTCTTCTTCTTCTTTTACTCGTATAAGATGGGGGCGCTTCGTGTTGACGGTCACTTTATCCAGCGCTGTGCTGCTCGCACGGGATACAGCTGGTGTTTTCGGTTTACTTAAATGGCGAATGAGAAATAGGGACGTATAAAAAAAAAGTATTGTTTGGGCGGAATAGACGTTGGAATTGTTGATTATTGGCGCGTGGGAGAGTGGTTCGATTGGGGGCGGCGACTAGACGCGTCCTTGTTGAATAGTTTTTGTAGAGTCAGCGACAGATTTGTTGAAACATGGTTTACATTGTTGTTTGAAGCTATTTTGGGAGCCTGCGTTGTGACTTGACATGAAGACGATGTTGTGAGAGTGATTCGGTACACCCACCACACCATCAACCTGCAAGCGTTTGCAATTGAATACAGGCTCATGAGTATTCCCGCGCTTTAAGAAGAGTGTATAGCATGTTTCGCGGAAGATCTCTGGAATACCAACTTTTCTCAGTGGTCATGCATCGAGAGAAGAGAGGAAAGCATGAGCTGTGTGCGACAACTGCATCGCTTCGTGTCGAAATTGATGGCATATTTGAATCAATTTCTAGCAAGTTGAAGGAAGCTCTTTGATAATACCTGGAAACTGTTTAATTCCATCAATACCCGTCTACGAATATAGGGCTCCGGGGTAGTTGTTGACTACGTCTTTCTGGACCTCCTCTCATCGACAGCATGCACTTGAGAATTGAACATCACATCGCTGTGTGTCTCCTCTCTAGCCAATTTCTTTATTTCTGTATATACAATGACACTCCCACCTCTTCTATCTCTACCCTGGGACTCTTTCATCACTTGTCAACAACCCTTCCATTGTCAACCACCACCCCGTACTTCCACGTGCAAAACGCCCCTCTTGCTTTTCTCTCTCTCATGGTCAACAAAATTTGACACCCTTCTTTTGTTCCTCCATCAAGAAACGTCTTCATTTCTTTTGCAGTCCGATATAAATGTACAAATGGTCTCGGTCTTTTCCGGTTCGGTTGACTACCGGGATGCACCGGCCGATACTGGGCTTGTGCTCCACGAACCTGCTGGGCGGCCGCAGGAGCAAACACCCGCTCCTGGAGTCGAAATAAAAGTTGTATGAAAAGCAACAAAGAGACTAATGCCAGAATAATGCGTTTTTGCTCTTGCGCAGGACAACGACAAGGGCACGGTGTATCGCCACTCGCCATCAACTGGGCGACCGACCAATTGGCTTTTTCCACAAGCACAAACCAATGATCAAATTACCGCATCTTTTCCACAGACGGGCAGTGTTCAATTTTTCTGAGTTCTCAAAGTCTTTTCTTTGGTCGTGTGACATGACGGGCCCCCCTGATCTCGTCCATGGCTCAAGACCTGGGCCGTTGTAGCTTGGCCCGCGCTTCATCCACGGCTCGACAAGCGACTACTTACTCTCATCCAAGTAAAGACAAATGTAGCGAGATTGGCTGGTGTACGGAGCAATGCGAATTCAACAGATTTTGCGCGTCATAGTCGGAGCGCAAAGAACCATCATCGGAATCGGGCGTCGACGAGGATCGTGTTCATCAAAGATACGATGTACACTACTGATACTTAACAGCGGACAGCGGATCCACGCTAATACTGTCTTATCCTGACACAGGAAGGACCTGAACCTCAATAGGATTTACTCTGCATGAGAGCTTCCAAAAGAATATATGCGCAGAGACGAAGAAGAGATGTGCAGCTTGCGTATGTCTTGTCTGTCACGAGCGTCTGCTGTTGCCTTGCTGCAATTGGTATTAGCAAGCTGGGCACCAGGTATCAAAGGGCCGAATGCGTGTCTTTGCGATTCCGGCCCTCGTGGTAAGGTAAATTATCACTCCTGGGGTGCCTGCTCGGTCTAGATCCGCACCCCCAGCACGTAGCAACGATTTTGCCCGTGCGAGGCGCGTTGGTTGCCCCTCAATTTGAGACTGAAGCAATAGACTGGCGGCGGCAAAAGACTTGAATATACGACAGTGAGCAGAAATGGTGCCATATCTCCTCACAGCACTTCGCATAATTTCAAAAAATTGCCACAGAATCGCTTCGACGCGAACCATGCACTTGTATCCGTACATATGGGTTGCTTTATTGTGCCCCAGGCTGGGGGTAGCCCTTCTTCAGCCGCCCACCAGAAAAACCTGGCTCAGCCGTCTATTGACAGCTAATTGGTCCCGCGATTCATGCTGCTAAACACCACGCGCCCCCCCATGGAGGATCACTTTCCTTGGAAAGCCATGGCACGAAAACGGATAAAACCGGTTCTCCAATGAGCCGATGTCTGGAGGAGCCAACATTTTGCGTTTGCGTGATAATGGGTCTTGATATCGTGAAGAGAAAGCTATCGCGTGGCCAGTGCTTCAAGCCCAGGCCCTCCCTTGTAGATTCTGGGTGTTGCGAGGCGGGTATACACACGTGGCTGTACCAAAACAGTACATTTGCCTCCGATAAATGCTATTTTGGCACTGGCGCAGCGCGGATCAAACTGCTGTGCGTCAACACGGGCTTTGCGCCGCCTGCCTGCTACATACCGTAGCCTTGTACAATCCGGGTTAGACGGTGCATCTATTCGACGCAGCTAGGCTGGTAGCTTCCTCAGAGGTGTCTTTAAACGAGCAGACTGCAAGCCCAAACGAGTCTAGTTGATGCCCGCTAGCAGGAAGCCACAGGAGATGCTATCGAATGGTTTCACCGTATCGCAGAGACGGAAATGAAACATGGTTATGTGTGCAGTTCGTCAATCCTAATGTGCAGGTGCCAAGAATTGCTCGCAGCGGCTGTACCTCGCTGCATGGTAGATTCCTCCCAAGTGGCGTGCTACTTGGGGGTCGTGATTGGCATTGCCAGCAGGATGATGTAAAGTGCGCCGAAGCTACTGGTACAGGCCGTCTGACAGTTGGTTCGTCCTCGCATGTGCCATATGCAGGAGCAGGGTTCATTGCATAGCTGAAGGCCAAGACGGGCAAGGTGGCAAAGGTTCATATCGTACGGAGCACCAGTAAGCGTTCAATCGTTCATGGCTGGTGTTCTGGTCGGGGCGTCCCGAGCCAAACTGTACTCAAGCACGCCGAGCATAACTATACTTTAAAATCGTCATGGAGAGCGGCTATTCTCACAAGCCTGCAGCCGCAATGCTAGTTCCGAAGCAAGCTACAGCTTCAATAGCAGGCCGACGACGATCCTTGCCAGCCACAGCCTGCAGCTAACAGCCAACTACTGTCGCTGGCGCGGCTTTGTAGCTGGGGCTGTACATATACATCTCGATACTCCGTATATATCAAATCGAGGCTAAGGCGTCAAAATATCCTAGACTAGCTGCCGCATTGGTCCATGAGCACATCCAAGTTTGGCAAAGGCACTTCTGCTGTTTGGAAGCATCGTCGACTGAATATGGCATTGTTGCGGACCAGGGCCAGAAAGACGGCGGATGTGCTGTAGAGAAATTGGGCCAAGCTAGTTGCCAAGCTAGTTGCCAAGCTGCTCCTTTTTCAAGTTTGAGCGAGCGCCTCACCCGCTACTGTCAACTCGGGGCAATGCGCAGGCCATTAGTGACGTCGTGGCATTGATATGTTGGCTGCCTCGTGCGGGAAAGGCATGTCCGAGCATATCAATATGTGACTGCTCCGTCAATGCCAAGAGACGTCGCGAAAACCTGGCAATCGGTGCATAAGGATCGGGTTTTGCATAATGCCATACTTATTCACCATCATAACCATCATAATTTATGGAGAAGAGCAGCATATCGATGATGGCGCTCCCCTATTCAACTTTTTCTGTTGCTCCTCGAAATCCGCTTAATCATTGGAAATGCTCGGGGCTTGGCGTAACCTTTTCGATCTACTTAGTACTCTGCCCTTTGGACTTGTAATAATCAGTATAGCCAGCCTCGCCGTAAAATATGACGTCTATCAGGCGTACGGAGCTTCTGTGCCGGGCTGGTTGTAGTACCAACTGACTAGTGACTTTACGGAGAGTTGGTTCAAAAGTGCATTCGCTGGCCTCGACACCAATGCATGTATGTGGCTGGGGCAGAAGAGTAACAGCTGACGCGACGGCGTGCATACAGTAAGCAACTGCCATGTGACGAGGCCATTTCCAGCAAAAAAAGTGACGCCTGGAGAAAGATCCGAGTCGAAATTTTGGAAATGGTCTTGGCTCGCATCGCGATCGCGGCAAGGCAAGATAGATGGGAAAATGGCGTGTGCTGATGGATAGGGCTAGCCAGTTCAACCGGCGAGCCTGCCAAGAAGCCAGTCTGTTGATGCCGTTGGGAGCAGCGTTAGAACTGCTCGCTCGGTTCAATCAACAGTAGCCAGGGTCCAAGCTGGAAAAGAAGGAAGCCTACCACGACGCCAATCGCAATGTCCATCACGCGATGAATAGCGCGTCTTCGGCCGATGGGCTGGGTCTGGGACAGCCGGTCTTTGACTGCAGGACGCGTAGACTGGTAGACTTGGATGTTTGAGGCCTCTCAGCCACGCCCAGACGCCAAAGTAACACGCCATCAAAAGTTACTGAGTAATAGCGGCTTGTGGCGTCCACAGTTCAGTTGGCGCACTGCAGATCGGATAGATCGTTGGTGTGCACCAGAGGAGTGATGACGGTGGAGAGGTGTGCAAACTACTTACCGGCTTCAAGAACTGTAAGACCCCTCCGAGCCGAATTTACTCTTTTCTAGCTGGATATCTCGAGTCGTTAGAGCCCCATTGCCGGTTTTTGCAGCTCTCTGAGCCATGAAGAATTGAGGTGGAGAACTGCGTTGCGCTAAAGACTTTCGTGTCCCGTAATGGAAGCGCCGCCGTCTGAATTCAGACATATTCGTGCTTCTTTCTTTGAGCCGTGTGCGCCAATGGCTGGCCTAATAAGTATCTGTTATGTGATCTGCAGCAGCCACAGCTGTACAGGCTATGGAAGGCCCCATGAGTTGGAGTGCAGTAGTAACCTGATCGAGGACGGGGTCATGAGGGCTAAGCCGAGCAGGAACCGCAATCTTACGCCCCTCCATGTGAGAGATGTAAAAGCCAAGCCGTGGCTGAACCAAGTGTTCGGTATCAAGTCTGAGAAGGCAGCGCTACAAAGTCCAGTTCATCGCATGTGGTAGCAACGGCTGCAACGCGACACCAGCGAGCGCACATTGGTTAACGAAGAAAAGATTCTTCATTCAGTGCCAACCGTTGCGTCACCGCGGCTGCCCACCACGACGATACCAAAAGACATCATGTAGTTCGCCAAGAAAAAAGAAACGTCAATCGTTCTCCGTTATATTGCACGGTTCCTTAGTAGCCAAGCCGCCACGCCGGGCTACGCCACCTCCTCGTCTTCCGAGTCCAATGCAAAGCCAATGTAGCGCGGAGCGGCTGACTTTCCATGCAACCCGCCCAAGGCGGTGTCTGGTTTCAAGTGACACAAAATGGCTTAGAGCGCGGAAGAGCTCTCGGGATGTACATTTGATCGGGATGCAAATGTGACATCGATTGTGAGTGGCAGCTTGCGGAGGTCATCTCGGAATAAGTTGGATGGACCCTCTGCATTTTTCAACTCACCACCTTGCCCGAAATGATACATTTAGTCATGTGCCAGGCGTCCGAAGTAGTCGTGGCCGAGCAGGCGGGGGCTTGCGGCGGTGGGCAGACATGATGAAGATTAGTCTGCAAAGCAAAAAGCAATTCTCTGCATCCTCGTCAACTCGCGGAACTGCATCTCGCTCGTGTCTCGACCGACCAGCTCGACCAGCACTTGTGCATGTACTCCCAGCCAAGAAAACTGAGCGTAAGAATCTGCGCTATGAGCTTGGTGTCGCGCTAACCGGGACGAATCTCAATTGCGTGGCTCATCGTGCTACGCAAGTGGCATTTTGAGACGCTAGCAGCAAACCTTGGGGTCCATGCCATGGACTTGTGCGCGTGTATCAAACGAAGGATGCAGACATTGTAGAGTTGTGGTAGCTGATGGCTGGCTGGCGTTTAGCTGTTCGAGGCTTGGTCGGTGATGGTTTCATGCAACCTTGGCTAGAATGGCAATTAACACCAGCGACGTCTCTGGGGTCTAGAATTGGTCATGATGCTACCTCGAACTTGCATGCATTTGATTGACTGCATCGAGATGTATCGGGATGGACGATACAGAATTTTGATGCAGGAGGAGCAAATCGGCGTTGGTGGCTGCCAGCTGCCAGCTGTTTGCTTTGGATAAATTTCCGACTGCGGTTCTGCTGGAGGTTGGTGCCGAGGTCTGTCTGCATCAGTGGGCAGCTGCAATTTCCATGATGCGGTCACAAATGGCAATATAATCTACCCCTCTCTCGTCAATGTACGATCAATGTCAGCCTGGAAATTGCTTCGATGGAGGGGCCGGCCTTACCGCTTCGTCTTCCCCTCAGCAACGGCCCTATTTGTACGAAAATTTTCCATCTCGAAGCTTCAGAGGCGCCGGGGTTTAAACAGTCAGAAAATTAAAGATGCAGAAATGGAGAAATGGTTCTCCGTATATATCCGTTTTTGCCTGCACGCACGAGCAAGGCCTTGAATGTGGAGGATTTCCACAGGGCGTACGTTATAAGTAGCGTCAACGCCAATTTGAGGGCTCCAGTGGCACCATGTCGTTCTCCTCCAGGGCTGGCGTCTCATCTGCTGGCTAATCCTTCCAAACTCGGTCCCGCTGACGTTAGAGACTTGATGTAAAAAGAAAGAATAAGGAGAAACAGCATAGATATCATTTGTAGACGCCTCGGCTGGGGTGCCTGGTTGAGCCTGGCATGCCTGGATACCTACCTGGCACAAGAGGAGTTGCACTAGCAAACTACCTAGGTAGGTAGGTATACGCCAGCAAGCCACAGCGGAAATGGTGCTCCTTCTCAGACGCTTGCCGTCTTATTCATCATTGAAACGTTGATTTGTCGTCCAAACGCAAGGCTGCTGGACACCTTCCTGTAGGGGATACAAATAGCGACCATTAATGGCCTTGAACTTGTTCAAGCCCGCCTCTGTGCAATGCTCCACTGGCAATGAACCATCCTAGCGTCGGAGAGCTCCAGCAAAGCTTTGGTGCGTTCATTTCAAGCCGCAGTACGGAGCACAAATAATTACAAACCGGACCGGCCAGTCACAGAGTTGCAAGAATGCACCGAGAGCCATGCCTGACGTCTCCACGTCTCTTGTTGGGGCTCGGCACGTCTCGGCCGCTAAGAAGCCTTTCCAGAAACTACCAAGTATCGAAAGAGCCTCTTTTGAATGATCCCGTCACCGGCCCAAGTAGAAATTTTCCTAGCTCGAGTGGCTAATAAATGGCTTCAAATATCCCAGCCGGCGGTTTTTTTTCTTTATCTTTTCTGCAATATGATGACATGTATATTATGGAGCATCCGCAACGCCTCTCGCTGAGAAGAAAAGAAATAGGCAGCCAAGGCCCCCTCCGCCTTATGGAAACATGTCCACTTGCTGCAGCCAGGCGTCGCCGAGGCCGTCTCCGTATACCTCTAGCAAGGATGTTGGTTGGGATGACGCTCCAGCGAGAGCCTCCTCTCCAGAACACTAGCTTCATGTGTCGCGCTGCATGGCGTATCAGGGTGGGCAAATATGCTGTCTGCGGCTGTGGCCCTGCCAACCTGCGACGGCCTGTCGCCGCCGCTGTGCAATGGCGTGGAATTGCATCAAGTTTTGAGTGAGGCGTAGCGTGACGGTTTCGCGTGCCTTTGGCGGCCATGGAGCGGCAGTCTGATTTGGCGTCCCATGATTGGATCTCGTCTTTTTGCTGTGCGTTTTCAACGAACTGAAGCGGAAAGCGCAAGCCTGCAGCTTCCGGCGTCATGACTCTTCAAATCCCGCCTATTTCTGGCAACCCGGCTGGACCTGTTTTCCCTGGCCGACAGGCTCTCTACTTAGGCGTCGGCTTGGATGACCGGCCCGGTGCTGAGGAAACTCGCAGTCCATAATTGGACTAGGAGGGGCGTGGAGGGCGGATCTCTCTAGTTCCTCTTGAGGCACAGCCAGGCTGCTTTTACCTGCCCTGTCACCCTGTCTGCGTGTTAATCCAACTCCACGTCATATATCTCATGTATCATTTTGATTCTATGCCGAGTGGGCGTAATAATTCTCTTGAGGTCGTTGCTAGTCCAACAAAATAACGACTAACAAGGACATTCGTTCCTGCGGAATGTCTAGCTTTTCGTTGTCCGAGCGAACGACTGATCTGTTCGGCAATCGAGTGGCCATTGAAACAAGAGTATCTGGGCACATAGTCTCACAATCCCCGAAGAGCATTGCTTCGTTTTCCCCAGGTCGTGCAAGGATAACTATGCAAGGAACAAAATGTGCGTCAAGGATGAAATAAATCCTCCATAGGCCAGAGGGCTTCTGATTCAGCAAATGTTTAAGACGCTAACCGCCATTGTCGCAGACGCTATTATATCGAAGGCTTGATTTGGTAATGACCGGCCCTGCGGTGTATCACTCCTGGGCGGCCGATGTACCGTATTGAGTATACATTCAGCGGGGATGAACACGGGCCCCAACGAAATATTACTCGTATGAAACAATGATTGGCAGAGTGGGAATATCGGCCGGCAGCGCACGACGTCTCATACCGCTATTAATACAAGGACCCTGGGCCGGTTTGGCTTTTTTTTTTTTTTGAGGCCAGGGTGCTGACGCAGAGCAGTGTCCTTGGGCACGGTCAACGGGACAGACCGGACCCGTTGCGCAAAGCTGAAGCCGACGTCGTGTCTTTTTTTCAGACAGGCAAATTGGATTGCGCTAGCTCGACTAGACTTTTATACCTGCCTCATAACTACATTCTCTCCGAGGAGATATTCATTGGCTGTCTAGAACGCAGTAGATGGAGAGATAGTGAGATGAAAAGACCCTCCGCCACGCATGAGAAAACTCTGACCATGACCTCGTCGCAGGTTATAAAGAGAAAAAAGACCCATCCCCTATTTGAATACTTTCGATTAAAGATATTGTCTGTCCGCTTCAGGTTCAGCGTCGGACATGGGAGGGCGTGTGGTCGAGCGTGCCGAGGGAGGTTGACGAGAGACGCGCCATCTGCAGCGATTCTCCAGTTATTCTGCCACGGAAACAAGCCTCTCGTCCTCTCATCTGGGGGGAAAAACGTACGCATCATGTGCGGCTTCCCGCGTATGATGCTCGTTCTTCACCTCCAGGGTCCCGACCGAGTGGGCTCTGCGGGTGCCCTGCTTAGACGTGGACCGTTTTGCCATGAACTCGCCCCGTCTTTACAAACTTTCACCCTCTCTGAAAGGCCACGGACCCTTGGTTTGCTATCTGGGCTTCACCGACGACGACGACAAGGCAGCTTGATAATAGTGAGAAATCATCTTAGAGAGATATCCACAGTGGGCTTTCTTGGCCATGTTCTTGTCTGCACGGTAAAAGATGCCGATGGCCCATAGCGTAAAGAGGAGCAGAGGCACGCGACTCGGCGGTGCCACTGGGATGGGTTATTGAAGCGGAGTGGGCGGCGGCGTTCGGTGTTGAATATATGACGGCACCATCTTTTAAGCATTATGAGCCATCGCTGTGCTGTGCAAATCTCACAATCATTGTGGTATAAATCGGCACTAACGGGCCCCCCCGCCCCGCTACGGAAAGAAGCCACACGTTGGGCGGGGCAGCTTGCGCTCCCGCCACAGCGGTGGTGCTTGCGGAGGAGCAATGCGGGCGCTGCCATTGGTTGGGCCGGGTCCCTGTGTGGTGTCGTCATGAAGAAGAAAACGGTCCCAATCGGGCAAGCTTCTAGAATAGAGTTATGCAACCACTATAAATAATCTGGTCTGCACAACACTTATGTTAGATTGCCTGTATGCAACCACTTTCGGCGGCAACGACATGCCACGACAGGGCCCCCTTTTGTCGAGCATGTACTCTGTATCAAGAGCCGATATGCAGAGGCACTTGACCTACAGTAGATACACGGATATCGGGCAAAAGACGGTGAGGCTCTTCACAACGACTAATATTTTTGATATCCTCATCCCGGATGTGATGGATGAAATATTCCTCCAACGCGACGCGATGCGGCCCTCGATTGTGGAACACTGAAAATGCGGTTTGTTCGCGACATGGCGGCGGTCAAGGCATTGTAAGAAATATGAAAAAGATTAAAATGGAAGCAATTTTTCAAAACGTACACGCCCTCCTCCGCCGCCTTTGTTCCCACTGACGCGCGACGACGCTCGAGGCGGTGTCTGCCCATCTCGTGTATGCCGTGACCACGACTTCCCGCACAAACTGTGCCCATTCGGCCTATCATCTAGCAATGCCTTTTTTTTTTTTTTTTCGCAGCTTGACGCGCAAATTTGATACCAACTACCGTAGCACCAACACGTTGTGGGACGGTGATGGGTGGATTTGTGCCAGCCACTGGACCCTGCATAGTAAATAGTTGAAGAGGGCAGAGAGGAAAAAAAGAAAAGGCCCAACAGAGCGACGGCCCCAAAAGGTGGTACAGGTGGGTTTCTGGGCCATCTTGCGAGTTTGAACTGCTAGTATTATTATGAGGCGCTGACTGTATTACAATGGCATTGCGCCTGAGGGTTAGCTCAGCACGACGGGCATGTTCCGCCTAGATGCAGGACCCTTGCTTCTCTTATTCAAAATGTGTAATTAATTTGAAAGGGCGTACCTGTAAGGAAAAGCAGAAGGAAACAACATGGGACGATTTTTTTTTTTTCAAACAGGTATGTCTGAGACGGAGTGGACAAGCGCCAATGCAAGTCTACGTCAAATAGTCACGGCACTGGTGACAATGCCACGCACTACAAAGAGCGCTACGCCTGGCCTGGCAAGCAAAAAAAAGAAGTCCATTGTGCAATTGCCCTTCAACGCTAGGTAGGGTTCAGCGCCATGATTCTAACCCCCCCCCTAAAAAAAGAGCCTGCCGAAACCCCCCCGGCATCAAATCTCCTTTTCGCGCGTCACAAGTCACCCATATATACCCATGCCTGTACGTACGGCGCAAGAAAGCGTACCCGCACTCCTGCATCAGGAGAGAGAATATGTGTGCTTTGTTCAATGTACCTGGCGCGCATTGGGCCCCGAAGCACGAGATGCGAGGCGTATGAGGGGGGAAGCGAGGAGTTGAGAAGGAGGAGAAGCAGGAGGAGGAGGTTGAGGCACAGATAATCCGGCCCTGCATTTGCTCGGGCCGCCGAGATGACATTGTCTCGAGATATGCAAAGAGCTCGCGCTTCTTTTTTTTTTTTTCTCTTCGGTGCAACGTCCGGCCCCCAACAAACAATGGAAACGGGGAATTATGCAACCACTTAAAACCCCAAATGCCGTGGCCAACAAAAAAGATGGTCGCATCGCAGGCCGCGGGGGAGGGTACGCTGGCCGCAGTCCTCTCATGAATCGTCACGACGTGTGTGCATTTTCTCCGAGTCACGTCATGCAGATTGAACGTGATAAACGCGGCCCTCCTGACACCGAGGCCGCGATGATGGGTTGCTGTGACGTGCATAACTAGGGGGAGGGGACGGGTCTCCTTGGGGTCACGATGTAAAAGGCCTTTGCCGACGAGCCTTGGCTGCCCAATGAGATGAAATAGCAGCAAAAACTCGCAAACGGCGGCCCCTCTAGCCCTCTTTGTTTGACAATGACGAACATGCGTGATGCCAAACGACGGGGTCGAACAATGAACGCGGCCGGTGGCCATCCGCGAATCTTGGCCCGTTACACAAGACGCAGTCCATCATAAGGGGCGCGTGTGACGGCTCCAAGTTCCTTCATGCCGTTACTACCTAGAACTATTTTACGCCCCGAAGCTCCAGCGATCAGCGCACTGGTAGGGGCGTGGTTTGTATTGGTTAGTGCACGCGTTGGCGGGCCTGTTTTATCTGCAGGGCGGCTGTTTGTGATTTCTCGAGAAAGCTACGTATGTATATATTAAAAATACAAATTTGTAAGCAGCTGCATGGTCCTGGTCGCGGGCCACGTCAATCAGCGTCTTCGTTTATCGAACGAGGTTTTTTGGCGGCTGTATTTGATCCATGTTTTACCGTTGGGCGTCAAGCCAGGGTTTGATTCCGCCGTAACCCCCCTTGCATTATCTAGCCGAATTTCTACTTGCCGCGAGAATTTGCATAGCTCGTTGAAAGAGGAACCGGAGAACCGTAGATAAAATATGGCTGACCCTATTTTGCGCCGCCAAAAGAGTGCCGCGGCGATGCATAATTTGATGGGTAAAAGGGGGGTCCCGCTGGCTGAGCGGCATCGCCAGTTTGGTCGGTTTCAATATGCGGGCGGGCGCGCAAGACCTCACATAAGAATCAAGCACAATGCATGTTGTGGTTCTCAAACCAAAATCGTTCAATGCCGCCACCGA